TAAGGCACACGTTATGACACCGCGATCGCCTTTTCTTACATCAACGCCGTTGTGTTTGGCCACGTCGCCCGCTGTCTTTCTCTCTCCCCCTCTCTCTATCCCTCTCGCACTCGTAGGTCCCGTAGGGGTGCGAGAGGGACAGAGAGGCGAAGCACTGTTCAAAATGGTCCCGCTGGCGCGGCCGTCGGCCCGCCTCGCCCTGCAGCCTGCACGCTACTCTGTGAGCCCTTGCGGGGGAGTCCTTGAGACCGCTTGGATCCAGGCTAGGGCCAGGCTAGGGCCAGGCTAGGGCCAGGCTAGGGCCAGGCTAGGGCCAGGCTAGGGCCAGGCTAGGGCCAGGCTAGGGCCAGGCTAGGGCCAGGCTAGGGCCAGGCTAGGGCCAGGCTAGGGCCAGGCTAGGGCCAGGCTAGGGCCAGGCTAGGGCCAGGCTAGGGCCAGGCTAGGGCCAGGCTAGGGCCAGGCTAGGGCCAGGCTAGGGCCAGGCTAGGGCCAGGCTAGGGCCAGGCTAGGGCCAGGCTAGGGCCAGGCTAGGGCCAGGCTAGGGCCAGGCTAGGGCCAGGCTAGGGCCAGGCTAGGGCCAGGCTAGGGCCAGGGGGTGGCAGGCCAGACCCAGTGCGGCCGCGTGGACAACGGACAACGGCTAGGCGGACGATGGATGGCATCAGGCGGCCTTGAAAAGGCGAAGCGCACTGTGCACAGTGTAATGAAAGATCGAAAAGTGGGAAAAAAATATTTTATTGTTCTAACTGACTTAACTTAATGCAGAAAGACGCATTCTGGTAGGAAAAGTGCCACAGGACCATCCAAGCGTCACAGAGACGCCATTTTTGAGAAAAAAGTGGTAAAAATGCCGTATTTTTAGTTCTTGACACCCATGGCTTCTGCTGTTTAGCGTATCCGCAACTTTTCTTGACGCCAACTAGTTAAGGGGTACTAGGACAAAACTTGATAACATTTGGAGCGTTGAACTAGGTGGGGAACTCGAGATATTTCGCCTCAAAGCTAACAAATATTTGAAAAATCTACCAAAAATGCCATTTACTGACACTTTTAAAGGCTTGGCTTCGGCTCTATGGTGAATCCGCAACTTTTCTCCACGCCAACTAGTAAAGGGGTACTAGGACAACACTTTATAGCATTTAGAGCATTGAGCTAGGTGGGGAACTCGAGATATTTCGCCTCAAAGTTTACAAATTTCCTAAAAATCTTCCAAAACTGCCATTTTTTGACTTTTTTGAAACCCTGGCTTCGGCTCTATGGTGAATCCGCAACCTTTCTCGACGCCAACTAGTTAAGGGGTACTAGGACAAGACTTGGGAACATTTGGAGCATTGAGCTAGGTGGGGAACTCGAGATATTTCGCCTCAAAGTTTACAAATGTCCCAAAAATCTACCAAATATGCCATTTTCTGACCGTTTTGAAAGCTTGGCTTCGGCTCTATGGCGAATCCGCAACTTTTCTCGACGCCAACCAGTAAACGGGTACTAGGACAACACTTGATAACGTTTGGAGCATTGAGCAAGGTGGGGAACTCGAGATATTTCGCCTCAAAGTTTACAAATGTCAGAAAAATCTACCAAAAATGCCGTTTTCGAACATTTTTGAAGCCCTGGCTTGGGCTCAATGGTGAATCCGCAACTTTTCTCGACGCCAAGTAGTTGAGGGGTACTAGAACAACAGTTGAGATCATTTGGAGCATTGAGCTAGGTGGGGAACTCGAGATATTTCGCCTCAAAGTTTCAAAATTTTCTAAAACCTACCAAAAATTCCATTTTCTGACCTGTTTGAAGCCCTGGCCTCGGCTCTATGGCGAATCCGCAACTTTTCTCGACGCTAACTAGTAACGGGGTACTAGGACAACACTTAATAGCATTTAGAGCATTGAGCTAGGTAGGGAACTCGAGATATTTCGCCTCAAAGTTTACAAATTTCCTAAAAATCTTCCAAAACTGCCATTTTTTGACTTTTTTGAAGCCCTGGCTTCGGCTCTATGGTGAATCCGCAACCTTTCTCGACGCCAACTAGTTAAGGGGTACTAGGACAAGACTTTGGAACATTTGGAGCATTGAGCTAGGTGGGGAACTCGAGATATTTCGCCTCAAAGTTTACAAATGTCCCAAAAATCTACCAAAAATGCCATTTTCTGACCGTTTTGAAAGCTTGGCTTCGGCTCTATGGCGAATCCGCAACTTTTCTCGACGCCACCCAGTAAAGGGGTACTAGGACAACACTTGATAACGTTCGGAGCATTGCGCTAGGTGGGGAACTTGAGATATTTCGCCTCAAAGTTTCAAAATTTTCTAAAACCTACCAAAAATTGCCATTTTCTGACCTTTTTGAAGCCCTGGCTTCGGCTCTATGGCGAATCCGCAACTTTTCTCGACGCCAAGTAGTTGAGGGGTACTAGAAGAACATTTTAGATCAGTTAGAGCATTGATTTAGGTGGGGAACTCAGGATATTTTGCCTCAAAGTTTAAAAATGTTTTAAAAACCTACCAATAATGCCATTTTCTGACCTTTTGGAAGCCCTGGCTTCGGCGCTATGGCGAATCCGCAACTTTTTTCGACGCCAACTAGTTTAAGGGTACTAGAACAACACTTGAGATCATTTGGAGCATTGTGCTAGGTGGGGAACTCGAGAGATTTCGCCTCAAAGTTAACCAGTGTCTAAAAAAATCTACCAAAATTGCCAGTGTCTGACCTTTTTGTAGGCTTGGCTACTGCTCTAGGCGAAATATCTCGAGTTCCCCACCTAGCTCAATGCTCCAAATGATCTAGAGTCTTGTCGTAGTAGCCCTTAACTAGTGAGCGTCGAGAAAAGTTGCGGATTCACCTTAGAGCCGAAGCCAGGGCTATAAAAAGGTCAGAAAATAGCAGGTTTTTAGAAAAAATTTAACTTTGAGGCGTAATATCTCGAGTTCCCCACCTAGCTCAATGCTCTGAATGTTATCAAGTGTTGTCCTTGTATACCTTTACTATTTGGCGTAGAGAAAAGTTGCGGATTCGCCACAGCCGAAGACAAGCCTTCAAACAGGTCAGAAAATGGCATTTTTGGTAGATTTTTAGGAATTTTGTTAACTTTGAGGCGAAATATCTCGAGTTCCCCACCTAGATCAATGCTCCAAATGATCTTAAGTGTTGTTCTAGTACCCCTCAACTAGCTGGCGTCGAGAAAAGTTGCGGATTCACCATTGAGCCCAAGCCAGGGCTTCAAAAATGTTCAAAAACGGCATTTTTGGTAGATTTTTCTGATATTTGTAAACTTTGAGGCGAAATATCTCGAGTTCCCCACCTAGTTCAATGCTACAAACGTTCTCAAGTCTTGTCCTAGTACCCCTTAACAAGTTGGCGTCGAGAAAAGTTGCGGATTCGCTAAACAGCAGAAGCCATGGGTGTCAAGAACTGAAAATACGGCGTTTTTACCCCTTTTTTCTCAAAAATGGCGTCTCTGTGACGCTTGGATGGTCCTGTGGCACTTTTCCTACCAGAATGCGTCTTTCTGCATTAAGTTAAGTCAGTTAGAACAATAAAATATTTTTTTCCCACTTTTCGATCTTTCATTACACTGTGCTGTGGCCGGCCTGGCCGCCGCGCACGGGGCGGTAACGGCATGGTAACGGGGTGGCCAGGGAGCTTCGGGCAACGCCCCTGGCAGCACACCTGCTGCCTCTGCCGAGCGATGCAGAAGATCGGTTCGTCGCTCTGTCTCTCTCGCACCCTCATGGAGTGCGACGTGTGCGACGGAGACAGTGGCGAAACGACTCTTCTGAAACAGTCGGCTGCTGCCCGGCCGGCCGCGATTTCCGGAAATGTTATTTTGGACGAAATTGTGCTTTGTCGCTTCGGTGCGGAAGCATAGCCGTTTGCTTGTGCGGTCGGTCGGTCGGTCGGCCGGTCGGCCCTTGTGAAGAACCACACTCGGGCGCAGTGCACTTGATTGCTCATGAGCCACAACACTAATGCAACACGCCCCGCGTTGGGCAACGGGGCGCTGGGCACGGCGCGGCACGGCACGGCTAGGTATACGGCACGGTCCGTACGGCGGCGCTGGTGCGCTGTGCGGTTTTCGGTTTTCTCATCAGATTCGCGGCCACCCAGCCTGCAGCCTGGGTGCGATGGTCCATGAGTTGCTGCAGCCCTAGCTCAGCTGTCAAGCCTCGCCTAAGGTCCTGCTGTGGGACTACAGTCCTTCAGTCACCACTGTGTGACCCCAGCGACGCTAGCCAAGTCCAGTCTAGACCAGGACCCCGAGCCCAGAAACCATTCCAGGCCCCTGGACTGAGTCACTCGCGTGGCAAACACCCGGCCGTGCTGGAACCGGAAGCACTTCACTGCACCGCACTGCGGACTGCAGTCCTGCATGCAGGCCCGCGGTTTGGAATTCCCCGTACTCACCGACTGGAGGGTTGCGCGGCACGGTAGACTCTGGAACCGCGGGCAGCGTGCGCAGCGTGTTCCAGCTCGAGCAGTGCCGTCTCGTCTACCCTGCCTGCCCTGCCACAACTGTTGTTCGGGTTGGTTTGGCTCGGACCCTCGGACCCCACCAGTTGCACGAGCTGCACCGGCTGGCGGTGCTGGGCGGGGACGCGGGCAGGCAGGGGCCGAACCGCCCCGCTCCGTCCGGCGGTCCGGCAGTCGGGGCTGGAGGCAGGCTGGAGGGGGAGGGCCAGCGCGCCAGCGAGTACGCGGGAGCAGGCGGCGGCGAGCACCTCTGGCTCGCGCTCGGCCAGCTCGGCCAGCTCGGGCAAGGCGTGTAGGTAAAGCCGAGCCAAAGACTGTCCGCCGCGCCACGTCCCGACGTCCCGTCATGCCTCGGTTACATCACTTTGCGCTTCGCGGCTTCGCGGCTTCGCGTCTCGGACGGCAGGAAGTGGTAGCCCCCGCGCCGCGCTCGCTTGCCGCTTGCCCGCTTGCGGCCGAGCTGGCTGTCCACGGCTCTCGCCGCGGTGGCCGGCCGATGCAGAGGAGCGGTTCGTCGCCCTGTCTCTCTCTCTCTCACCCGAGATCCCCATGACGGCCCCCAGAGCGACGACGACGAAACGACCCTCCGAACCGAGAGAGCCTGCTCTGGACTTCCCTATGCGACTCCGGGCTGGTTTTGTGTCTCTCTCGAACTTGAACTACTCAAGAGCGCGAGAGAGATGCAGCGACGAAAGCTCTGTTCGGAATCAAACCGCGGGCGTACATGTACATCGCGGCGAAGCGAATTGAAGAGATGGACGAATTAGGACGAACGCCTGAACAGTGGTCCAGCGGATGCTGCGGATGTTGCTGCTGAACGCGCGCATTCTCATCGTCGCGCTGTCGCGCATCATTTGTTCGGCGACCACAACAAAAACAAAAACAACAAAACACAACACACAACAGTAGCAGACGAACTGCGAACCGAAAGTAGCATTTATGCGTCGGTGAACAGAACGTTTGGGAAATGGATGTCGGTTGTCATTAGGTGACATTTTTAACTGAAGTTCCTATTAGGTTTTGGAATCGTGACGGTTTTATTGACTCCAAGCAACGTGTGGACAAACTTTAAAACTCATATAATATGGATGAACTGATTTCTAGCACCCAGAGGTACAGTATGATACTGAACGACTTAAATTTATGGGACTATCACGCACTTCTAGTTTAAAATGTCATATTGCGTTTTTTAAAACGTTCCTCTTATCTGTCTTGACATTATCTTACTTTCCTAAACTAGCATATTATACCTAACCCTTTAACATATTAGGTAGCACCAACTGATTTTCCCTATATTTGGAATTTTATTTTGACAGGCTAGTTCACCTCGATCTTAAAGGAGCCCCACCAAAACTTTCGTATCTTGAGAAGGTAAGGTTTGGTAATTTATGTAGTTTCCATTTGTTCTGATGTTATCTTATTCAATCTTTTCCCACGATTGCAGCTTATCCCTCTCTTCAAAGAATGGGGCGCCACAGGATTGCTTTTAGAATGGGAAGACACGTTTCCATATCATGGTGGATTGACAGTCGTTGGATCGAAGAAGCAATCGGGTAGACCGTACAGTGAAGAAGAGATCAAGCGCATCTTGCAAATGGCAAAAGAGAGCGGTCTTTGTACTATTCCCCTGGTTCAAACTTTTGGACATTTAGAGGTGTTTAATTAGTTCCTCAACCATTATTTTAAATCTGTTTGATACTATAAGGCTATAGAAGGACTTTCTTCCTTTTACTCTTTCAGTATCTGTTGAAGCATGAGGAATGGCAATGCTTGAGAGAAGTTCCTAGGTATCCCTCCTCTATATGCCCATCACATCCCAACACACAGGATGTTGTTTGGGAAATGGTAAAGCAAGTTATTGATTTTCACTCTGATAACTCAGATCTCGAATATCTTCATATTGGAGCTGATGAGGTAAAACGACAATAATTTCAGCTACACTTTTTGGACATTAATTAATTGCTTTGGAAGTATTCTTATAAATTTTGCTCCAACACTCTGTCAGGTTTGGCATTTAGGTTTATGTGAATTGTGTGCACAAAGATGCGGAAGCACAGCTGATGGCCGAGCCCAACTATTTGTAGATCATGTATTGTCAATTGCAAGGCGCATTAAGGAGTCCTATTCCAAACTGAAGCTTATTATGTGGGATGACATGTTACGCAGTGTTCCAGTCTCGGTCCTTAAAAGTCAGTGTTTAATTTAAAAAAAAAAAAAATTACATAAAATTTTTCTGTTTTAATTTCTGATTTAATCATGTTCACAGATTTTGGCCTCGGTCAGTATGTAGAACCAATGGTGTGGCTGTATTTTGCGGGTGATGGCTTCACTCTTCCAGAGGGTGTGTTAACACATTAATTTCAGTCTTAGTCATATATGCATTTTACTCAATAGTTTTATTTATACTTAATATTTTATAGGTATGTGGGATAGATACAGTTCAGTATTTTCTTCAGTATGGATAGCATCTGCATTTAAAGGTGCCACGGGAAGCTGTCAGCAGTTACCTGTTTTGCCTCATCATGTGTCTAATCATGAGCAATGGCTCAAAGAGCTCCCCATTATTGCCTCAAAATTTGATAATTATCGAGGGATAGCTCTCACTGGATGGTCCAGGTATGTTGTATAGTCCAAGCCAATAAATGACTCACTGGTACATCTTTTAGATTTAATGGTGATTGTGTTCTTCTGGAATTGCAGGTATGATCATTTTGCAACTCTCTGTGAGATGCTGCCAGTATCGCTTCCATCTCTTGCTCTGTGCCTCCGTGTTTGGATCAAAAATGGATTTTCAGTTGAAGATGTTCAGCATGTTGCTAGAACTTTAGGATTTTCAAATTCTTCTTTGCTAGGAATGGAATTGTTTCCCAGGTAAGATTTAAAAAAAGAAATCTTCGTGTAAAACTTAATTGGAATGGTTAGGATGTGTTCATTTATTTATTGGTATATTATTCTTTGCTTCTTTCCAGGCCTAAGCCGATTCCAGAAGACCTTTCTTTCCCTGGCTGGAAAGCATTGTCTAGTATGGAAGTGTTTTGTAACTTGGAACATCAAAGCAGAATACACCTTGATAGCAGTCAGTGAGTACTTGATTTTAAGAATAATATTACTGCTATCATACTCTTTGATGCCTACATGAGACTAGTTCCATGCTGTCTCTTCTTTCAGAATAAAAACTTGGCTGAACCCTTGGCAAGTTAAAAACAGCTTTGGTAACCCAATGCACGTGGAAACCTTTATTCCACCATTAACTCAGTATGTTTGATAATGGACATTTTAAACAGATGTTTGAAGATAGAAAAAGATTTGTATGGAAATATTGCGATATTTCTTTTTACAGATTGCTTCTTGAACTTGGAAACGTTGAGAGATTTTTGCGAGAAAGTTTGGAACCTCTTGTTTTTTCTGAAGCTATAGAAGAATGGGTTGCAACATGGATAGATCCTTTGAGAGAACAAGTTCAAAAGCTCCTTGATGATGCTCGTGCTCAGATCAAGACAGAAGGTGGAAATACCAGTAATTAGCAGCTTCTGTGATATTTTAATATTGTTTTGAACTACAATCTTAAGGTAATAAAAGTCTATTTTCCTTCCTTTAAAGATGTTTTCCCCCTGGTACACCTCTACTTGCCCCACCTCAGCAACATGCAACAATGGGCTTTCCATTTGTAATACACTCCATTGTTGATCTGATTCTTGCCGCAGTCCTTCACTTTACTCTTTGCTTTCACATCTTTGCTCTTCCTTTAACTACCTGTATCACTCCAGCCACCAATCATGCACTTGCCTATTTCCCCAGACCAAGGAAACTGCGGTGATTCTTTAAGCCCATGGCAGGCCAATTCAACTACTCAATCTCATTCGCATCAGAATAAGTGTTTGGACTGGCAGGAGAGCCGTGCGCACCTTCTGTTGCTTCCAAAAGATGAGGTAAATAAATAGTATTGGTGGCTGTTATTTAATTTAGACATGCACTTTGTAACTTGACAAAACTTTACTGCAGAGTGAGGTGTATGCAGTTATGCAGATTGTTCACAACAAAAAAGTGGACTATTTAAAGAAAGCAATATTTGAGCTGCAGGTTTGCTATCATTTGACTCTTCTGGCAGATTGCATTTTAATTAAAGTGGTTTCATGGTAATGCCTCCATTTGACCAACAGAAACAAAATGCAGTGCTAGTGGAAAAACTTAGCCAATGCTCCAAAGTGGAGACATGTGTATCTAACTCTCAGAAGGTATTCAAAGATTGGACATAATAAACAAGTGAATAGTGACTTCTTAAATAAAATGTTAAATATAATGTTTAGGTTGACCTCTTGGAAGAGAAGATTCAACAACTTGAGAGACAATTGAACGAGCAGAAATATTTCGTGCAGCAGCAAGAAATGCTACTTAAATCTCTTCTCAACTCAAAAGCACTCTTGAGGGAAAAATTTACAAAGAAACTGAAGCTTGAGAAAAACAAAGTCAAAACTGAAGTGAGCACTACTTGTATTAATGACACGTTTGGAGGTTTTAAAAAAATCTTTGTAGAATGATAATTAATTTTTGGTAAATTCACTTGTGCCTGACAATAGATGCAGGCACTTCTGCTTGAAGCAAAAGCCCAACATCTTTTAGCAGAGGCCAACCAAGGAACAGAAAGGGGCAAGCAACTTGAGGCATATGTTTCACATTTCCATGAAAAATTTCAAAATCTTCTATTGACCAACCAAGCAAGGAATACTGAGAGTCGTCACAGTGATTTGCAGGTAAATTATCATATGTTGTCTAGGAGTGGTTTTCAATTAATAAGTTGTCAATAAGGAATGATTGGTGTTCCAGAGAATAAGTGAGTTAGAGATGAAGCTCACAAGATCACTAGCAAATGTGTGAACAAGGATGGAAATTTATACATTTTGCAAGAAAAACATTAACAACCAATTTTATTTTTTCGTATCTCTTCATAGTATTTCTCATTGTCAGTCATACATACTTAAAGGTTGTCTCCAAAAAACCATATAAGCACTGTGAGCTGACTTCATGGAAAGCTTAATATTGGCAGATTGATATGATGGAATCTTCAGCAACTTATCACAGATGGATAACAAATTGAAGATTTCACCAGAATGAGCAATACAGAAAGAAAAAACTGATTGAATCATTTGAAGCTACTACAAACTTGCAAATGTGACAGGTTAGTCAAACAGAATCACATCAACGAATACAACATACGTACAAAAAGGGTGTAGTCTTTTAATCTTTAAGCGATATAGTTGACTCCTGATATGCAGATAACATCATATTCCTCAACGTTACATACATAACAAGTACATTCGTAGTATTGGTAAATAGTCAGAATGATATTTCTGATTACTGCTGAGTCATATGCTAGTCTTAAGTCCAATTGGGCATGTCAAACAGAATGTAGCAACACACAGTAATCTCAGTCTCAAAACAATATACAAAGAATATTAGTCACATAAAGAAGACTAATGGGGACAGCTTCTACTTAAACCAGAATACCTGCCTAAATGTTCCATGAACACCAACTGAAAGATCCATAGGAATCAATAAGTGCATATGATTGGTCGAGTTAAAGGCCAAATTATTATCTTGTGCATACTACTGCACATATCTTTTGGGCTCCAAACTGTGGTGGGTATAGTTCATTTAACACAGTTCAAAATTATTAGTGTCTAAGCTCAAGACAGAGACAGAGAGAGAGAAATCCATTTAACATACCTAGTCAACCGAAATTAAATAATATACAAGTGAATTGAAAGCATACTCAAATATAATAGAGAATACTCGGAGCACTTTATCACACTAGCTAAAAACACAAGGCTACACCACATCCACTTCCCTCACTCACAGCTGCAATACATCATTTGTCGCTCTTTTGAAAACTTACCCAAAGAAAACATCCAACATTGACATTCTTCTTTTAAAAAATGAGTGCTCCAAAGTAAAAAAACAATTATTGAAAACAATTAGACATGAGCTCTGCTATGTAAAGTTGATTGGCAGATAAACTACAGAACAAGTATTGAATGCGCACTGATAGGAGTTAGAAGATTACAGTAAGAATCTTAGTAGACAAGGGTGGCACCATGAACAACATTCAACAAAAGGGAAACACATAAAACGTGTACGTATCAGTATAACTAGCATAATACGTAGCTCTCACTTCTGAAAAAAAATGTGCAAAGGAAAAATATCACAAAGCGCAGTTCTATATGAGCAGTCTCGTCATTCAATCTTCATTAGCAATTGATTCTCCAATGAGATGATAAGCTGTATACAACCTGCAATGAAACTATCTACATGGATACCATAAAATGGCTTAGTGATACATGATTAAGCAAATAAATACAATATCTTCCTGCAGTGCAGTGGCCACCTCAGTAGACAAGTGTGTAAAACTGATATATAAATAATAAAAGCAAGGCAGCACAAGGCCTCGCATCAGAGATTAGGAGAGGGGAACAATTTTGCTTCATATTTCATAATAAATAAAACGGTTGAGGAATTATCTCATAACAGAAATCATGTCTACCTAGAAGATACATTAATCAGTCAATTAAGCAAATTGTGTTCAAACAGTATGAACTATCACAAAGAAGCAGGTAAGAACTGCTCATGAAAGATGCATGTGTACAGCATACACAACAGATTTTTGATAGCTTTGTCCAATAAAACATGAAAATGTAGGATTAGTATTTCAGATTATCTAAACAATGCAACATCTTGAGCAAGTTGCAGTCAAAAAACAAAAAAATCAAGGATGAATGAAAGGCCCTAATGTGGAGTCCTTTCATTAAACCAGAAAGGAACACAAAAAAAGAACTTGTTCCTTACCAGTACTAACAATTATTTTTAAAAATTGATTACCAGTGAAAAAGACATTTAACTTATTACTTGTTTTTTTCGGGGGCTACCTTTTTAAAATTGTAGCAAAAAAAAAGAAACCCAGAGAACCCAATGAATAGAGTTTCTATGAGTACACAGAAGCACAATTAGGAACACAGAGTTCTTCTTTCAAGTGAAAGAATATATACGATCAAGCTTGTCATAGTTTAACCTAGGTCGCCTGCGTCCTGGTTGGTATAAGAGTATGAAGATGTCTTTAACTATTGCTTTCTTTACTGAAATTCCATCAATTTCTTGTGGTAAAACAGCAAATAGCTGAAAAAGAAAATTATCAGATTAGTGCCATCTACCTTCTTAACTAGATTTCCAAAACTTGAGCTTGCTTACCCTTCACTGTCTAAAACTTCCTGCAAATTTGCCCTAGTTATCATATGATCATCACATTTGAACCAGTGATTGTTTTGCTGCCTCACATATGCAGTGTAATGACCCGCATCCAAAGTACCAAGATGATTGATCACTGCAAAAAGTGAATACCTAGAACAAAGTAATGGGGAAATTAATGTAAATCTTTGCTTGTTAAATGTGAGTCATAAAATCAACTGATGTACCTGTTATCTGTGAGACTAAGCGGCTCTGAACTTGTACCATTCCAGTCACCTGTGCTGTCACTACTACAGTTACTATTGCTGCTATTACTAACTGCACTGTTATACAATTTCCGATTGTTTCGATAATTTGACATAAATGGGGTCATATCTAACTGTTCCGGAAAAGAAATGTATGTTGAGATCTTCTTATGAAGCCGTGATGAATGTTCAAATCTCTGAAAAGAAAATTTATGTCACTAAAAATATTACAAATGTTATGAAAATTTACTGCGTATAGAATAACAAGTGTTGTCAACAGACCTTTAAATGGAAACTTGCTACAACTGGCAGTTTTTTCATTGTAAGTTGTTTAGTTGATTCCTGGTAGCTTTGACAGTTATTACATTTTATTTTGGCTGAGGAGCCTAAGTGCTCAGCCCTTGTAAACCTTTCTAGGCAATCAATTAAAGTGGTTGGACCATTGTTAACTTGCTTCGACTCATTAGATATAGACATATCTGGGCCAACAGCAGCAAAGGAGCTATCATCACTGACATTATTACCACTGCGTCCTAGGTCCAGTGAAATGTCCCAGAAAGGATCTATCGTTGTTGACACACCTCTGCAATAAGACAAGGTGAGCGGTAAAAGACGTTTAAACGTGTCAGTTATTTTAGACTGGTCCATATTCAATTTTGTCGGCAAAAACTTGACTTACTTGCAAGCCTGACATACGACATCTGACTGCAATCCTCCAGTAAAAATTGTGTCAATGATACATGAGCATTGGTGAGGATTATCACGCTTTGAACTTTCGTCCTCTGGCAGTGCAGGTGTTGATGCTTTGCAATGCCTATGAAGAACATCAAGAGTTGCAATGAAGAATTCATGCGCATCCTGTTGTTCGTAGCCAGCCAAGTGACGGGCATGAGTCCAAATCATATGCAGCAGACGATGAAGAGTGAGAGGTCCTTTGTTCCCTGAGTAAAACTGTCACAGGGAAAGTTCACAAGGATTATGTAGCTCAGCAAAAAAAGAAAAACAAAACAAAAAAAAACAAAAAAAAAAACACAGCACATAAAAAAATTTGCTTCATCTTTGGTACCTCTTGGAATAGAGTTGAAACCTCACAAACTAGGCATCCTGGCTGATCTTCTGGACGGCATACATGTTCCTCAGTTAAGAAATGATCTCGTAACAATGGGGTGTGTGTCAGGGCTTGAACTATGCAGTTCATGAAACATGTGTTCCCAAGATTGATAAGTCCTCGAAGGCCTTAAAAAAATTCAATACAATTTTGTTAAAAACCGCAAAATATAGATCCAAATGGACAGCACTTAAGAAATTAGTTACCAATGGCAACCCCAGGAACTATTTTTCTTCTGCGTGGATTCTGGCGCAATAATTCAAGAACCTTTGCTGATGGCTCCCATGGCCTGTAAAGGGCACCCATTCCTAATCTGTGCCCTGCCCTCACCATCAACTCATGAGCAACATTGAGGAGGTCATCATCATAGACATACGTTCCACAAGCAACACAGAGTACATTTCCGTGTGAAAGTTCTACAGCTGTAGTGAATAAAGAAGTATCGTCAGTATTAGAAATATGAGGCGAAAAATGAAAAAAAAAGTGTCATAAAATGAAATTTTGTCACTGACAAAGGTAGTGTTTTTTGTGCTTTGCATGATCTTGGATGTGGAGTCCTTTGTAACAGCCAAAATATACACAGCTCAGGCAACTGTGCAGCCGATAGTCAATACTTTTGCAGACAAGGCAAAAGCAGTTGATAGCCTGGAAAAAAAGGAGAAGAAACAATTGTACTATTAATGATGCACACACTACTTAAAATATTTTGATTCCATTTCAAAATAGTTTTATTCTCTTTAAAACAGCTAGTAGCCACTAATACTTCACAAACAATTCCAATAATATACACTAACAAGACAACTTGAGAAATTTTTGTCAGGTAGGTATGGGTTAGCTGTCATGTGAGTCAGTTCTATTAAGGTTATTTACTTCAAAATTAAATTTTATCATGGCAGAGCAAAATGTGAAAATTATCAAAAACATACTTCAGCTAAAGAAAGTACTTGAATATCCAACGCGGAAAGCAAAACATCCGGTGACAACCAATAAACAGAAACATTCATGGGAGGAAGGTGCATTGTTTTCATGATCCAGATGTCTCAAATTACAAATGATCGATTGGAATAGGCGTGAAAAGGAAGTCAGCAAACTGCAAAACCACTGACAAAGCCGTTCGAATCGCAGAGTAAAACCGCCTCGGTGGAAGTATGTGAACTGTCATCGATAAAGTAATAGGAAAAGACGCACCTTCCTTTTCCTCGCTACCGAGTTGGAAGCTGCGACGAAGCTGGAAAATATGATTCTGTAAAATTCTACTCCTTGGGTCGCTTTGTGTTCCTGTAAATGTGGACATCCAATGTCGCACATCTCAGATTATGAGCTCCCCCAGGGGAATACTGCGAGGTGAAGGTGCTGTTTCGTTGGTTTGTCGCTCGATTCTGATTCTGATTCTGCTTGCTACTACTCTCTCCACCCGGGCGGCCGCGGCCAGGGCCAGACCCTCATCAACAGGGCACGGGCAGACTTTCGCGAAGCGATGCCACGTTTTTGATTGGCCAATCACCCACCGCCCTCTGAGCAACGCGTGAAGACTTGGATAGCTTTCCCGGCATGCCACGCGATGGGGAGTTTCCGCCCAGTGTGAGCAGCTCTAGGAGCAGAAGTGGCAGCGGTGGCGGTGGTGGCAGTTGTCTGTCAGTTGTCAGTGTGCTTCTGTTTGGAAAAGCGTGTGGTCGTGCGAGTGTTTTTGCCCGTGCGTCTCTTACTTTGACGCCTATAGTGTTTTCAAGGTACCGGAATGAATAAAACCTGTGTATTGAAACGTTTCTTCCGGATCATTTGTGGTTTTGAATCACTGCGCTGCCATTCATCGCGCCCCGAAGTTGCTTAAAATCGTGTCTTCGGTTGGAGTTTGGTGTTGATCGGTCAAGACGGAGCTTGTTTACAATTTTTCAAGCCTCTTTTGTCATTGTGTTTGGATCATGATCACTGAAAGTGCATTCAGTTAGATTGATTGAAAGCCCTATCCGTTTTGCGGCGCCGGAGTGTCAAGTTTCTTAAGCCCTAACCTTTACGTTAAATAACGGAGTGTCTCGTTACTGTCGTGATTGCGTTATCGAATCGCATTTACATTGTGCATCCGGTCCAACCACCTGCATCTCATTAGATAAAACGTAGAGCTGACTCTCTTTTACACCCATTCCTGTTATCGTGGTTTTCTGCAGTTCTGGATTACTTACCTCCTCCTCCCTCCATTTGCTACCATTGTCTACACCACAAGTAAGTGATGTGTCCGTGCGACTGGCTTGAACAGCTTTAACTAGGTCGTGCTCGTCAACATTTTGCTTTGCCTGCGAATTTCGCCGATATCTTTAACGCTATGCTTGCCCCAGCCTATTTCCTTGCTATCTGCATTGTGCAAGCGCCCCCTATCGTCTCGAGGGTTGAGGGGCCCAATATTGTGGTTTAGTGCCCGGGCCCCCTGTACTCTAGACATACACATGTATCTTGAAATCCAGCTTCCAGCACCCCCGACCTTAGCCCGGCCCATGCCGCACCGGACTGCCCCTTGCCGTGATGACAAACGCGTCCACTCGCCGACCATCGCAGACTCGGGCCGCCCAGCTAGCCGCTGCCCCCAAGCCGAAGGGGCACCATAGGGACCCTGGGCAAGCCTCGACAGGACATTGGCTTTCCCCCTGCAGGGCCGCGCCAGCCGCGCGCAGTGAATCCCGAATCCCGGCCCTCCCCCACCCCCTCCCCCGCGCACCCCGGGGGGTCCGCGCCGTCCGCGCGGCTGTGCGCCCTTGGCACACACACTGTACACTCTGTACTCGCGTCGTCATGGCGACGGCCCTGCCGCCCTGCCCGCTGCCCCCCATGGGGCCACCGGGGCCACCAGGCCCGTGCAGCTTGCAGGGCTCGCCGCTCGCCGGGCCTTTAGCCGGGCCCTGTCAGGCCCGTACCGGTACAGCCACAGCGGCCCGCCTCGAGCCTCCAGCCGTCTAGCCCTAGAGGGTCCAGCCCTAGAGGGTCCAGCCCTAGAGGGTCCAGCCCTAGAGGGTCCAGCCCTAGAGGGTCCAGCCCTAGAGGGTCCAGCCCTAGAGGGTCCAGCCCTAGAGGGTCCAGCCCTAGAGGGTCCAGCCCTAGAGGGTCCAGCCCTAGAGGGTCCAGCCCTAGAGGGTCCAGCCCTAGAGGGTCCAGCCCTAGAGGGTCCAGCCCTAGAGGGTCCAGCCCTAGAGGGTCCAGCCCTAGAGGGTCCAGCCCTAGAGGGTCCAGCCCTAGAGGGTCCAGCCCTAGAGGGTCTAGCCCTAGAGGGTCCAGCCCTAGAGGGTCCAGCCCTAGAGGGTCCAGCCCTAGAGGGTCCAGCCCTAGAGGGTCCAGCCCTAGAGGGTCCAGCCCTAGAGGGTCCAGCCCTAGAGGGTCCAGCCCTAGAGGGTCCAGCCCTAGAGGGTCCAGCCCTAGAGGGTCCAGCCCTAGAGGGTCCAGCCTAGCGCCACCGGACTCAGGGACACCGGTGGGCCTGCCCGGCCCGCGTCCCAAGCCCCAAGTTCCGAGTTCCGAGTCGGAATGCGCACTGCGCGTCACATGGCGGGGAATCGATGCGGCGGCAATGGCCGGCAGTGCCCGCCTTGCCCGCCCAGCGTCGCGTCGTCGCGCTGCTCCACGGCCTTGGCGACGTGCGTGACGCGCGTGACGCGGGCCGTGACGGGCGTGACTGCGCGCGTCGCGTTTCGCTGTGTGGCGCGTGTGTGACCTGCGTGACGGGCGCGAGCGACAGCGCGACAGCAGACACGCGGCCCGGGGCCCGGCTGTGGCGGCCTTTGGGCGTGTCAGCTTACCACTGACTGGTAAGGTACCTCTGGCCGCCGCCCGCGCCGCTGCACCTGTTGACGAGCCTTGGGGCAAGCCCTCGGGCAAGCCTTAGGGAGCCCTCAGCCGAGCCATTCTCTAGAGTCGTTTGGTCGCTCTGTCTCTGTCGCACTCACGGGGCGTGCCAGGGCGGTGCGAGAGAGACGGCGGCGGAGGCGAAAGGGCAGAGCGGCAAAGCTTGCCGGCTTGGTGGCGCCGCGGCGCGCCCGGCCCGGCGATGCGGCGATAGCGGCCAACTGCTCCGCGCTCCGCGACTCTCGGGGCGCGCAGTCGTCGTCGTCGTCGTCGTCGTCGTCGCAGCGCAACGCTGATGAATGCTTCTCTCCCTTTTGCTCTCTTTCGGCCGCTGCACGTCGCTTCACGTTTCAGCAAGCCGCGGCGAGCCGCGGGGCGCGCGGAGGTGGTGGCGGGGCGTGGCGGTTATGTTTAGGTTCAGCGTCCTCGGTCTCACTCCCCGCCATGCCTCTCGCGCCTCTAGCGGTCGTCCGGCGGCCAATAAGCGCGGGGGAGGGGAAGGCTTGCAGACAACCGGCAGTTACGCGGGCCTTTCAATGAATAAGTGGAATTCCTGCCCCTCCGTGGACGGACCGCGCCATGCCGATGAATGGCTGCCGAGTGCCTCGCGTGGCGCGCATTGCGTTTCTGGCGGTCGGACGGACAGACTGGGGCCCAGTGCCCCCACCTCGCACTGCGCCCCGCGCCCCGCCCCGCGCCCCGCCCCGCGCCCCGCATTGCGTCCACGGTCCAGTAGCGCTACTCTGTCTACTCTGTCTGTACAGTGAACGAACGCCAGGGCCGTAGCTGCCGGGGGGGGGGCAGGGGGGGCAATGCCCCCCCCAACTTTTGGCCAGGGGGGGGCAAGGGGGGGCAAGGAATCTGGCCAGGTGCAAGCAATGTAGACACAGAAATGTACGAGAATACCTTTTAAAAAAGTGTAAATAACCCAAAGAACTGCAAATTTTCTCAGCTCGCTTCGCTCGCAAATAATTTACATTTACCAGCCTATATATCCCTAAGAACCGCAAATTTTCTCAGCTCTCGGACAAACACTGACCACCCTAGTAAGTCGTAAGAACCGCAGATTTTCTCTCTTCCCGCGCGAGCTCTGTTTGCTCGCAAACAAATTACGCCGTTTACCACTCTAAAAAGTCCTAAGAACCGCAAATTTTCTCAGCTCGCTTCGCTCGCACACGTTTACCACCAAGTAACCCTTAGAACCGCAAATTTTCTGAGCTCGCTTTAATTGCAAACAAATTACGTTTTCCACCCTAAAGCCCTAAGAACCGCAAATTTTCTCAGCTCGCTTCGCTCGCACACGTTAGAACCGCAAATTTTCTGAGCTCGCTTCGCTCGCTAACAATTTACATTTACCACCCTTTTAATACATTCAATCGTGTGTTAAAAATTGAAAAAGCACCTGCGGGACCCCCTGATAGGTAGGCAACCTTCAATGCAGACAAAAATTTGCCCCCCCCTGGCGCGAGGAGGCGGCTACGGCCCTGCCGAACGCAGAGACAATTGGAGCCCGGCCCCGCGGGGCGGGGCCGGGGGAGAGGGGGTGGGGTGGGGGGCTGCCTGGAGGAAGCTGCTCGTTTCGTGTCTCGAGTGGTCGTTCCCTTCGTTTCCTTGCTTCCCTCGCTGGCTTGGCTGGCTTGTCGGGCCACGCCCTGTTCCCTGGACCACCGCGCAGCACCGCGCAGCGCGCTCTGTACCGATCTGCTTGAAATTCCGGCTTGAGGGGCCGTGCCGTGCCCACTGTAAGGCTGGAGGCGGCTGGAGGCCTGGCCAGGGGCTGGGCGTCGTGGGGGTTGTCGCAGCCCCGCGCCTCGAGGGCCAATTTGCGGAGCGCACTGCAAGTGGGGCGCGGTGGGGCGGGGTGCTGGTCTAGGGCCTCCAAGGGCCGCGGCACGTCGCGCGGGCCAGGCCAGTGCCGGACACGCTGGCCATTTTCTCGTAGGGAAGCACGCTTTTGGGCCAGGCCAGCGTGTACTTACACCACGTACTGTCCGCGTGTGCACGGTGGCCTGCCCACTGTCTCGTACTGAGGAAGCGACCAGCGTGTACTTACACCACGTACTGTCCGCGTGTGCACGGTGGCCTGCCCACTGTCTCGTACTGAGGAAGCGACCAGCGTGCACAATTGACGTGTGCACACTGGAGGGGCATATGCGAGGGCGCTGTCCGGGATGCAACGAGCTGCCGGCTGGGCAGTCAGCTGCTTGTGCCGCTTGTGCGTCGTCCGCGCCTCATTGGGTCGTCCACGGGCCGTCTGCCGTGCCCCTCCCCCTGTCGTCCGGCCATTGTGTAAGGGCCACGCCGCGACGTGTAGAAGAAGTGCGTGGGGCCGTGGCACGGTGGGCCAGAAGACCGGTGGAGGCGGCCAAAACTGCTGACGCGTTTTGAGGTCCAAAGTCGTTAAATGGCTCTCGAACCGAACGTGTGACACCACCGATGGATTCCTCGTTCGGAGAGCAATCCATTGGTGGGGTCACACGCTCGGTTCGAGTCCCATTTAGCGACTCTGGAGCTCGAAACGCGTCTAGAGTTTTGGCCGCCCCCACCGGTCTCCTGGCCCACTGTGCGTGGGGCCCTCGAGGGCCGGCGGATTACCTCACTGGCCGCGACTTCTTGAAGGGACGGGCGGCCCGGCCCAGCCCGGCCCTGGAGATAACACTACACCTACATTCCTGGCCCGGCTGTGTGTGTGTGTGTGGGGGGGGGGGGGAGGGCCTTCCCTCCCGCGCGCTCCAACAACGAGTCTAGATAGAGCTGACGGGAGGGGCGCCATGAGGCCCCAGCTGTTTCCCCGACGGGGTGCGTCTCTCTCGCGCCCATACGGGATGCCTCGTGAGTCGGAGTGAGCGGCGCCCCACACACTCGGAACGAGCCTGCCCCAGCCTGCCCGTGCCCGTGACGGCCCGCTAGCCCGCGCCGCAGCGCCAAGCGCCACTCGCATGGAGCGCGGAGTGCAGTGTAGTGTAGTGTCGTTGTGGTTTGCCCTGGCGGTAATTAGGAACGGCCGGGCTGGCGGGCATCACGTATGGCGCCACACACACACACACACACACACACACACACACAGACGGACAGAGTCTCCAGTAGGGTGGTGTGTTCTGGTCGTGTCTGCAGCTCGCCCGCTTCTTGCCGGCTTGTCACCGCCACGCTCGGTGGAACCTTGCCGCCGTGCCCGTTGCCCTGCCCGTCAAGGTGGCCGGCAACCCGATACTCCGTGCCACTCCGTGCACGCGCCCGGTCTGCCCCGCCTAGGCTCGCCGGCTTGGCTGCCCTGGGCCAATGTACGGCTCTGCCCTGGGCTTGCCGTGACCGCCACCGCACAGTGGGCCAGAAGACCAGTGGAGGCGAGCAAAACTCCAGGCGCGTTTTGAGCTCCAGAGCCGCTAAATGGGAATCGAACCGAACGTGTGACCCCACCGATGGATTCCTCGTTCGGAGAGCAAGTCATTGGTGGGGTCACACGTCCGGTTCGAGTCCTCTTTAGCGACTCTGGAGCTCAAAACGCGTCTAGAGTTTTGGCCGCCTCCACCGGTCTTCTGGCCCACTGTGCACCGCCCCGTGGACTGCGTAGACGCCGTAGACGGACTGCGCACTCGCGGGCAGGGCCTCAAGTTCGCCCAGCGCGGCTCGGCGGCGCCTCGGCGCGGGGCCGCGGCTGTCCATGTGCATCAGAGCTGCAGGCTTGCCCGGCTTGCCGCATGCTTGCTGCAGGCCGTCGTGATGCCTGGCCACCGCGCCGAGCCTCGGCCGCTTGGCGCCGCCTGGCCCTCCTTGCCGGTCTCTGCCGCGTGGCCGCGTGGCGGCGTGGCGGCGTGGCCGCGTGGCGCGTACACCCTCTATATTTATCCGCCGGGCGGGACGCGGCTCGCCAGGCGGAAGGCGAACCCCCATGGCTATCGGCCCGCCAATGCGCTGCCCGCTCTGCCGGCCTCACTGCAGACTCCTTCGGCAGGGGGGTCTCTCTCTCTTTCGCACTCCCGGGGACGTCCCTTCATGGGCGCGAGAGAGATAAAGACCGACGGCCGCACTGCGCGTACGCCGCGCACGCCGTATGCACCGGCCCGGGGGGAGGCCGCAGGGCGTGCCGCAGGGCCAGGCCCTCCTGCCCGTCACCGGTGGGGTTATTTGTGCTATCGATCAGGTTTCTTCCTCGGTTTGGTTCCATCGTGCCTGCCGTGCCTGCTGTGCGAACGGAACGCCCGACACGTTGACCCAGCCAAATACTCGGCACGGACGCGGGGCCCTGCACGCGTACTCGGTACTCATTGTCCGCAGCCGTGAATGAGAGTCGTTGGTTCCCGCGGCCCGCCGTGGCCTGTGTCCGGGTCACACCCACACATGTCAGCGCGCGAGCTGCGCGAGCTGCGCGAGCCAAGTCGGGAGGGAGGAGGCCGTGTGAGGCACGTCGTGGCGGAGGTCGGAGCCAGTCGGAGCGTGGTGCAGTGCAGTGCCATGTGACTACACTACGGCCCGCCATGTGCTCCTCACTACTCCTCACTGAGCGTCGCAGCGTCGCCACGAGCTTGTGTCCGTGGGAGGCCTTCCGCGGCTCTCTGTCTCTCTCTCTCACAGCCGCGGCAAAGCTTGACTTTGAACGCCCCCGCAATCGGCCGCCATCGAGTGGCGCCCCCGGACTTGGGGGTGGCACGCCATGGCGCGGCCCCTAATGGGGCGCGTGCTGGTGCTCCGTCTCTCTCGCACTCATGGGGCGTCTCCCATAGGTGTGAGAGAGACGGAGCGACGGCTCTCGGAATCAGTGTGCTGGGCCGGCTGGGCCCCCGCGACTGCTGCACTGGTTGCTGCTGCTGCTTGCACCCCCTCATCAGTGGCACGGCGTAGTGCGGCAACGCCACTTCTAATGGCTCTTTGTGGCCACTCCCCGCGGGGCCTTGAAGCCGCCCGCTAAGCACCACACACACACACACGCACGCGTACGCCTGGTCTCTCTCTCGGCCCTCGATGATTTACTGGCGCCCCCCAGAGTCCCCGCGGGGGCCTGCCGGGCCTGCCTGTGGCCAGCAGGCCGATTCCGAACCGCGCTTGCCGTGCCGTCTCTCTCGCACCCTCCCTGCGGGTCGTCGGGGTCGTCCCATCCGTGAGTGCGAGAGAGACGAGCACTTCGGGGTGGGCAGGCTTCTGGCTCTGTAATCCACGGCGTCTCCGGCTGCCGCCTCACGCCGTCTGCGTGTTTTGGTGTTTTTGGCGGCGCGCCTCCTGTTTTGCCTCTGTTTTGACCGGGCCGGGCCGTGGCCGGGCCGGGCTGTGCAGGCCTATCCGATGTCGGTTTCGGGTGGCGCGCCGCGGCGGCCCGTGCACCCGCTGTTCCGCCGGATGGTGTCCTAGCCTTCCCCTCGGAGCGATGTCGAAGAGCAGCCTTTACGTCGCTCTGTCTCGCTCGCACCGCCACGGAACGCCCTATGTGGTGCGACGGAGACAGAAAACTTGTCCTCGGAATCAGCCTGCAGGTGCTTGCACCGGCGCCCACCTGTACTGCTGCATTGGGGCGGGGGCGGCGCGGCGTTCCCGCTTTGCGTTCCCGCTTTGCGTGCCCGCTCGCCATCACGCCGGTCTTTGCCTGCTGGGCTGGGCCTGCTTGGCCGGGCCGATGCGGGCAAATCGATTTACAATTCCTTGTGAACTCGCATCGCCGCGCGGTGGACGCCATGGGACATGCCGGACTTTGCATACCTTCGCGCCGAGTCCGAACAGTGCTTCCGTCGCGCTGTCTCTCTCGCACTCGTGGGACGTGCCCCAGGGGCGCGAGCGAGACAGCCTGCCGCTTGACGGCGGCGACAGACAAGCGCTCACACGTGTCTTTGCTGTGTTCCAGGCTGGAGCGGGGACCGCGGCGACGACGACATGCTGCTCCACGCGCGACGCCGGCGGCCCTCCGACTTGGGGGGTGAGTGAGCAAGAAGTCGGAAAAAGTAGGAGATTGTTTTAAAAGTAGGAGCGGGCGCCCGCGCAGTCCGGGCACGCCACGCCACGCCACTGTTCGGAACGGAAACATGGCGAGTGGCGCGGGTCGCCATTCCAGCCACGTCGTACGTCACACGAAAAAGGGGGGGGGCTCTATATGGCTTTACCCCCATCCGCCCTCACCCAGGAGGAGGCGTAGGTGCCTCCGAACATGAAGCCACGGCGGTACGGCCAGCGCGGCCACAGGCGGCAGCTTGAGGCTCCGGACGTCCTCCACGGCGCCCCGCCGGCCTGCCGCTCCGCCGCGCCCCAGTCAAGTGCGAGTAGTGATTCCCTCCCTCCGGCCCCGGATTGGCATTGCTCGCGAGGCTCCAGGCTCCGGAAGGGGAGTGAGTCGACCCGCGAGAGTCGTCTTCGTCGCTCTGTCTCTCTCGCACCCGTAGGGGACACCCTGCGATTGCGAGCGAGACAGAGCGACGAAAGCGACTCTCGGAATGAGTCTGCTGGTCGTTATCCCGCGCCGCCGTGTTGACACGACTGCGGCGGACACCGCGCCTCGCGCCTCGTCGTTTTGCTTTCCGCTCTCGCCCCGTCCCCGTCGTCGCGTCGCCCCATATTGACACGCCGCGTTCTTCCCGTTTTTCCGCAAGCGCGCGCTTTGACGTGATGGGCCGGAGAGGTTGCGTTATCGCGTCAGCGCGTCAGGACGTCCCGCCGCGATAACCCCCTCGTCGTGGAAGGGGGAGGGGGAGTCTTGGACGGCAAGCCCGTCGAGCCTGTGGTGGTGGCAATGAGCGCGTTGATGCGCAGGGACTATTGAACGGATTGTCACCGTCGTCCGCCGGCCTGTCCGGGGCTGGCTGACTGGCTGGCTGACTGGCTGGCTGGCTGGCTAGCTGCCTCGCCTGTGTCGCGGCTTCCCTCGGCCGCAGGGAGGAGCGGCGGAAGGGGAATGCCGCCCCTGCTCCGAGGGGTCGTCAACTCAGATCGCTCGTGTACGAAGTATTATAGTAATTTATGGTAATATACATACCATATTACCGTTTTTAGGCCGATTTTTCATGCTACCTATGCTCTAAGTAGCCTATTTGGTAATATTTATGGACTTTTAGCGGTAATATAAGAGTAATATACAAGTAATATAGAGCCTGTGTACGAAGTAATATGCAAGTTGACGACCCCTCGCCCTGCTCCGTTCCGCAGTGCTCTGCGCCGCTCTACGCCACACACACCGACACATCGACCGAAGGGGTTGCTCAAATGCCACACCGCCACACCGTTTGAATCGGTCGGGATGCCCCCCCCCCCCCCCCGAGGGAGAGCGAGTACCAAACACACCGAGGGAGAATGTCGCAGTAGGCTTCGCTCCATCGGTTCATCCTTTGACGCCGACAGCGAAGTTTTCGGTGCCGGTGCCTGTCAAGGATGGCCTGATCGAACAAACGTCGATAACTGGAGACCAGGGTTTTCATCCCTGAGTGCGTTTCGTGGCCGCGACTTCCGGCTTGTCGTGTCGCGGTGCTGCCCCGGCATGCCCCGGGCTGCGCGTGGCTGCGCGGCGGTCCGTGCTCCGATTAGGTGCGCCGGCATTAGCGCCCTGTGGGGTGTGGGGTTGGCGGGGGCGGCGGCGCGTGAAGTAGGCCGCGTTGGGCTTAAATGCCACGCAGCAGGTGTGGCAGGCCTAGAAAAGGGCCTAGCCCAGCCTAGGTCCCGGGTTGGGCAGGCCGGGCAGGCCGTGCCCCCGCCTTCACCCGCCGGCCTCCGAGGACACTGTATACCGTGCCCTGCTAGGCCCGGCTAGGCCGGTGTGGCAGTGCGGTAGTACGTCCTGTTGCTGGGGGCGTGGCCGGGGGCCGGGCTGGCGGGGCGTTTAGGCCGCCACTCTCTCCCTCTCTCTCCCTTTGCTAACCTTGCCGCTTCCGGGCCGAGCCGGCCGGGCCGGGCCTTGGACTTTCTGCGGTCCGCTCCGTTGCCCCGCGGCGTGCTTCTAGCACCAGCACCACTGCCTGGCGCAGCCTGGCGCTATCGATTCGCAAGGCAAGGCGGCCCGGCGGCCCGGCAGGCAGAGAGGGAGAGAGAGGGGGCGGACCATGGCCTAGAGCGGGACGCAGAGCGACGCAGAGCCACGTGGAGCCACGCGGAGCTGCGAAGGCGGGGGCGGGGCGGGGGGCAGGGACGTCGTGATGCGTGGACCAGACCGGCCGGCCCAGCCCTGGGGCCCAGCCGCCCTGCCGCGCCCCGCGGGGGGCTCTGCGCCGCCCTGCGCCGCCCTGCGCCGCCCCTGTGCTGCCCTGCGCTGCCCTGCGCAGCCCTGCGCCGCCCTGCGCCGCCCTGCGCCGCCCTGCGCCGCCCTGCGCCGCCCTGCGCCGCCCTGCGCCGCCCTGCGCCGCCCTGCGCCGCCCTGCGCCGCCCTGCGCTGCCCTGCGCCGCCCTGCGCTGCCCTGCGCCGCCCTGCGCCGCCCTGCGCCGCCCTGCGCCGCCCTGCACCGCCCTGCGCCATGCGGACTGTCCTGGCGCGGACTGGAACGAACGGCCGGGGGGACGTCGCGAAGGGGAAGGGAGAGCGCAAGGGACTGCCTTGCGGCCTGTCTGTCTGTCGGCCTGGTCCAGCTGGGGGGGGCGAAGGACCGCGTAGGACCGCGTAGGACCGCGTATGGCGAAGGGAGGGACACGCACACCGTAACACCGAATGGCCGTGTCTCTGTCACGCGCCCTTTCGGCCCTCGGAGACGGACAGCGGCTGGAACACGCACCGCCTCGCAGGCTTCGCACGACGCGGAGTACAGGGAGTGCGGGGTGTTCGTTCCTGTCTCAGACTTGCACCGCGGTGCGCGCGCGTCCATAGCGGCTGTGGAGTGCCGGTGCGGCCGTTGCAGAAGTCTGATGCCTTGCAGCCTCTCCCGCACCCCTATAGGCTCCACTCCAATTCGACCGGCTTCCCTGTGTTCGGGCGGCCCCGGGCGGCTGGTCCCCGCGAGCGCCCCGTGCCCGCACCGTAAACTTGCGGGGGTTATCTCGATCCCAACGACTCTCCACCGGTCGCTCTGCTTGCTCTGCGCCCCTCAGGGCCACAGCCTCCTTTCGGGCGTCGAGGGCGTGCGGGGTTGTCCTTGTCCACGAGGGCCTCGTTGGAGCAGAGGACGAGGGGGCTCGTCCCGGGCCTTGTGTAATGTAACGGGCCGACAGTTATCGAGTCTGACAGCCGGCAGGGGAAAAGGGGGGGGGGGCTGGCCTTGCCTGTCTTTGCCCCGCTGAATGGCCAACGGCCGTCCTCGCCTTTGTTGTTTGTTGTTGTTGTTGTTGTTGTTGTTGTTGTTGTTGTTGTTGTTGTTTGTTGTTGTTGTCTTGTTGTTGTTGTCTTGTTGTTTCCTCGCCCAGTGGCGCTCGGAGGCCGCCTTCGCCTTGTCTTTCCCCGAAGCCTGGTTCTGCGGAAAGGCAAGCCCGCGTAGCCACTGGGGCGCTGTGCCGAACGCGTTAAACGCCGAATCGGCATTTGACGGGTTCCCCAAGGCCCCCACCCCCAAGGGTCCCCCTAAGGGTCCCCCTAAGGGTCCCCCTAAGGGTCCCCCCCCCCCAAGGGTTCCCCTTTGGCCCCTAGATATCCGCCTGAAATGCATTTAAGCCTCTCTGTACCCCTGTGAGCAGACGAAAAGTGCTGCCTTGTGCCTCCCCCAGGCCGGCCCTGGATCCGCCACTGACTCCCCGTGAGGCGGCATGCGCCTGGCATGCGCCTGGCATGCGCCTGGCATGCGCCGTGGGCTGTAAGGCTGAAGGCGCCCATCGCCACGTCAAGCAACTTGCTGAGCTTCTTGTCGCCGTCTTAGGCAGCCTCAGGACTGCGCGACTGCGCCAGCCCCTCGCCCCACCCCCGCCCCCCGCCGCACGGGATGACTGGGGATGACGGGGCGGGACAGGGGTGGGGGGCAAGACGTGCGAGGTGGGTCGCCTGCTTCTCCCCCTTGGCCCAGCAGACTGATTCCACGCCTTGTGGCCGTCAGTCTGTCTCTGGCCCCTGTACCTACACAGGAAGTCCCATGAGTGCGAGAGAGAGGGAGAGAACGGAGCCTCCTCCGGACCGGAATCAGTCTGCTGCCAGTCTGCTGCCCGCTACGCTCTGCTCTGCACCGCCGAGGTAGCTCCGAGCGCCCGGCAACCTATGCAGGCCTGCTCGGCGGAGGCGCTCGGCGGGTTGCCTACCCTCCGATCCGCAGGCGCTCCGCTCGCGCCGCCGCCGCCAGCGGAGAGAGAGAGAGAGAGAGAGACTGCCAGCTGCTCACTTAGCCGCGGTGGGGCGGCGATGTTTGCGGAATGCGGCAGTGCGGCAATGCCTCCGAGTATCCGGGATGATCCCCAAGGATGAAGCCGGGACGCAGCGGGACGGCCCAGGTCTGGAGGCGAGGGCGTGCCGCCGCTCCCCCGCCCCGCCCCGCCCCGCCCCGCCCCGCCCCGGCCTGGTCGGGCACGGTAGTCGCCCCACTTACAATGGGGTCACGGGCCGCTGGGGGTGGGGGTGCGTCTCTGCATCCTCGGCCACAGCCTCCACTCTCCCACACCACCTTCCCCCTTCTTCTTTTCTCTCTCTCTCCCCCTCCGCAGTCAGCAAGTCTTTGGGGGTTCGTCTGTTTGGAAGACGCCGGTCTTGATTGTGTTTTCGTGTTGTTTTCAGGGCGTGAGCGCGTCGCGCCGGCCAGCCCGGGCAGCACGCGGTGATGTGGTGATGTGCCGCGCCCCGCCCACCCCTTCACCCTCGCCGCCGGCCCCCCGCCCCGTGGAGGGCCCCTCCCGCCCCCTCCCGCCCCGCACGTCGTCTCTGACATGCCTCGTCTCCACTTCTCGCCGGACCCGGCGTCCGAGCCGGAGGTAAGTCAGACACAAACATTGAGATGGTTTGAGTTGGAAATCCTCGTCATCTCACCCCTTCACCTTTCGCACATGGCTTATTGCAGAAGGATCCCCTGCAGTTCAGCCTCGCCTTGGGGGGAGCGCCGGAGGAAATTCAACAGCTAGGCCAACACATCAAAGAGGTGAGAGAATCGACATTCAAATTGGTAAGGTCTTCTTCCACATGTTTCAGCACTAGTGCTGACCGGCCGGTTTGTTTTTCGTTCTAGGTTGCGCAGCAGTTTCTTTACCACTGGAAAACATTCCCCATTTTGTTGCCCCCACCACTGGCATGTGCTAGTGGTACCTGTAAGTCATGCAATGACAACAGTGGTGGGGGTGCAGGTGGCAACATCGGAAATGGCATAGGCATGATGAGTTCCATCACCAACTCTCTTGATGTCAGCTTGGATGCTGCGGGTAATTAAAAATGAGCATCAAAATAGATGAATTGTGGGTATTTTCAATGGCTTCCTTCTGTAAATGTGAATTTACATTTCCTGCAGAAGGAAGCAGCTGGACCCAGTCCTTGGGCCGACGTCACAAGCAACTTAATCTTCGAGATTTGTTCGTGGCTCCATCATTTGATGAACTCGATGCAGTGGCTGTTGACAGCAAAGGCGAGCCAAACCGCTTAAACAGCAAACAGCTTGAATCAGTGAGAGAAAGAGGGTAGGTATTTTATTGTTTGCGATTTTCTTGCCACTATTAATAATGGTACTACAAAGTACCCTGAGAACACCTTTAATTGGCTAAAAGTTTATTGTTGTAAATCTTGTGTCTCTAAAGGTAGTACTTCCACACTGAGGAGAACAATATCTAAAATTAGTATTTTTGCTCTCCATTCTCAATATCCTTAAAAACTTGCACTTGTAGTTAAGTTTCATCATTAATTGAAGCTTCAAATAGGATTATGGTTTTAGAAATGTTTTCTTAATCTGAAGCAGTCTGAAAATTGATAGAAAATTGATATTTACTTGATCATTACTCGCCTGTATTGACTCTTATAATTGTGTTTATCTTTTAAATTTTTTTAATTCTGTTTGAAAGCTTGCACAAGGATAAATTTGGCAAGCCGAAGAAGCTAAGTACCTCTCAGCTGGAGACGGTGCGCAGATGGGGGTAGGTTGCATTCGCTGGGACTCAGTACTGCTGTCCAGTGCTCTGCCATCTTCACCCTTTCTGTTTTTATGCATATTATCATATTATTCATGGGGGGCCATAGATATTTTACCACCTTCTTTGTCTAAGAAATGGTCTTGTAGTATCTATGTTTTAATTTTTTTTTCTTGTGAAAGTTTTTAAATGCTGAGCATTTGCACTCCTGATTTAATTGAAGTACAGTTGCTCTGTGCCTGTTACTCGTTTAATATCAGTTACTCTCTGTTTGTAGTGATATTTTTTTTCTTCTTTGCCTTCATTTCTTTCTTAGCTGTTTATTTCTTTATTTGTCAGTTTTGAGGAGTTTTGTACACTCCTAGATGTGTAGTTTTAAAGATTAAATTGTTGCTGGAACATTTTGGCTGTCACAGTGACAATTTGAGCTTTTTTAATTGAAGAAATCAATCATAATTCCTGTATGGCAATGTCTTTGATCTGCTTCAAATCTTCCTGTTTATTTTTTGTTTCCCATTTCATTGTTGTCCTCCTTTTCCCTTGTTATATGTTATTACTGTTCTGATATGTGCTGATAATTTCAAGATAGAACTGTTTGCTTCTAGTGTTGAAAGTGTACTTCTAGCTACCCTCAACATTTGCACTCCAATTCATTTAACCTACCTCCCTTTTTGTTTTCCTTTTGCCACTTCTTCAATGATTTTGTTTTGTTGCAGGGAGTTCGAGGTTGAAAGCTTAAACTTCCCGGGTCAAGTCCACAAGTGGCAACTAAGTCAGTTTCTTCAAAAGGGAACTGAACGAAGCCGAGAAAGTTTATTAAATGATTTGGCCTTGGCCTTACGTTTTGTGTTAGTCACAGGAAGGTCTCGCTTCATGTCTCATTTTTTTAGTGTTACTCAATCTCTCCAGTCATTTTTGGTTGGACTTTTACGTCTCTTAGGTACTTGATTGCACTTTATTTTCTAGACAAATGATTTAACAGACTGATATTATTGGTTATTAATCAGTTTCCTCTTTAATTTCAGATATTGTTGTAGGAATACCAACTCTTCAAGCACACAATTTAGACGCGAAAATTCGTGAGGAGCGTTGTCGTTATTTAGTTGCAGAATTGGTTTGTCGAGTATGTATAAATCTAATAAAATTTCGATTTATTTAACACAAGTATCACCTAGAAAAAGCCTGAGATCTGGTTCTTTTACGGGTGTGTTACAGCCCGAGTTTGAAGACACCTTAGAAGTGTTGTGCAATTTTGTAAGAAGGCAGCTAAAAAGAGCAACAATGGAAAAATTTGAACTTGAAAGGGAATCTTCACATCCACCAGTGCCTGTACCGTATCAATTTTTGACTCCTAAGGTAAATATTGAGGTATTTCAAATGAACTTTCTATCTATTTATATCTACTTTCGGCAAGTAAAATTCTTTCTTTGTTTTCCAACATAGGGCATAGAGCTGGATTTGAGACTTTTTAGTAGGGATATTATGAAGCGCGCTCTTCCTATTTTAGTTAATATTCTTGAGCGAGAAACCAGAGGCTGGTTCTTGCATTTTCGTGAGAGACTGATTGGGGAGTTGCGCACAAGGAAGTTACCTGATGAAGAAATCGAAAAGGTTTGTTTCTGTGTAATATTGGATTCATTGTTGTATTATCCTTCATCAGTGTATGAATAAAAATTAAGTTGGGAACTTACCTTTGCAGGAAGTTAATCAGGCAGTGATGAGAGAATACCTCCAGCGAGTTTATACTGGTATACTTACTCATCCAGATATTCTTGCTCTTGGAGATGGTATTGCACAACTCTTAGTTCAACAAGCTCAATCTGTTGTACTCATGCATAGGTAAAAAAGAAGTTTGTTTTATTTTTACCAACCAAAACCAAAAAAATAAATGAAGAAAAACAGAAATAAGTATGAAAGAAATATACATTAATTTGAATCCTTTACAGAGCTGTTGAGAATGTTCAACACAAACTTGCTAAAACCAAAGAAAATTTGAAACAAAGGATGGAGCTGTCACATCCTGTTCTGTCAAGAATTGAACCTTGGATGAGAGAAAAATTAAGAAAAGCAGAAGCCCGCTTTATTGAAGACTGCCAATGGAGTGCCCATGAGGAAGCACTCTGCCTTTGTGCTTCCCAACAATTGCATCAAACTATTTACTTTTTGAACAGAGATCTCACATTTATGAGAGAGGTTGCTTCATTTTCTAAATATTCTCATTAAACTGGATATTTATGTTTTTGTGTATACTTTATGCCCATTTTTAATGTTTCAGAGAGAGCCCGTTCTTACAAAGGAGCTACGAAAAGTTAAAACACCTACTAGGACATTCCAATGGCTAACTCGAATTTGGCTCCCTTCACATTGGGTTATTAGGAGGAACTTCCAAGGCCAGTCTGATGTAATACCAACAGTTCTAAGCAATCAAGCTACTTCTATTACTACCCCTCGATCTGATCCTAGCCAGGTATGCAAGTAGAGAAAAAATGCACTTTTTAAAATTACTTGTAAAATAACTGGCAGATTATATATATTGTTTTTTTTTCTTCAGCCTGTGTTTCTAGTGGAAAAGGAAGAAGTCAGAACCACTACTACTCGTTGGCCTATGTGGCGTTGGATAAACTATTGTCATAGAACGTGGAGTTGGACTTGGAATGCTATGTTCTTTTTTGGAGTAAGTGCCATTTCAAGTTTACCTCACTTTCTGTGGGACCCTGCTCTACTCTTGAATTGACTCGGGCATTAATTTGTGACATTTTTCAGGTGGTACTTCCATGGTGTAGCCCACTCAGCTTGAGAGCTCTGTTCTGTGCTGAACCATTCATGCCTGACTTGGAACTGTCCCAAGTTAATGGCACTCTTTTTCCTCGGAAATCATCTCTCACTCCAACTCTTTGTTCTCGTTTGCTCCTTCTGTGGAGGCATATTTCTAAATCAAGAACACACTTCGAAACAAAGCCAGATACTGGTAAACTCTATATACTGTGTAAATGAATGTATTTTTTTTTGTTTTGAATGGAATATGTAGTTTATTTCTAACTTGCTTACTTAATTTTCAGGGTTTATTGGGAAGGGATTCACAAGGCATGTAAACCGGTTTTGGAATTACATTGTGAAAGGAATAATGGGGACTTTAGCTATAGGGATTTTGTTTCCTGCCCTTTGCCTAGCTGTTAGCATGAGCAGTATTGGCATTGCACTTACAGCAGTTTTATGGTTTGTACTGAAATGTCTTTTATACTCCTGAAGCAATCATGGTGGAGTAAGAAGTAAATATAAAGTAATAATATTTTTTTCCCTTCCTAGGATGCCTTGTGTCACTCTCATTCTTCATGTTTTAATGATGCTGGTTTATGATGTTGATTCTCCTGATCCATCACGGAACAGATGGTTTATGGTACTGGAAGCAATTGTCTGGAACATATTTACTCAGGGCATATTGCAGCCCATTGCAGCGCTTATTGTGGCCATTATCGTTTGTCCTCTGATAGCATTCTGTATTCTATCTGGTAAAATCTTTTCTATTTTCAAGTTTGCTAAGTTTGTTATGTTTTCGTTTAGCCAACAAGAATTTGTTTTTCAGTTGGTGTATGTCGGTATGGTTTGCGCCTGGTTTGGGACTCTCTTGTTTATCATCTTCTGATAAAGAAACGTGGTCGTATACCTGCTTCAGACAGCCTGGTAGTTAAGCGAATAGCTGGCCCTGGGCTTGCTTCAAACTACTACTACCAGGTATTTATTTACAAAAAATTAACTTAAGTTATGTTTATCTAGTGTCTGAAGTTAATACTTTTTTTTGTTGCTGTTGCAGATTCGGCCTGAACAAGCTCTTGCTGCATTTGAAGCAAAAATGGAATTAGATGAACTTGCAGCTTATCAGGGGCAAATCGAGCATACTATACTCCAACCACAAAGGGACTTCAGACATTTCGTCGAGGCTTGCTTTACCCCTTTCTCTGCTCAGTTATCTGTAAAGCTTGAACCATACAGTGAACTTGAGAAAGAGGCAGCAGACCTTATTAACTGTTTACATGAAAAGCTAGAGAGACGTAGACGGGGTTTGCAAACTGGTCTTTCAGCAAGTGTGAAGTCCAAAGTGAAGCTAACTACGATGGAGCTTAAGGTAATGTGAAATAAAATGAAACAAGTTTATGTTTGGTTTTCATGTCACCATTCAATACTTGAATATGAATTTTTTTTCCCGCAGATGGCTATACAACAAGCTGCTCTGCTACTTGAGAAGTTCTACCCTTCTCACGTTCTTCGCAATCTGCCTATTTTGGAGGAAGATTTTTGGGAAAACAAAGGGCTGGTTTCGCATGACTGGGCAGGCCTTGCTGGACTCATGTATTCTGATATTTTCAGCCTAGACTTTCTGACTCCTTTAGATGAGGGAGACACAAAATTTAAACTTGAGGTGTGTAGCAATGTGTAGCCCTCTTGTTCTTGTTTTTGTAACTTGTCACTTCCTTAAGAAGAAATTTAATTTCTCTGCAACTTGTTTTTATGTTTGAATTTCAGCCACATTCTCAAGTGGACCTTTCAAGATATACTGAGATGCTGCAATCAACTGAACTTCTTACCAGCAGACCTGATCTACTTGGACCAGTATATTCTCCCCGTGCCAACATACAAATTCAGTCTCCATTTCTTGATGTTTCAGTTTTTAATCCTAGACGTACGATAGGAGGCAAGCATGACAGAAGAATGTAAGTAACATTCATTGGAAAATCTAGTTTAAGTTTTGGGTAAAAAAGTTAATCTTATCATGTTTTGTCATTTATTTCTTAGGGAGGGCAGTGGTGTTATGGGAAGCCGTGTTCGAATGCGAAAGTCTGCAGAGAGCCCTGCTCAGTCTTGTGCTATAACAGCTCCCAGCACTGTGACCATAACTGAAGCTCATGGTGATAATGCAAGCTCCTCTCTTGGTGTCTGGCGTCCTTGGAAGCGCCAATGTGTTCCTTACAGTGCTGAAAAACTCCTCATCCCACTGCCAATTCCTCATCCTGCTCATATTGCAGTAACCATTTACAATCGAGATGCTGATGACCCAATATCTTTGGACACTGATTTATGTCAAGAAATATTGCGTGCTGTTGAGGATGCCTATGGTTTCAAGGGGATTCCCGTAGACATTGAAGGAGGCAACGGCGTGTCCAGGTATAAAGTTGTTTTTTCTATCACCAATTTCATGTTAACTTTTTAGATTTTTGAAACTTGAGTCATTAGCCTACTTTTTTTTTCTTTAAAGGTATCGTGGTGGACCAGGGGATAGCAGTTTTGATAGTGCTGCTTCTCGTAGCTCGTTATCATCCGATGGTTCAAGACCAGCAGTAGGGGACATGTTCAGTGATGAAAGGAGCAGTTCAAGTGTTATAACTTTCAGGAGAGAGGCCCTTGGACCTCCTCCAGAAGACAGTGAGAAAAGAGAAGAGAGAAAAGCAGAAATTGAACATGAAACCTCAGGATCAGGAACAAATCGTACTAACTGGAGACCCACAGATTGGGCTGGTGTTATGAGGCGGAAAAGGAAAAACTCAGGATCTGTTCGTGTGGATCTTGCATCACCTGAAGATGTCACTCTTGATGCAGATGGTACTTGTGTTGTGTTCAGTTCATATGGTACCACTGTTTAGAAGATTAGGATGCATGAAAATTATTACATATGTACATATGTAGGACTGAGATGTATTAGAACATAGATGACTCTCACTCTGTAAATTTATGACAGACATCTGGTACTTAGAATCTCTTCTTATTTTAATTTTATATTCATGACAAAGAACTTGCGTCTATTTCACTACAATTCCTTCGTATTAATGGTTAGTTTAGAGGAGCATATCACCGTCCATTTCAACATGAAACTTGAACTTCCGTTCAACATGGACTTTTGAGTCCATAATTCCTATATTTAAAAGAATTGAAAATTTCGGTCAAAACTTATTGCTAATATATATTGAATGCTTCAAAATTTTGGACTAGATTAGTTAATTAAGCTTTTTTTTACCTTCACGAATTTACACCATTGATAAAGTCGCTTTTACACACATTCTTCAAGCAATGGATTTGTGCAAGTAAAAAGACTGCCTTTCACACATTCTTTATACTTGGTGAGTCTCAAAGCCATGGAGTCTGTTCTTTTGAGGAAAAAAATGTTATTCATCAGCTGTGCTCAAAATTTTTACACAAGATCAAGACTAGTTTCTTACAAGTATACTTTTGTAGACTTGGAGATTCTGTCATGATCCTGAAAAGACGATTTTACTTACTTACTAAAAAATGTGGAAATGCTGTGATTGAGTCTACTTCCTAGTTGTTACTGAATTCTTATTGCTTTTGGCACTCTTTGTATTGTTTTTACTAACTCACTCATCGCTGAACAATTTTTTATTGCTTCTATTTGCTGGTTCTCAAATCATGTAAGGTACATTAATATCTAAACTATTTCCCCTAAGTCTGCATCAATTTTAATAAGTAGCTCTCTAAGAACTACCACTCATGAACAACCATTCCTGTTCCTTAATTTTTGTTTTTAACACTTTGGAAGGACTGTTAACTGATACAGAGTGTTCAAGAGAAATCTAGATTTATTCTGGAAATTTTTCCCATTCCTGTGCAAGTTGCTCAATAACTTGATAATTGCGCGATTTAGACTTCTAATTGAAGATAAAAGATGTGTCCAAGACCTAGGGAGGAGGACTAAACAGACTGGCCACCCATTTTGCAGCTGGGAGAAATGTACAGTTTGTTCGCCCAGTTGCTCATTCTGTGATGTCTGAGCACTGATACACTACCCCACTGTTTTTATGCTTCTTTACTATTATTACTATTATCCAACTGTAAAAGACCCCTTTTATCTAATTTTATCGGTGCACTGTTAAGCAGTGATGCTCATGCTTCCACACAACAGTGGGTAGCCCCATTGCTTAATGCTTGACTGCCATTATGGAATCTTGTAGAAACTTGATCTGATGTATTATGATATACTTAGTTGTTACTTATGTACATTCTTATTTGTTTTTATGAGATCCAAACCACTGTTGTGGCTGTTGCACTAAGGTTGCTGCTGCTGTTAGATTATTGCTTCTTATGACGTTGCCTGGTAATAGCTTGTTCTAGTGGGCACTAAAGTAAAAGTTAGTTTGTGTCTTGTATAATAAAAGAAAGCAGCTTTTTTATTGTTTCAAGGCTCAAGCACTTGATTTGCTACAATAGTGGTTGTAATCTCATGCATTGTAACAATGACTGCCAATAACATTTTATATTATCATTACATTAATGATTGTGATTAATACTGTTTACTGTAAAATATTGTAAAGTAGAGCGTTTTAATGCCAATTCGGACAAGGCTATCGTTCCTGATTTGAATCAAGTGAGAAGTTCATCATTAAGACAAAATATTGTTTGTGATAGTCTTGTAAATATTTAGAATTTTATATTTGAAAAGCATTTTATTGTAAGGCAAGAGCATTCAAGGCTCCAATTTGAATGACGTTTTTTTTTTTTTTTTTACTGGACTTCCCTTGTTTCTTCCTCTGTGGTTTGTCTTCTGAATGCATTCATGATGTTGATTGCTAGTTCCTTTCTTTGTAATTGAAAAATAATTTTGTCATTATCCTAGGATTTATAAGGCAGCAATCACAGAGTGGAAAGACATTATGTGTAAATTCTAGTCACATTCACTTTTGTTTATCTGGTTAATCTGTATTTTTTGTTGGGTGATGTGCAAACGCAATTGAAATGACTTGTTATCAATATTGCAATTAACTTTTGCAATGATTAATTGATGTGGGTTATGCAGTGGAATAAAGTTTATTCATACAAGTCTTCATCTTATTTCTTTAAAACGTGACACCCGGCTAAATTACCCTAACAAGTTCGAACCTTTCGATTTCGAAGGCAAGTAGTGGCACCAAACACGTAAACATAAGCAGACGACGCGGCTGCAGTCCTATATAAAAATGAAACTAAGTCCCCTGTTACACGATAGAGGGTGGAATCTTGTTCTCAAACAAGCACAAAGTCCACAGAGACAGCCCCGCTCTTCTTGCGGCCAAGAAAAGAGCCGGGGTGCAGCACAGTACTTGATAAATCGACTTGTTTGGGTTCGGACGTAGCGTCGGCGGCAGCGGTAGGCGGACCGGGACCGGAAGCAGAGGATGAATCATGCGTAGCCTCTGCGGGACTCGAACAAGAGAAGGTGCAGCGGCGCTGCCGCAAAGCCACGGCGAGAGGGGAAATAATTCCAAGAAAACTGACCTTTAATTGACATTTACTTTCAACTTAACTCCTTTCGTAATTTAACAAGCTCTTTTACCCAAAGAAACCAAAACACTAATGACCTTGGCAGGCTTCGCCACTTTCGCAGTCACGTGACTGTTGCAGCCAATCGCAGCGCAGGCGTTCTACAGCGTACCCTGCGCGGAAGAAATGCGCAAATGTTCAGTAACTTTACAAAATGCCGTCGGAGGCGAAACCTTTGTTGACAGCTCAGACAGAAAAGCCGAACCACTACTCGTAAGTGCTTCGAAATGCTTATTTTGATATCGCGGAGTGTGTGGTTAGTGTTTGCGTTCTTTTTTAAGTGCTCGGAGTAATGAAAACGGTCCACTTTTCAGGTATTTGAAGGAATTTCGCGTCGAGCAATGCCCCCTCTTTCTGCAGCATAAATGTACACAACATAGACCGTATACATGTTTTCACTGGCATTTCATGAACCAGAGGCGTCGCCGCCCGGTTAGGAAGAGAGATGGTGCCTTTAATTACAGTGCAGATAATTATTGTACCAAGTTTGATGAAACAACAGGATTGTGTCCAGAAGGGGACGAGTAAGTAGAACTTTTGTTTTTGTTCATCTTTGAATCAACCTACATTATCTATCAGGCTTCTTCGTACTTTAAAAAATTAGATGTAATCCTTAATTTCGCCGCCAAACCATTCTTAAGTCGAGGAGAAGGAAATAATTGCTTTGATTCTTTGAAGCATCGCTTGAATGATAGCCTAGAACCTAACCTCATCTTGTCACTTTTTGCTCCTTTCAGTCCTGGTGTAATTATTATTGTGCTAATTTTTATCCTCCAAACTCTGTGCGTTTGTTTTAAATTAATATTTGTTTGACTGTTCTTTTAATTTTCAGCTGCCCTTATCTGCACCGAACTGCTGGTGACACTGAACGAAGATATCACTTGAGATATTACAAAACCTGTATGTGTGTGCATGATACTGATTCACGCGGATTTTGTGTGAAAAATGGCCCTCATTGTGCCTTTGCTCATGGAACGCATGACATTAGACCTCCTGTCTATGATATCAAAGAAATTCAGGTGAGAGTAAATTTCAGATTTGGGATCGTAGCAATAATTAAACTTGTTAGCTTTATTCGCTCTAATTGGTCATGTTTTTTTAACGTTGAATGGAGAATACTGTTGTTTTTTAACTATCATTGATTAATAATCGTTGGTTTTTTAACATTTTTCATTGATAGTAGTAAGTTTAGTTGTGTCCTCAATGTTTTCGTTAATTATTGTTTCTTTCTCAGGCGGCAGAGAACCCTGATGGAGACCCAAATTCGACATCAAATGGTCCCAATGCCCTGGATAAGGAAAGAAATCTAATGAATGAAGATCCTAAATGGCAAGGTAAGCTTTTGTAATTTGTCTTGCTTTAGAACTCTCACACTGGATAAAGTTGTAAACAAATCTATGGTGTCTTATTTTTTGTGTGACTCATAAACCCATGCCTTATGTTTTCAGATACAAATTATGTGCTTGCTAATTATAAGACAGAGCAATGCAAGCGCCCACCGCGTTTATGTCGTCAAGGTTATGCATGTCCCCAATATCATAATTCTCGAGATAAAAGGAGGAGCCCAAGAAAATTTAAATACAGGTAACATTCTGTTTGTATTGTTCTAGCTTAATATTAACATGTGTTTTTATTGAGGACGATTTCAATCTTTCTTTTTTTCCTCCCTTAAGGTCAACACCTTGCCCTAGTGTAAAACATGGTGATGAATGGGGTGAACCTTCAAATTGTGAAAGCGGCGATGCTTGCCAGTACTGCCACACTAGAACAGAGCAGCAGTTTCATCCAGAGATTTACAAGTCAACTAAGTGCAATGATGTGCAACAAGCTGGCTACTGCCCTCGTGGGGTGTTCTGCGCCTTTGCACATGTCGATCGTATGTATCGTTTGCTTCTGAGCAATCTAGCCATTTTTTCTAGCTCCCACCAATAGAGTTATGTATGGTGGCCTCTGCCTTGACCTCATGTCAATAAAAGTCTCTTTTAATTAGAAATTAACATATCAAAATAGGAATGAAGCCTATATTACATTGCACATAGAAGGTTCATTTCTGTTTGTAAAAAATATTAGTTTTGTGTCTTCTTTTTTTCTACCCTTAACAAATTTTAGTTTTTTTTTTTCACCCACATTGTATATAACTGTTAATGGGAGCTGGAACTTGAAAAAGATTTCTTGCCGTCAATTGCAACTGCTATCTATAGGTCCTTAACTGGGTTATTTCTTGCAGAAGAAATGAGCATTGCTCGCGATATTGTCGCCCCACATGATTCAGGAACTAATTTGGCTGAAATATTATCATCAGCGTTGCCTGCTGTAGAGAACAACAAACAAAATAATAATAAGCAGGAGAAAGGAAGTGACTCGTCTGCTGGTAGTGGTGAAGTGTCTGAATCTGCTTCTACAAGCAGTCTATGCTCCAACAGTTCTCACAGCAAAGCCCCTGGTGCTCAACTTGCACACAATCGCATTGAAAATAACCACCTTTACACTCAGAGCAATGGGCCTGACATCTTAAATGGGGTAATTGTCTCACATTCTGATGTTTACATTGTTCTTTGCTTACAAATTTTATTTGATTGTTTTATGTGTATTTTCTAGGGTTTGGGGCGCAATCCCTTGATGTCTCTGGATAATGATGGAGTAATGGAATCTGAAAAGAACCAGCGCAAACAAAATCTTTACATGAACTTTAATCAAAACTCTAACTCCCTAGTTAACTCACTAGGCCTGGCTATGTCTCCAATGACAAATTCTTTTTATTCTGCCAATGATACCATAGAGAGTGTTGTGGGTGAGTGTCTTTCTAACCTTGACTCGTACTGTATGAAAGGTTATGCGTTTATGTGTTGTTGTTCTTTACTTGCTTATCTTTTATTCTGACACAAAAGAAACCTGTCTATTCTTCATTTCATTTCAGGGAATGCCCTAGATGATTTGAATTTAGATGATGCTCTCAATCTAGCTGCCTCTATGGATCGTGACTTTGAGACTGAATCACCAACCATTAGCAATTCAATCTCAGCTGGTCTAGCAAGCTCTGGTGAGTAGAAATTATTGTTTTTAAAAGAAGCTCCTAGCTCACATAATGGATTTATCATGAAGGGTTTGATAAGGTTGAAACACAGTATATGTGAATATCTGTTACTTGGCAGAGATTTGCCTAGATTGTCCACAACACACAAAAATTTCTCAATTTTTTCAAAGTTTAGAAACCAGTTGTGTGAGCAATTCAACGAGCTGAAATTTTAATGGAAGGTGAAACAGTTTGAGCTTCTCCCTCCTCTGCTTAAATGGCTGACAACATGGTATCTTTGCCACACGTAAACGCTATTGTATGCATTGATGTTGATTTCCTCTCTACCATTGTGGAGTGTAATGAATGTTCACTTTCCATTTTATAATTCGAGTAATAGAAAAAAGCTTTTGCTGAACTTCCTAGCATGAATTAACTGGCCCGCTGAAACTGCCAGGGACTGCTTTCTGTTAATTTCAAAAATCAAACTGGCAAGATTTGACAGAATAAGGAGCTGCCATTAAGCGCTTTTAGCATATGGAGTGGATATTCTATTTGAGAACTCTTTCACCTTGTATTAAGAGCGGTTGTACTATACAAATTTTGCAGGAATATTGAGTGGCTCTGCACCCGTGAACATTCCAGGTAGCACATTGAATGATCGTGCCAATTGTTTGGGAAACTTCTCTCCATCCACTTCATCTCCTCTGCATCATCTTGGGTCTGGATTTTTGTCAGCATCGCGGTATTCTCATCAGGATTCCTTAGATTCCGTATGTATACTTTCTCTCTAGAGCACTTTTTTGTTATCAAGACCCAAGCCTTTTGAGGAAATCACTATCTTCTGTCTATCATTCCAGAACCCAGCATTTTTGAATCACCATCAAACTCATCCTCTACAGCTGAGCAGCAGTGGTTCAAAAATGGGGAGTAATCACTTTCCAATTGGTGGGGGAAGTGGTAGTAATATGGGAGGTTTAGGCTTTGAATTCAACAATCTTTCTCCTGGTGGAAGGACACATGCCAATCATATTATGAACAACTTTCCTATCAGCCCATCCTTAGCTAACAACTCAGTAAGTAAAGGTTACCTTAATCACATGGTTAGCTATAGCTGATTTTTTACGTCTTGAAACAATGTTATAATTTCTTGCTCTTCCCTTCAGTATAACAAATTAAGAGAAGAACTGACCACTAGTAGATCTAAAATGGCCTCTTGGGATGAAGGAATAGCCCAAGCCAGAAAAGCTTGTGAAGCGTGGCAAAGAGAAGCTGAAGATGCCAATACAAAAGCCAATATAGCAGAAAGACAAAGAGATGAGGTAAGAGTCCACCACAATTTTTAATAAGAATGAATATAAACAGGTCATAGTATTATTTGTCTAACCTGCTGGTCTACTTGTTTGTTTGCGTCTGAAGGCAATGACACAAGTCAAGCTTTTGCAAGGAGAATTAGAAATGCGCCAGGGTGGGCCTTTTATTCATGCTTTGCATAGAGTCTCAGAATTACGCACTCTATCATTGCCATCTTTAAAAAATCTACAAGCGCAGTTAAAATCTGATTTGGAAGAAATTGAAAAGGTATTTTTGGTTTGATACTTTTATTTGCCCTATTCCATAAATCAGGCCATTGAGTCATTCCATTGTATTTCATTTCAGGTTCTATATCAACAAACCGCATCTAAGTGTATGGTGTGTGAAGAGCAGGAGCGTAGTGTAACTTTGAGCCCATGTAATCATCTTGCATTATGTGCTATGTGTGCTCCTAAGCAAAAAGAGTGTCCTTATTGCCAGATACCAATAGCACATACTACTCATTCTACGCCCACTACTACTGTAGCTATGTAGACATAGGTAACGCCATCACAAGACTTTAAATCATAAGCCCCATCATCAGATCTAGCTATTATATATCTCTCTCTTTGGTAGCTGTTTCTTTATAAACAAACACTTTATTCGTTGGACACATTTGGGAATGGGTTTGATTGTCTTAGGGCTAAGTTTTGTATGAAGCTCGTAAGTATGGCAATATATTTCTCTGAGGTGATTGGCTTAGCAGACTATGATTTTAACAGTTTTATATCTTAATGGAAGATTTTTACAGCCCTTTTAGCTATTTCATTTTTTCCCCCCTTATTGTTTTGCCTGAGAAATAGAAGTTATGGGATAGTGTGTTTCAAGCTTTAAAACAACAATTGTAAAGACCAGCATTAGCCATCCTGACCAAGAATGTCTACGGCTCTATCTGTGCAAGCTTGTTAACATTGGAAGATAAAAAGACCAATTATCAGTTTCCTTGTTGTTGTGCGATACCCAATGTGCTTGAACTTCATTCTCTAGAAAATGCATTTAATTTAGCAACAGTCCTCAATGCGCTGAATGTGATCTGGAGTCTTGCAACTTTGAATTTATTTCTGTTTAGAGGATGTGCTCATGTACAGAGGGTAAGCAGTCTGTTTCATGTCAAGGCCTGTAGCACATTCTTGCCAAGAATTTCGCAAGGTGAGTCCATAGTCTTGTGAAGATTAGTCTGCCAAAAGCGAATTCTCCCCAGACAAGTTTGAAGCTTGTAGCTGCTTTCACCTTGCGCAGTTCCGTAAGGATGTTCTTCTTCATTTATAATCTGCATAATTAATTTTAATAACTCTAGAAGCTCTCAGCTTTAAATATGATGGATTTTGAAAGTCACTACCTTTGTTCTCATGCACACGAGGAAACATTGTTATTTACTCTAGGAAAAACATTTCTTGTAGAATTGTATGATATATTCTTACACTCCAGATTTACAGATTGTTATAATTTTAACTCCCTTTTTTTAGAATTTGTGTAATTACAAGGTGGGCCAATCAATTGTTACTTTTCAATTTGTGGAATATGTCTTTATATTTTAGAAACGAATTCATGTTGCAAACCTTATCAGTAAAACTAGTCTGGTTGCAGAAGGAAACTTGGTGAGACACGTTGCTAGAGACCTCATTGTGGACAGCTTTTTTTTTCTGTGTCTTAAGTATTGGTTGAATTTCTACTTCAGATTATATTTCATGCTCTTTGCCCCAAGTTTAATGAATTTGTATGTTTGTATTAAATTGGGATTTTCTTTCAGAGCACAGTGAAACCGCTTAATTTCAATCAATTTTTCTCAGGTGTAGGTTCAAAAAAATTCTGTTTGTTGATGAAGGGAACATTAAAATTCCCTTTTGTGGTTTTCTTTTTTTGTAAGCTTGGTTTTTGTCTTAGGTATCTCATTCTCTTAATTTTCTGTGAGGCGGCACTGCCTCAGAGGATTGATTGTTTGTCCACAGTACATGGACAAGCTTAAAGCTTCAAAGCAGCTTCTGGCAAAGCACTGGGCTTCATTTGATTAACTGAGTTTATATGAGTGTTGCTCACACTTGTATCCCAAAGAGGCATATTGTTATTTAGTTTCTGTTCAATTTCTTTTCTTGTTTTTTTTTTTACCATTATTGCTCCTTTGTTCACATTATGCTCTTTCAATTGTATTTCTTAACACGTTTCTCAGTCAATAGCATTTTAGCTATTTTGACCTTTAGGGTAGTTTATCTTAATTTACTTTCATAACAGCAAAAAAAATCTATAGCAAACACCACACTAGTGTTAATTGATCTGGTAGTGCAGATGTTTATTTTTTATTGAATCTGATTACAGCATAGATCAAAGTATTATTAAAGAGGAACATTTGCTGAGTGAAAATCATTGTTTTAGACATGTATTTATTAATGTATGGCTACAGATGAGTCTTACTTTCTCAAGCAATATCATAGGTTTAATATTTATATGTGGTCAGTGTTGATATGTTATGAAAATATAACAGTGTGGAAAAGTTTACATTGTGTGCAAATTGTATGCTTTTTAATCTGTATGCAACCACTGAAAAGGGGAACTGAAGCTCGTTTCTTACTGTAACTATTCTCACCCAAAATGATAAAAAAATACCCTATATGATACTGTTATGATACTGTTGCCATGTTTTAAGACAAGAAGCTTTTTGTATCTTGAACTGTTCATGCTATTCATGAGTGGCTGTAACTTCCTGAGCAAAATACTGTAATACAAATATTGTATTCATTGATGGCAATGGATCAGAAAGACTGTTTATGACGTAAGTTTCAGGAGCTCTTGATTTGACTTAGCTGGCAATAATTTTATTGTGATTGTTTGTTATTGTCACTTTCATATTCTCTGAAACATGGACATAATTGTACTGATTGAATCCTAAAATTTACTGACACCAAATTTTTCCTCATGCTGCTTTGTAGAGATGGCTCACATCCTTGCAGTTACTCCCTTTTTTTGGTAACTGCCTTGAGGTGAGCCATGACGTTGACGTTATTGCTTAACTAATTTATTGAAGAGCAAGGCCTTCCTCTGATCCAAAAGCTTAGGACCTTTTTATACTATCAATGAATTTCTTGACCTTGTAAGACTCAAATGCCAATATGACACATTTGCTATGTTCGAAAATTATTAGTCTTTAGATAGCTTTGATAATAATGTTCTGTATTTACTTCATCCAAGTGTTTTTGTGAGAAAGAATGTTTTGTCAACCATGATTCTGCATTGAATGTACCCGAATTGTCTAATATTCAGAGCACATCAGTGTTTTCGTTATTTTGTCAATCTTCATCAAGCTTGATTGCTGTGCTTTACACTGCTGTTTGTTGCTGCATAACATGCTAGGTGCCTATTTTAATTTATCTGTTGCTAGTTTAAAGGAATCCCATTTCCTTGTTATACGTATGCACATTATGAACTTGCCATGTTAACGTTGATTTGTGCGTCTGTTCCCTCCTCCGCTCTCCCCCTTCAGTATAAATCTGTATTTACCTCTTCTGCCCCATGTATTACCTGTTAATAACTGACGCGGCCTTCTTTTTAGAATCTAATGTGATAAATGGGATTTATCATGCAACAATCTGTGCCGTTGTTCTCACTGCCACTTATCTGTACCTTTATGTTCGGTTTCCCAACGTTTGTACAACATGGGGCTCTCAATACTTCATTACTACATGCTACTGTAAGCTTGTTGTGGCCTTAGCATTTCATTCAAGTCATCTGATGGTATCTTTCATGGTGTTAATCAATCATAATTTTATCTGTCTGTTCTGTGGAGTTTTTTCTTTCTTCATGTTTGAGAACTCTCATAGCTTCATAGCTCTCTGCAGCTTTGCCATTCTTCTCAATATTTTGCTGGTGAGAAATGCAACAAGCCATTACAAATGCCTCACACAAAATCTGGATTATGGAGAACATATCAAAATGTGTTGACACACCTGATGAAGCTTGATTTAAAACTGAAGCTAGCTTTTTTGGTTGGATCCTGTCTTGCTCTGTTTTTTTCTTATTTCTTTTATTATTTAAATTGAAAACTGAATTATTTATTTGTTTGTTTGTTTGTACCTACTAAGAGAGGTGTTCAGAATTTGTTCTTAATTCAACTGTGCATGGTAGTTCAACTTCTAATTTTCCTTGGTTTTCCTTAGCAAGATGTTGCCTGTGATTTGCGAGTTTCTTCCTCCAGTCAATTTCTTTTTGTGAAATAAGGGGTTTGGAAGGTCTGATAATTTTTGTTTTCATCCTGTTGTTCACAAAGTAATTTTCTTATTTAAAGGGTATGCTTTCAACTAGAACAACTAAGGTCCAGTAAACTTCATTAAGTAACACTATATTCCCAAGGAATGAATTAAGGGTGGTATATTCTTCATTCATTTCTTCCTGGCTCCTTGCTTCAAATTCTGCACACTTCTCTTAAATTCCGGTAAAATTAGTGAGTCATTGTTTCATTTTCATGTGATTTTAAGAACGAGCATATTAGCTTATAATGTTTGAATGAAAGTACTCAAATACCTTTACTTTGACCTTTATATAAATTGTGCTAAGATAATAGGCCTACATACTTTTAGCATTGAGTGTGTCTTTGTCCTAATGTAATGACACAGGTTCTAGGCAGTTAATCAGTGGCTGCTTTTGCATATGTTTTCCTTGGTTGAATTTTTTGAAACGCCAAGACTGCTACTTTGATCAATTTGTATTGAAGCATTGGTTCTTGTAATAATGAATTTGACCAATGCTCTTAAATTTCTGTACTGCAAATGTATATTGCATTTTAATCAATCCTCTTTTATTGTGCATTATTGCGACCTTATTTATTTCTTAGAGAGAAAGTCTCACTTGAAATTTGGTGGCTGTGGTCCTGCTACTTTATAGTACATTCCTGAGATGAAAACTTATTATTGTAAAAACGGATTAACATGAAATATCTAAAAGCAGAGCAGGAACATGGTGCCATGTGGTTTTCAGAATTTATCTTTTTTGTGTGTGTGTGCATTTATCAATGAAATTTGATATATTTCAATTCATTTGTAGTAGTGGCACATTTAAAGCAGTCACATATATTTCCAGTAGCAAAGCTTTGGCATAAATGCATAGACTTGCAGGTAACATGACTTTGCTGCAAGGGGAACAGAAAATGATATTGCTTGTGATTTTCTATATTATTTACAGCCTCTTACTATTTGAGAGTTCCATGATTTGTCTTTGGTAAGGCAGTAGGTTGATGTAATCTATTTTTCCATATGTGTGACATTTTCAAATGTAATAAAACGCGACAAAGCCTTGTTATTAGGAACAAATTCCATAATTTATAATTATTGCTTTGAAAATTTTCTGTGTTTTTCTTTGCTTTGCACAAGCAGGAATGAAGAGAATATCTTTAACATTAAATGTATAATTATATATTTTTAATTTAGTTGTACCTTTGTTTGGATTAAACCCGAACAGACTTGACAGCAGAAATTTGTTGTTTTTATTCTGTGTTATCCCTCCATCCTCTCTTTTTTTCCCTCTTGCAGGTCATTTTAAATTTCTGAGCAAAGAGTGTTCTTCAGTTTGGGGGAATGTTGAGTTGAGGCTCATTCACCTATGCTTAAGAGACCCTTTCCCGGCCCTCTCCCGGTTGCCGGTGATGGCATGCGTGAGCATGCGGAGCAAGGGGCAACGGCCGATGAGAGTGAGCTCGTATCGATCGCAATCGCTGTGTGGGGAAGGAGCCTGCGCGAGCCTCGCGAATCAAAGCCACCCCCTCGCCGGCCGCAAGCCGCGACTGGCCGCGACCATCACGCCGAGCGAGTCGCTCTGTCTCCCTCGCACTGTCGTGGAGAGCGCCGTGAGTGCGACAGAGACAGAGTGACGAGACGACTTTTCTGACTCGGCAGCCGCCCAGCACTGCCCGCACTACACTACTACGTGGGGCCTGGTGGGGCCGGGTCCATCCTCTACACTTCGAAATTCGACTTTCGTACGCATTTCGATATGTTTGAAGGCAAGGCCATTTTACAACAGGTTGCATTTTGACCGGTGAAGGCAGTGAATGAAAAAACAAGAGTCTCTACTTTGCAGAATACAGTCGACATCCACGGCGGGATGTGTTGGGGGAAGGGGGGAGGGAGTCGCGGGTGGCACAGGATGGATCCAGGCAACGGAACCAGGAAGGAAGGGGGAGGGAAGGGCCATTCTTAGAGAGGGAAGACGTGCTGTCTCCAAATCTACTCGATCGGATTCAAGCTGGGTCAGACTGACGAAGACTCTGCACCATCTTCGCTCTTCATGTTGGTTGTAAAAAGGACCTCGAAAAAGTGGTTCACAAATATTTTTACAGAATCTAATGCAATTACAGCATTTTAATGCAGATCGAGCATAGCTGTCTGCGCTAAAGACGAGCCCTTTTCACGGCATGTCCGCAAAAGCTGCCAAGGTCGACCGTACGCGATGGTCTTGAACGCGCCATAACCTGTCAGTTGAGGGCGGTGGTATCAGAGGCCCAGCCAAATCGCGCTAAATCCCCTGTTAAAAGCTGAAAAACCATGGACAACGTTCAACCAGCTGATGCATTTAGGAAGGAGAGACTAGAAATGCGCCGACCGGCCAATGAGAGAGCGTCTTATTTCGACCAATGACGACACGGCTCCGGCGTGCGGCGACCAATGGGAGACGAGCTTATTTTGACCAATCAGAGCAGAGCAGCCTGGAAGTGACGCCGTGCTGCTTGGATCTTGGAGAATCAAGCATTCGTTGTGTCGCTGTTTTCTATTCCTTTTCGCAGTTTGTTCCTTGCCGGTGAGTTGAATTGATGCATCAGAGGTGTATTTGGCCCCCGTTCTCAATCGTGACTAATTAGTTTCCTTGTCCATTTCAAATTTTCGGTACTATCTCGTGTTTTTCCTAGGCTGCCCCATGGTGTAGCCCGTACTCCCGTGTGTAGTCCATTGACTTGGTTCGGGTTGTTATTTTTGCCGGTTCAGGTGCAACTGGGTCATTTCATAACTTATTTCGCTACTTCGTGACTACCGCTTAATTCCCATTTAAACCCCCGTCCCTGGAATACTCATCTTTTGACCGTAAGATCTGTTTGACATCTCGCCGTAGGACTGTTGTTGTTCTGCAGGTGAGGGGCGCGGGGCGCGGGGGTGTCACAACAGTAGCTGTAGTTCCAGTTTTCGTATTATGGCGCAATATGTTCCTGCGCCATTTGTCTGAATCTTTCTAGAGATACTGCTTGTGCCCATTTTGCTAAAATTGCTGCCGGTTACTTTGCTCCCGCCAAAAGGATCGGTCTGCCCTTCTGTCAGCATTCCGCCATCTTGATTTAGAAGTGCATTGTCGTAGTGCAGTTCATTTTAGCGAGTTCTCGTTTCATTCTGTTCGGAAGTCAAGAAGTCACCGCTGATTATCTACTCACTGGTCAACTTTTTCCTTTAGGTTTTGTGGGGGTTTCTGTCACGAGCTTCATTGTAAATGGTGTTGTTTACGTTGTTAATTTTCTAAGCCTATGATTTACCTCTTTGTTAACAGATCTGAGTCGCAATGGCACGTACTAAGCAGACCGCCCGTAAATCCACCGGAGGAAAGGCTCCTCGTAAGCAGCTGGCTACCAAGGCTGCTCGTAAGAGCGCCCCATCCACCGGAGGAGTGAAGAAGCCTCACCGTTACAGGTAAACTGAGTTGCCCCAATGTGTGTTTGAAGTTTTTGGGGCTTTGCTCGAAGACTAACCGTTATTTCTGTATTTTAGGCCCGGTACTGTTGCCCTCCGAGAAATCAGGCGTTACCAGAAGTCAACTGAGTTGCTGATCCGCAAGTTGCCTTTCCAGCGACTTGTTCGTGAAATTGCGCAGGACTTCAAAACTGATCTCCGTTTCCAGAGTGCTGCCATTGGTGCCCTCCAGGTTTGTTCAGATGTCTCTTGTGACGTATCCATTTTGTGGTTGTGTTCTGGTGCCCTAACCTTTGGTTCCTGTTCCCATCCCAGGAAGCCAGTGAGGCCTACTTGGTCGGCTTGTTTGAAGATACTAACTTGTGCGCCATTCACGCCAAGCGTGTGACCATCATGCCGAAAGATATTCAGCTGGCGCGGCGAATTCGTGGTGAACGTGCTTAAGTCACTGGCAGCTGTTTTTTTATTTGTTTTTATATCACCTTTTGGGATGATTATTGTCGACAGTGAATGACAACTCCCGAGGACTCTGTCTTCTTAGCTAAATCAGACATCTACTTTCACTGCCAGGGAGTTGAGATAGAGAATGTCGAGGATTTATGATGTTTGGTTTTTAAGACTGGATTCAATTCTTACCTTTCAGTGTGTAATGTAGTGTGTGTTCAGTTATAAGTGCTTCTGTGTCACCTTTAAACTGAGGCCAATACATGTATTGTGCTTTGCCCAATAACATTGTTTTCATTTTTGACATGTTGAACCAATCAAATCCTGGTAATTAATTCTGATCTGAAGTCCATGACTGGCAATGAGACTTATAAGCAATATAACTTGTGGGCTAGTGTGCACATGTAAAACTTATTTGCTGTAGTCTTTGCACCCATTTACCTATTTGGGCAAAGGGCCTCTATGATTTGCATTATTAGCTGATAGAAATATTTGGTCGTTCTAATTGTATCCTTTTATTGTTTTAAGTTCTGTCAAACATTTTGTACAGAAATGTTAGTGGTGCATTACACGTGTTGCACTATTGTAACACTTTTTATTTAATTAAACTTAGGTTACCTTATTCCAAATGTTCTTTTTTATTCCTCCTATGATGAGTTCCCCCCCTAAATCTCTTGGTGATGGCCCTTCTTAGTGACTCTGTCCATATTCAGTATCACACTAGCTAGAGTGGTGTCAGTATTATGTACGATTAAAGGGGTTATACTACTATAAAGCTAATAAAAGTATAAACGCCAAATTGTCTGGCAATTTATTGAAATCCTACTGCCCTCATATAGGAATGTATTCAAGTGCTTTCACAACAAAGCTCATTTCTTCTTTTTCATTACTTTCATGAATACTACCATATCTGCAAACAAGACAGTTAGTAAATGCATCTTATTTAAAAAGAGGACGATATAGTTGAGGAAATACTTACTGACAAAAATGATAACAACCACAGCAATCATAACCCACATCCAACACCTCCATGCTCGTCTCGTGTGTTCTTCTAAACGGGCAGATTCTAATTTCAAACGTTCAAAATTTTCGTCTGTAAGTGATCCTGATTTTTCGGCTACCTGTAAGGAGATGCAAATCACTTAGTTCAAGCCATTTATAATCTGCTGAGGAAGGAGGTTGAAAAGCCTTCTTACTTCTGTGTCTTTCTTAATAATAGTGCTGGCTAGATGAGACTGTTCTTTAAGGTTTCGTGCTAGTGATAACATGTCTTCTGCAATCTTCTCTTGCATAGCATGATGGTGGCGTAAGAGGGCGTCAAGATCTTCACCAGAAGAGACCTTGCTGACCTTACGCTGTCGTAGTGTTTTGGGTCCATCAGCTGCAGAGAAAAAGTTCATGATTGAAACAATGATATAAACAGTATATCATAAGTTAAAACAAAATTTAAAATGTCATACAAGACTCAGAGGAAAATAATTCATCACGGAGCTCCTCTGCATATTTTGATGTTGTCTTTTGATGAATCTCCTTCGTTATTACTTGTGATGATGATGGGCCTGGCTGAAGGAGTTGGGCTGCCACCACCTTTTCTTCTGGAGTCGGCTAAAAAAAAAAGTATAAAATAACTACATATGATCAATAGAAAGACACCTAAGAACACACGGAACTACTCTCACCAAGTTTTGAGTGTGGATCAGTCCTTTTAAAAAATCAACCCTGCGTGCATATTCACCTAATGTATCCTTGGCAGGTTTGCTGAGATACAGAGGGGAAGAACAAACTAGATTAGTAAGATTACTCCCATTATATATCAAACCTTATTTAAAGGAATCATTATTGAGTAAACATAAAATCATCTTACTTGGGCATGCGCTGGAGATTTCGTAGCATTTCATCTAATGCTCCAATGTACTGCAATCATAGTTCCAAATGGCATAAGAAAACAGATGCTTCCCGATAATGCCAGTTACAAAAGCTAATCAATCTAAACATCATTTTCACATGCCATTGGAAGTGGCATAATTTATTTTCATGAATAGAAACTACTTACCTTGTCAAGTCTCCAATCGGTTTGGAAATTCTCTTTCGCTCTTAGTTCGCACTGAACCAAAAGCCCTTTCAGATTAACCTCCAGCCTGGAGGGTCCCATGATAAATCACTGTAATGATAGCAAAATTCCTTGTTTTTAGTTTCCCTAAAGAAGTGAAATATTTCAGTGTTTTATGTCTGACATGTAACCTGCAAGTTACAAGTTGTTTACGTGTGTATTTGTTGTTGATGTCTTTTTTGTGTTGTTGTTGTTGCATTGTTTTCTGCTTCCAAGTGACCAACTAAGGTTGGTCAAACTCAAAGGAGATTTGTTTCCTACCACTGATGTTCGTCTTTTTACTCCTGGATGTTTTTCGACTTGCTCTGGTGTGTTTTTCTTATTCTGTTTAGGATATTCATTCATTAAATCCAATTCAAGGTCCTATTTTCGTGCCACAAAAACTGATTTTGTTGGGTTGGTCATGTGTACAGCGCGTCGGCTGCAAAATAGCTTTGTCAGTTGTCAATATTTTACTTTTTTGTGCTATTTTTAAGCAGGAAGTGGTGAAATTTCAGTGACTGAGCTCAATCTCATCGTCTTTCGGAAATCTGTGGTTTCAAGAAGATAACAGTTTCAGTCTTTCGTCGTTTTAGTCGTAAGTTTATTCCTCTTTTGTTGTATCTTAGAGACCTTACAGCAAAATGTATCAATCCCACTCATTTTCCCCTTGTCTGTTAAGAGTCGTGCCCTAAACTGAATGCCATTGTCTGTTCAGAATGCCCACTTTCATGTCCTTATGACATCTATTCTGTTCACATATCAAAGAGTCGATATTTGTATTCAATTTGAGGTTAGGCTTTCCTCACCCCTGTGTTACCCTGTGTGTCTCATCAGACTTAGTGACCAATATATAATTTTTCGCAATGGTATTCTATCAATATGTTTTTTGTTTTGTTTCAGGAAAAAATGGTGTGCGTACCCTGCTTTGTCATTCCAGCTCTCATTTTTATTTTCCGAATGGTAATCCAACCTTTGGTGTACCGAATTTGGGGACATCGTATGCAAGAGCCTGCACTCTCTTGCCCCATGCCCCAGAAAAAGAAGAATTTGAATGCTAGTGAAGATTCTAAATGCCCTGTTAGTGGAACTGAGGCTACTGAATCAAGTTCCCTTGAAGGGAGCAGTAAAAAGGATGACTGAGTGTGATTTTTATGTGATTTTAATTATCAAGAAAATGTGGTTTTACTGTAAGTGAACTGTGAAAATAGTGAGTGTTGTTAGATGTGGCTTTGTTTCTTACTGGTAATTCACAGTAATGCCACTCTGATTTATTTGTTCTCACCTTTCTTCCATTCCAAACCTTGTTTAAATTTTTTTGCTCTGTTTTCTATGAACTGAAATGTCAGCAATGATTTGGGGGAGGGAGAGGTATGCCAATGCCTCTTTTTTTTAATTTTTAATTTGTAATACTGTGTGTGCGTGTGTGTGTTTGTAGGCCATAAAATAAAACAGCAGTTATGTCCTTGCAAATGGTGTTTTCTTTCATATGTACAGACTGTTTTGGGTCTTCCCTTTCTCATCTCCGCACGACGGCCTTCCTGCCGCCGGGCCGCTGGCCGGTGGTGCCGAGCCCCGTGACGGCGAACACCGAGCCGGCGGCGGGTTGCGCTCGGAGCTGCTCCTCGGACAGCCCCTTGTTCATGGTGGTGACGTAGAGCGTGGAGAGGTCGCGGCCGCCGAACGCCACCGAGGTGACGCGCGAGGCGGGGATCGGGACTTGCTGCAGCAGGCGGCCGGCCACTGGGTCCACTTTGATCACCTGGAGAGAAGAGCGGCCCAAAGAACACGAAACGCTCACAGTGACGTCATTTTGATGTCAATATGACAAATTTTAGTCAAAATTTCGACAAAATGAGCATCATTTTGCAGTCATTTTGACGTCCTTTGACTGTTTAGTGTTCTTTGGGAGACAGCGACGAAACCCCATGCGGAGTTAGAGTGCAGAGCCCACGGCCTACTGCGACGTACCTGGCTGCCGTCGAAGCAGGCCACCCACAGGTTGCCGTCGGCGTCCATCGTCATGCCGTCGGGGCTGCCGGTCACGTTGTTCGCCCGAAAGTCGAACGCGGGGCGGCCGTTTGCTGCCGAGCAGAGAGAAACTCGTGTGTACCGCTCAACACTCCGGCTCGACGGGCTGGCCCACCCTGCAGGCTGCCGGCGCCCGCGCAACGCAGGGTAGGCCATCCCGCTCAACACTCCGGCTCGACGGGCTGGCCCACCCTGCATGCTGCAGGCGCCCGCGCAACGCAGGGTGGGCCATCCCGCTCAACACTCCGGCTCGACGGGCTGGCCCACCCTGCAGGCTGCAGGCGCCCGCGCAACGCGGGGTAGGCCATCCCGCTCAACACTCCGGCTCGACGGGCTGGCCCATCCTGCAGGCTGCAGGCGCCCGCGCAACGCGGGGTAGGCCATCCCGCTCAACACTCCGGCTCGACGGGTGCCGCCGCCGCCCTGCCGTGCCCTGCCGCCTCTTCCACTCACAGACAGTGCCCTTGTCGGGGTCGAAGTCGAAGACGTCGATGCGGCCGGTGGGCGTGTCGATGTAGTACATGAGCGTCTCGATGTCGTTCCACGCCAGGCCGTTGGAGATGTCGACCGGGGAGAGGACCTTCTGCACATCCATGCGCTCGCTGCCGCGCACCGACGAGTTGGCCGCCTCGAAGCGGAACAGAGACCCCCGGCCCAGCGTCACTTGACCCACCACGGGCTCGGGGCCCATGGTCCCTGGAAACGAGCAACAATGCACTTCATGTTTTTCCATATTGCTAGTCGATTTATTTTTGGCGTGTGGCAAAGTTCGTTTCTCACCGATCCACAGGCGGCCGCGACGGTCGGCCTTGCCGTCGTTGAAGCGGTTGTCGGGCTTGTCGCGGTCCACGGACGCCAGCAGCGTGATGGTCTGGTTGACGTGCGGCTCCGTCCCCAGCGCGCCCCAGTCCACCGTCACCAGCACCAGGTCGGCGCCCACCCCCACGACCAGCTGGTCCAGCGTGCCCAACACGGGCACCACGGGGCTCACGGGACCGTCTGCAAAAGGAGACGCGTCGCGTACACAGTCCGCACGAGTCGCTTCGTCGCTCCCGTCCAGTTGGGCTGAGAGAGAGAGAGAGAGAGAGAGAGAGAGAGAGAGAGAGAGAGAGAGAGAGAGAGAGAGAGAGAGAGAGAGAGAGACAGACAGACAGACAGACAGACAGACAGACAGACAGACAGACAGCCGCTGTCTGGAACCCGCGGCTGGACAGCGGGCATTCCCTGTCGAGGACGTCCAGGATACCGTCGATTGGCGGCAAGCAGGGGGCCAGGGCCGAGTGCCCTGGCCGAGCTTCCAACTCCTTTTTCTGGAAGGCGATGCTCGTTTCCCGGATTATGGTCGCGTTGACGGAAACTGCCGGCCTGGCCAAGGGCCTGGCCCCTGGCGCTGCAGTGCCGCGCAGTGCTGCAGCCTGCAGGCGACGCGTTGCCCGCCGCGGCCGCCGTTCCGCTCGCGGGCTGCGAACTGGGTGCAGCGGCCCGGATAAGCTTCGGAGAAACTGCGTCCCCTGCCGCCAGTGCCGCCTGATTCCGAAGGATCGTTACGTCGCCCCGGCTGTCTGCGTCTCTCGCACCCCTGCGGAACGCTGCGGAACGGCCCGGCCAAGGGCCCGACTGCGAGGGAGACAGAGAGAACCGGGGGTCGCTACCATCACTTCGATCCTCCGCAGGCGTTTTCGTTTCCAGTCCGCTTGCCGCGCGAGCTGCCGCACTGCCGCACAGCGCGGGGCAGACACCCATAGCTTTCCCACCCTTCGCCCAAAAAAAAATAATCAGAAAGTGAGTTGCCTTTGGACCCGAGGGCCCTCAGACTCACCGAAGTGAACCGTCTTCAAGTCCTTGGTGGCCGGGTCGTAGCGGTTCAGCTTCTGGCCGCTGATGTCCACGTAGAACAGCATGTTCTGGCCGCAGTCCCAGTGCGGGCCTTCCCCGTGCGACGAGGGCGGCGTCACCTGCTCGATCTGCTGCGCCATGCCGCTGCTGCAACAGGACAAGAGCGGCGTCAGGAAGGCCAGCCCGGCCAGGGCAGCCAGGGGACCGAGGCCGTTCTGCGTGCTGTTTGTCCTGACTCATGACACGGTGAAATCGGACAGCCCAGGCCCCAGGCTGCCGGACAACCCCGCTACCTATCACATCGGCCGTGCCGGCGTGCTGCCGCCTTGTCCGCACCGCGGCCTTGGCGCCTCGCCGCCGCGCACGCACTCGCGCCTCGCTTTCCGGGGCTTGGTTGTGGAGGATGCGCCAAAGTGTACTGTAATCGCGGCCGCCTCCACCTCAGGGCCGCCAGGCTGCGCCAGGCTGCGCCACGCTGCCGGCAGCGCCTACGCCGCCAACGGGCCGCGACAACGGCGTGCTCAATCGCGCCGACCGGACGCGCCGGACACTAGGACACCGCGCGGCCGCACCGACGGCAACGCCAAACCCGGCCAAACCAAACCTGCCGCAAGGAGCCTAGCGAGAAGCCCGTCGTCGGCAGGGGCGGGGCGCCGCGGCCAAGCCGGGCCAAGCCGCAAAGTGGCAGGGCTGAAGAGGCAAGACACTAGCGCACCGCAAAGGTAAGGGCGCACTCTGCCCCAAGACTTGGGACTTCCCCCAAGTCACGCTTCCAGCTGCCCCAGCGCCGCAGCCGCAGGTCGCATCTTTGGGACCATCGCTCATTGGGACGACTCGGACCGGCTTCCCCTCACGGCAGTGCTGACCAGTGCAGGCAAGTCCTCGCTTCTCTCTCCCGCCCCACGGAACGCTCCATGTGTGCGACCGAGACAGAGCACGAAGAAACGATTCTTCGGAACACGACGGCTGACCTGGTGAGGGCGACCGCGAGCACCGCGAGGGCGACTGTCTCCGCTGCACCGGCCATCGTCGTGATGGTCGTGTTGTCCCGCGGTCGTCCAGTGCTCCGACTGAAGACCGAAGCTCGCCTCGGCGCCTCGCCTACCCACCCGGAAAGCCGCGGGCAGGCGCGGCGGGCACGGCGGGCACGGCCCCCCGCCAGTCTAGCGGGCTGGACGGGGAAGCCTTAGCGCCTCTTCCATGTCCAACGTCGCGGGCGGCAAGGCACGGCAAGCGGCACCCGCAGACCCCCTCTTCCTCCTCCTCCTGTCCCACTCCAGAATCCATTGTCCCGTTCTCCCTGACCTCCCCCTCCTTCGAAGCCCGTCACTTTAATCTGCGAACACCCGGTTCGGGTACTCTCCGTCCGGGCAGGGGAGAGAGAGAGAGAGAGGTAGATAGAGACAGAAGAGGAGCCCGAAAAATGGCCCGCGTGGTTGACATACAGTGTAGGACGCCATAGTCGGCGTGGTCCGAACGGTCCGAACCTCCTGCCCCACGTGGAGCGCGGCAGCGTGGCGCAGCATGAAGTGGCACTTGCCGATAAGTGTGCACTTTCCGCCAACGCGTGGCTATCTCAGGCGGCGGAGCGATTCCGAACGTAGCTTTCATCTCTCTGTCTCTCTGGCTTTCATGCGGTGCCCCGTTTGGGTGAGACAGAGCGACGAGATTACTGTACAGAATCGGTCTGCTGCCGGTACTTGCTGCGGCGGAGCAAAGCGCCATGGCCCACGTTGCGGTGTGCGGTGTGCGTGGCAAGGGCCCCACCAAATTGAAAAAAAAATCACCAGGCCAAAATAAATTTTAAAACAAACCTGTGACGGTCCAGTGAATCTCTGGTGAAAGAAAAATGCGACGAGAGCGAAGCACGATGGATCGCTTTCGGCCAGTGTGCCTGACATTTGAAACTTGGCGCCAACATGGCGGCAGTGCACGCCGTTTCCAGCCTGCCAGCGCGGCGCCAATGGCTCCATTCTGATTTCACCTTGCCGTTCAACCATCATAACTGTCTCTTTGGTGCTTCGCATTCCAACTGAAACTTTTCGCTCAGAGAAAAATGGAACGACGTAGAACTCGGCATTCCCTTGGCGCTGTTTGGAAGGGTGGAGAGCCTGGCCGACCGGAAGTGCGTATCCCAGCCGGAGTGAAACGTCAGCCAACACAGCGGTCACGTGACCCGGGCTTTGAATACGTGTAAAGAAAATCTTGCCGATGGTCGGCTGCCACAGTGAACGTCGGCTCTGTTGTGTAGTTGGATCTTACACGGGCAGGCGGGCCGAAGAGTATTAACATAGCTCTCGGTTGCAACCTGCAATCATGGGTAGTAAGTATTACTTGTTTTAGTGTTTGTTTCGTGTATTTTAATAGGAAAGTTCTTAGTTTTATGACATTGTAGGTTATGGGCGATGAAGCAACTGTATATATCAATGACGCCGGACTTGTATTTCGTTGGAAATCTTTTTAGTTTGCCATTTCGTCGCACACGTATGCAGGTGTAAAATTATTTTGAAATATCTGCGACGGTTCAAACTTTCTGTGCGTCTGTGTACAGGGCATTGTCGTCTGTAATTTATACCGTTATGCTTATCTCCTGCTTCTTTCTCTCTTTCAGTCAAATTTTTAGAGGTGATCAAGCCTTTCTGCAGTATTCTGCCAGAAATCGCTAAACCCGAAAGAAAGGTGAGTGTGAAAGAGCCTCTGTTCCCATATGCACCTTGTGAGAGCTTTGGTCACTCCCTCAACTTGCATATGTGGCACCTTATGGTGGTTGTTCTGCCCGTTTGACAGTGTCCTTTGAATGAAAAATGATTGGCAAAAATCGACCCTTGCTCATTTTTGGGATTCTAAATTGTTCAGTTATCTCCACATGTGAGCAATTTGTCATCTGTGACAAAAGTAGGTCTAACCTACTTTTGCTTCTCCTCCTCCAACTTGCCATTCCTTAAATTTTTGTTTGTCTGGTGATCTCTCCGTGAATCAGACAATATATTTATCCTTGTGCAAGGAATTGGGCCTTGGAGCTGTTGTAATTAAAGAACTTAGTGTTGTCAAACATATGGGTGCTAAGTGCCAACTCAAATCATCAAGACGAATTTTTCTGTTTGCAGATTCAATTTAGAGAAAAAGTACTATGGACAGCTATAACTTTATTCATCTTCCTTGTATGTTGCCAAGTAAGTATCATTTTGTTTCATATTAAAAGTACTTTCTCTGATGAACTTCTAGTGGACACTGAAGTGTCAGGGAGTCTGTTCTAATCTGTGCGATTTCCCTAGATTCCATTATTTGGCATCATGAGCTCCGACTCAGCAGATCCCTTCTACTGGATCCGAGTTATCCTTGCCTCAAATCGAGGTACTTTGATGGAATTGGGTATCTCTCCGATTGTGACTTCTGGCTTAATCATGCAACTCTTGGCTGGTGCCAAGATCATTGAAGTTGGTGACACTCCCAAAGACCGTGCTCTTTTCAATGGAGCTCAGAAATGTAAGCACATATTATCCGCTGGTTATGAACTTGAAAGAAGTAGCAGTGAGACTAATGGCTTAAATTTTATATTCTAGTATTCGGTATGGTCATCACTGTTGGTCAAGCCATTGTCTATGTCATGACTGGCATGTATGGTGATCCGGCTGACATTGGTGCTGGTGTCTGCCTTCTGATCATCATCCAGCTGTTTGTTGCTGGCCTGATTGTGTTGTTGCTGGACGAGCTTCTGCAGAAGGGTTATGGTCTGGGCTCTGGTATCTCCCTCTTCATTGCCACCAATATCTGTGAAACAATTGTATGGAAGGCATTCAGCCCTGCCACTATGAATGCAGGTAAGAGTCACCAATTTTCTAATTCATGTTGTAACTTATTCTTTTCAAAGTTTCTTACACATTTTGTCGTTCTTAGGACGTGGCACTGAGTTTGAGGGAGCTGTTATTGCTCTTTTCCATCTTCTTGCTACCCGTCAGGACAAAGTTCGCGCTCTGCGTGAAGCATTCTACCGCCACAACCTCCCTAACTTGATGAACCTGATGGCTACCATTCTTGTCTTTGCCGTTGTTATTTACTTCCAGGTAAAACTGAGTAAAATTTAATTTTATATCCATTCTTTTTTGATACCTCAAGACTAATAACTGACATTTTGATTTTCTTTAGGGCTTCCGTGTGGATCTACCTATCAAGTCTGCCCGCTACCGTGGCCAGTACAGCAGCTACCCCATCAAGCTGTTCTACACCTCGAACATCCCCATTATTTTGCAGTCTGCTCTTGTTTCCAACCTCTACGTTATCTCTCAGGTATGCCTGTGTCGAAGTTCTACTTGCAAGTTTTATTGGTATTTTTGTCTTGGGCTAAGCTAATGATGTATTTTAGATGCTGGCTGTCAAATTCCACGGCAATTTCCTGGTGAACTTGCTCGGAGTTTGGGCTGATGTTGGCGGTGGCGGCCCTGCCCGTGCCAACCCTGTTGGTGGTTTGTGTTACTACTTGTCACCTCCCGAGAGTCTGGGTCACATCCTCGAGGATCCCATCCACGCATTCCTCTACATCGTCTTTATGCTTGGATCCTGTGCCTTCTTCTCCAAAACTTGGATTGAGGTCTCAGGCTCTTCAGCCAAGGATGTAAGTTTTTGCCATCTGGTTTTTCTTGAGACAACAGTTATTGTACTATGTGCCCACTGATATAAACAATGCTTTTCTTACTACCTGCAGGTTGCTAAGCAGCTGAAGGACCAGCAGATGGTTATGGGTGGACACCGTGAACACTCCCTCATCCACGAGCTGAACCGTTACATCCCCACTGCTGCTGCCTTTGGTGGTCTCTGCATTGGTGCTCTTTCAGTGTTGGCTGACTTCATGGGAGCCATCGGTTCTGGCACTGGTATTCTTCTTGCCGTTACCATTATTTACCAGTACTTCGAAATCTTTGTTAAGGAACAGAGTGAAATGGGAGGTATGAGCACATTACTGTTTTAGGTAGTGCAATCTTAAAATATCACCATGTGATTAATGACTGAGTGAAATTTGAGTGGGTGTTGGATTGAGTGGTGAGCAGCTGAGTGCTCTGGCAGCTGAAGACTCATACTAAACCTGTACTGCCAACGGCAGGTCAGGATGAACATCATTCAGTAGCTCTGTTAGTGTTGTAATTTATTGTTTTGTTATTGTGTAACTGAATGGTAAGGCTCAGTGGTCATTGGCTACCTATTGCGAGCCACCACCACCACTACTGGATTACAGTAGACCAGTGACAAGAGACTTTGAAGTATTGAGCCTTCAGTGCAAAGTTTCTAATTTCTGTGTTCTTGGAGTATGTTTTATGAGATTAGCAACATAGGCTGTTTTGAAACTCAGAACATTGCCAGTTGTATAAGAATGCCCCTTCCCCCTTTTTTTTATTGTGATTATGTTGCTCTAGCAGTGTGGAGACTTATTTATTAAACAAATATTTTTATATGAAGACCTCTTCCTTCAAGAAAAATTATGCAATACTTACTGGGTAGGAAAATAAAATTGTCACTCCCAACATCTAATTCATTATATTGCTATAATTGAACATAGCAATTCACTGTCATTCAGCCCTCCCTGATGTGTTCTTTTCCCCTATGAATTTTGGAATATCCTGTTTCAAATTGAGCAGAAATGTAATTTCTCTCTATTTAATGGAGTACAACTTATGATTAATGGTACTGTGTAAAATAGTACTCCGTGTGGTAGACTATCTGTGTAAGAATGTAAATTTTTTTTACAATACATGAGTGACACCAATAAAGTGTCTCAGATGATAATTTGCATGTTTCTTGAACCCTTCCTGACAAGCATGAGAGGAGTACTACCGAGCCAAAAATAAAAAAGATAGAAAACAAGCAGTCCTAAGTTAAAAGCAGCCACACTTGCTGACACTTTGATGGAAAAAACCTCATGCCATACATTCATTTCTTGTAGAAGATGTCCTCTGTCTCTCTGTCCTCTACTCTCGCTCTCTTACCCCTCTGCAATAGTTAAGAGCAGAAAAAAAAGCATTGACATGGATGTTAACCTTCTATTGGTGGACCCTATTACACCCCTTGCAGGAAAAGAATAAATTAAGAACACCTCTTATAAATTCGCTAGTTTTTATTCAAGATGTACTCTGTTTCACACAACTGCCGCTTCTTTTTAATATCTTTTCAACCCACTCTTGATGTCTGAAAGCAAGTTTGCTTTGGTAACTCTCTTCTGGGGTACACAAAGAACATTCCTCTAGTAAGGACTCCTCATGCCTTACAATAACACTCCATAAAAAATTGCACTCAATCTCTATATCTGACACAGATAATTTCTGAGCTTTAGGATGTGGAACCCCATCAGATATGTCAGACTTGCTAGCTTCGTAAGTGTTGATTTCTTTAACAATAGAATAGAGAGAGAACAATACAAAACGTCGATGACACCACAGTGCCTCATGACCTGGATACAAGCGTATCAGCTCTGTGACTAGAAGTAGTTCATATGCTAAAAATCCAATATGTAAGATATGAGGATTGCTTCCACATTTTATTGGGCACGAGGAACAAAAGTCTTTCTGTTCAAGAATATCAATGACCAATGAATGGAGTTGCTTTAATGGAGTGCTGTCTTTCAGAGAAACACAATAGAGTTCAGAACTTTTGAGAGGAAGAAAGAAGTTTTCTAGACTAAGCCGAAGTTTATGACAGAAATAAGTGTGTCCTACGTTTTGCATAATTTGTTTAAACAAATACTCTCTATATTGAAGGCCACTGTGTTCTGACACATGTTTTGAAATCCACTCCTCAGATGATACCCATTCATTAATAAAGTGATCTTGAGCTTGAGGTAGGTGAGACATAATCCACATTCTGTGGTTCCATGCATGGTAGTTGTTTGCATAGCGGTTAGCAGCCATGAGGGTAACTCGCAATTCTTCCTCCAGAATAGATAATGTGGTAGATGCATCCAAATAACTTTCTGCAAGAATTAAACATATACGTGAGAAATGAGAGTGATTTAAATCACATTTATTGAACTTCAAAACAACGAACATACCTAAGATCCGACTTAGTAGCCACCGTCGATAAACAAATGCCTCAGATGACTTTGGTCGCCGTGACAAAGTTACAGCATTTATGTGGAGATCGGAAAACAAATCAAAGCGACCCATAACAATTAATTCACGGCGAATGTTCCACAAAAAGGTACAGTCTGGATTCAACAAAACTCCCCCCAACAGAAGACGGGACAATGTGTTCGGATCTGTTCGAAGCAAAATAAATATTTTTACTTGCTAAAAAGTAAAAAGAAATGAAACAAGTAAATGGAAAAGAACAGTGTCACATCCACACCTTCACGTCGTAATCTTTGTTGCTGTTTCAAATTTGTTAGCTTGTGATACACATGCACATATAAGTGTCGCACGCACCACTCTTGCAATCCAAGAGTGTGTTCTGCATGTAGAACCGGTGACTTGTTCTCTCCAACAGTCACTGGCAAAATTTCAAAATCTTTCCTGGACAGAAAAAAGTGACATCACAAACAGTAGTCTAAACTTATGAGAAATAACCTCAGGAAAACTTAACCTAAAAGTTGATAACTTCAATTTGAGAGAATTAAGAAATAACAACAGTGTTGTAGAGCAAATATAAAAATTAAAATATCTTTAAATGGCACATGGATTAAAAGAACTTAAAAACACTGAACTTTGATACTTACAAGTCCTTATCTCTCTTGAAGACGTTTTCTATATCTGACAGAATTTTTTCTGCGGCAGGAAACTGGTCACCGTGCATTGTTAACAGTGAGAAATTACCAGAGCAGCCTCAAATAAATTTCAACTAATTTTTCTCGTTCGTGTGGAGGGGCTGTAATCGGTTTCACAAGCGAAACGTAAGTGGTTTACGAGTACATCTACCGCAGTTCACTCATTACACTACAGAGCATGTAGCAATACTTTACACTTAGTGATCAGAAACAACTGGTTTCAAATCACGGTAAAGGTAGAAAACTGATTAAGTCACACCAAAAACGCTGTTTAAATCAAAGAACCACTTCCAAATAAAACGTACCTTTAATGGATAGGTCTCTGCGTTCAACTCGATAGCGGGAAACGAAAACCGGCAACAAAACAAAACAGAAAAACATGAGAAATTATGAAAATTTCACAATGCCACTTTTGTCTTCTGCTGTGTGTAAAACCTGTGTTGTTGTTTCGGAAATGTCACTAAATCATTTTAGGAATTTTCATTGTTGTAAATCTCTGAGTGCTTCTTTTAAATCCCCCTCTAGTCACTTGAAGGAATTTTTGTTTGGGCAAAAGTAGGAAATATGTTTAATAACTTGATAGGTTATTTGTTAGTTCATGGAGACTGTCTCCATGGATAGTTTCAACATTGACAGCAGTAACTAAGTTTATGTCTTTGCAGGATTAGAAAATATGAGGTCGTGAGGCCCGGCAATGTTACACTGCAGAAACGAATCGTGCCATCGCACATAAGGAAACCCTCGTACTTCGCCACAGGAATTCCTACTTCCGTTCCCTTTCAGATCCCTGAAGCAAAAGACCAATCTGCCATTGAAGGAGTGCGCCATGCTTCTTTCCTTGCCAAAAGGGTTCTAGAAGAAGTTGGGAAGGAGGCAAAGGTCAGTATTCAACACTGAACACTTTGTTTTAAAATGTTTGCCAGAACTGCTTCATTCCTCGATCCTTCCAGGTCGGAGTGACCACTGACGAACTTGATGCTTTCGCGCATCATCTTATCATAGATGCTGATGCATACCCCTCTCCTTTGAATTACAAAGGATTTCCAAAATCAATTTGTACTTCTGTGAATAATGTTTGCTGCCATGGTATCCCTGATGACAGACCTCTAGAAGATGGGGATATTGTGAACATTGATGTCACAGTAAGTAGCTAAAACAGAATTTTCTGAATAAAATTATCTTGAAACAAATTTAATTATTTGTTACAACTTTTCAGGTTTATCTTGGAGGCTATCATGGAGACTGCTCAAAAACTTTTTTGGTTGGAACTGTTGATGAAGAGGGAAAAAAACTTGTAGAAGTGAGTGAACTGTGCCTTTCGAAAGCCATAGAAGCTTGCGGACCCAATGTTCCTTTTAGCATTATTGGTAAGGAGGCATTCATTTTATCTTGGGGATGCCTGCTTAAATTTGTGATTACCTTTTGTTGAAACTTTCTAGGAAGTATGACTGAGGAGACTGCTATAAACAACGGTTTTATGGTTTTTCCTGCGATATTAGGTCATGGCATTGGCTCTTATTTCCATGGTCCACCAGAAATTTATCATGTTTGTAAGTTATTTCCTTAATTTTGTTTGTTGTGACATTTTTTAAAAAAATAACACATTTATTTTAAAAGAGGCAACAAATTGTTCTTTTCTGTTTCTAAAAAACAATCAGGTAACAGTTATGGGGGAAAGATGAAGCCTGGAAATACTTTTACCATTGAGCCAGCCATCACTTCTGGAGGACAGCAGTTGGAAATCCTAGAAGATGGATGGACAGTTGTGACCGCCGACTGCGCTAGATCTGCTCAGTGCGAACATACTGTGCTTATCACTGATGTTGGAGTAGAAGTGCTAACAGAACTGCATTAAATAAGTAACACTTTGTCCTTTTTACGTCTTCTGTGCTACATAGGCTTTTGTGATGTGATGAACTGAACTGTATTCTTTTGTTGTTTTTTCCTCCTCCTTGAGGAAGATGAATGAGATAGATCTCTCTCTCTCTCTCTTTATAAATATATACTGTTGCCTTGTTGATGAATAATTACATCTCTCAGTACTGAGTAGCTTTTTTTTCTATTTTGAAGAAATATTTCAAAAACAAAAACAATTTTATACAAACAGTAGTACAAAAATTTCCACAATTGTGGTGGTGTACAATGATATTAATATTTTTCTTTCCTTCAGATCTTTGGAATTATTTCACTGTAATGCATCAGTTGCTTTCTTCCTTCGCCTTCAAATCCATGAACAAATAACAGGAGGCTGAGCGGCGGTAAGAATGGCATCCACACAACTACCACCATAAAAACCACGTAACATGTAGCAACACTGACTTCAGAGTGCCACCTTGAGACGCAACTGGAATGTCACACTGAGCCTTACTGCCCCTTTTTACACTGGAAGCTATTTACATAAACTCCTAATGTGAGCATGCCTCCTATTACTTGTCCCAGGGAAGGAATGTACATGTTTTGGCAATGACCAGAACATAGTGTTCCTTAATGCGAACAAATATCAAAATATAAAAATAAGATCAACAAACATACAAGGAACTCCTCATTTCAACAACAGAAGAATCAACTTTAAGTTCATTAAAAATATTAATTTGGCGTTAACACTTCATTTCGTGCAGCCAGTTAGATAGCAAATCAGCACCCACAATAACATACATAATTTTTGTATGAAGACCCTTAATGATACTCAATACTGTTTTAAGAAAAAGGTACCAATACTTTGACACTTCTTAATACATAATGATATAACTGCATTCATCCGCAATGATACAGGATGGTAAGCTAAAATAAATGAAAAACAAACAGAAAAATACATTTAGAAATACTTTGGTGAAGGTCAACCAAGTTTCATTTGATCATGATGAGTAAACTAGATCTTTGGATCTTCAAAACTTTTGTATGTGTGATAAAAACATCACATGCTAATAGCTTATTTCATAATCAGTTCTGAATCATTTGTGGACATCAGTTTTCTGTCAATGTGCATTTCCTAAAAAAATATGATGATTGCTCATGCGATGGACTCAAATCAACTGAGGCATTGTATAGGTATAAAAATATTACCTATGTGAGAAAAAAAAGGGGGAGAAAGGGGAAAGGGTGGCGTTCAACATCAAAGTTGAACAGCCCGAATTGGAAATATAATACATATACACAATTTCTCAAGATAATTGTAAAATAAGTTTTAAAAAAAGGTCATTTAAAACAAATTGAGTGTATACATAAATATGAATCAGGAGACAGAATGATAATTCATATTCAATAAATACAATTCAAGATTATATAAAAGTTGTATCACAAATGACAATGCAAAAGATGCCAGAGCCAAGGAAAATAGCAAATTTCTTATCCTCAATGTAACCATGAAATGGAGGCAAAAGGTCAGTGTCAACTAAAGAACAAAATTGAAAATTGACTGTTGGTGACCTCAAACCAGGCAAAATATTGCCTAATAAGTCGTAGAATGATCACAAACTTCTCACAAATTTTGATCTTGTTCCAAGACTATATGTTATTTTGATTAAAGGACTGAAAGTACAGCTCAAAATTCATATTGTAGGTAGCCACACAGTTTCTTAACGGTTGAATTAAATATTGTCTTGGTTACTGTGTCAGACCTCCACTTCAGTTCCATTCAACATTATCACATAAGCACAAAGCAAATGTGCACAAGTAAGATAGTAATTGACATCACATTTATGTTTCATATCAAGGCCCTTACATATTTCCGTACAGAGATATGCAAGCGATGGACTTAATAAATCATGGCACAGAATCTGACAAAGAGGACGACAAAAAAGTAGGTGTCTTTTTCTTGCTTGTTGAATAATGAACTGGTCTTACTTTACTGTTAAAAGGTGATGAGTTTTTAATGTACAGAAATCTGCTATGTGAGAGGTGGTTTGGTTTGATTTGAAGGCAATGTATGTGCGAGTGGAATTTGTTACCGGAAAAGGACAAAGTAGTAGGTTGTTTATCACACACATGGCGTAATCCAGAAGTAGGTATCAGAGCTGTGTGGCTAACGGAAGGTGCTCACATGCTTGAGAAAGAAAACTTTCTCAGGACTTGTAGATTTAAGACCTATAAATATAATAAAACTGGTACTGGTACATCACTTCTGACCGTAAGTTCTGCTCTGATCTGTGAGACCTTAAAGTCCCCTAATTACAGAATTAAGTACGACTTTTTGTGAAATTATTAGAAATGCATCACAGACACCAACTACTGCTGGCTGCATGATTGTCGTAACTACCCCCTCACTTTGAGCATTCAGAGTCACGCTAATTAGATCCTACGGTTTCACATGACTTGAGTAGATCTAGCAAACTAAGCAAAACATTAAGTATAGAAGATAGTAGGTATCACGTGGTTGCAGGACAAGTATAAAGGGCTTCATAAATCTTTAACAGCAGTCATTCTGGTGTAGACACAAAATCAGGTATCTAATTTAGCCACTGCATCATGACCACATGTAAATCCTACTATCAGGCGTTGTTGTTACAGTTACGCAAAACTCAAAAATAAATCACTCATGTTTTACAGCAACTGAAAGAATCGCTTACTCTGATGGATTGGACGAAATTCTTATACTCATGAAACATGCGAATAATAGAGCCCAATAGGACTTCTTGGTATGAGGAGACTAAGCGAAACTAAAAAGTTGCAGTCTGAGCTAGCTTTTGAGTTGTAGCTGTAACATCAACACACCCACAAGAGCATTTCAAGGCGTAGTAAAATACATATCAGTCATCAAAATGCCCCACTATTTGGTCCAATCAGTAACGTTACTATGCAAAGTAACTACAGACAGACTGAACCAAATTGATCAAAGCCATATGAAATAACAACTGATAAATGTAGGACAGAACTGCTCTAACATGGTTTGCTCAGTTTGATGGTAAGAAGTTAATGCTGTGTTATGAGTATTGCACACAATTTAACATTATCTTGTTCTTTACTGACTAGGGTACATTTCTGACCCGTATCACCAACTTGAGCACCACTGACTAGTCACTCCAAAAAACAGTTGATTCTCTTTAACAAGAAATGTTCTAGTGGAAAGATACTCCATTAACAGCAGTTCGACAAGACATTAGAAATTGACTTGTAGTACAACACCCAAGGGAGCAGTAAGGAGCCATAGTGTAAAAAAAACCAACAAAATTTAGTCTTGTATTTTCCTGGAGAGTTCATTGCTTTTTATTCACTCTATAGAAATTAGCTCCAATTTCACCTTTCTAAAATACATTGTCTTGAATAGGTAGTACTGTAAGTGTACAGAAAGAAAATGTAACCACCATCACATTTGGGCTTATGTACAAAGCAAATGGCATACATCTGACCAAGCACCTCTAACAACCCATCTTCACATAAATAAATTATTTACTTAATGATCACAAATTTCACATGTATTGAGATTCTAAGTTAAGCTAAAATTTGGATGCTGAATGGTCAGAGGACTTGACCAGTGTGAAATACCAACATGAAAACAATTATATAATTGTGAGATGTGAAATGGTGGTTACTGACACTTCTCTACAACTAGAACAACAAAAAATATGTTAACATTTTGTACTGTGTTCAAATTTTATCTGGTAATCCATATGAGGCAATGTATATTTACATTAAATTACACAAATTTAGTTATGAGAATGCAAAATGTTTATCACATTGCAATCAAATCACTACAGTTGAATAGATCTCAAATACTAAGTACATAATTTCCACATTAAAAAAATACCTACACGATATTCACAGAAAATATTTATAACATACACATATGTATACATATATATATATATAATATATAAATATTTAATAAATGTGTATACATTTAGATATATACAACAACAATTCACTGGTCACATGATTCTCACAACAACCTATGTAACAACTAAAATGTTCAGAAAAGTTTTAGGCATTGTGCTTTTTTCAAGTTGGCAAAACTTAAGATGCATGACACATGCACAGCCATGTGTCGTGCCAATAAAAACAGTACTAACAGAAACTTGTACTTGTACTATTGCTTTAAATGGAGAAATAAATAGAGGGGCAGGAAATTCAGGAACAAGGAAAACATAAAACTTAGCAATTAACACATATTTACAGTTCCTGACAAGTCATTCATTTAATTGATTCTGTAAAAGTGACCAGACGCTTAAAATTAGAACTTCACATAGGGGGGAAAGCCGCAAATGTGAACCACATCAGTGTCAAACAAGGAATGTTTATGACATGTTCATATTCTATGGCAATCTCAATTCATACTTCACAATGCTGAAATAAAACAAAATCAGTCAAGGAAATAATAATACTACACGAGTACTCTAAGCCATTGTATAACGTGTCACGGTAAAAAAAATACTCAGACTTCCACAAGGCTCTTAAAGTTTGTGAAACTAGCAGAATCATGCCTCAACTGCAGATGCAGTTGCTGTAGAAGCACTTTCACTCACTAGCCTATCCACTCTGTATCTGTTGAAGGTTCTGTAGGGAGCTTTGCAGATGTCGTTGTTGGTCAAAACACGTGTCCTGTTTGGCACAACACCTTCACCCCGTCCCATTAACCAATCACTGTTTGCTTTCTGTTGAAGTTCACTGACATGGTCTTGGGCCCACTGATTGTGCCACGATCGGAACTTGTTGTTCAGCCTTGTAGACACAGTAGGATGGGACTAAAAGCACAAAGAGAAAAAGAAGATGAACTTCAGGAGATAATTCATGAATATGCAATAAGGGAACTAGTTTGACTGCCTATTAATTTACCTGTCTAGCCTTGGGAAGGGCTCGTTCTCTATACAAGTAGTTATCACGGTTGATAACATACACCATTCTATACGAATTCTGGTTGAAGTGGCACTGTAACTCATCAGCACCATCTAAACTTTCAATATTAAGACCATGGTTAAGGCGCACTGGCTTAGGTTTTCCTTGTTTGGACTGTCTTCTTCCACTACTTGCTTCAACATCCTCATCTACCTCCATTTCTTCATCCCCCTCAGCACTGTTAACAGAAAAGAAGTGGGAATGAAAACAACTGTGAGGAAGAGTATGAATAACATTACATAACAACGAAACCAGGACACAAACCTCGACTTCTCTTTTTTCTTTCGATCTGTAGCACCTTTCTCCTCTTCAGAAGGGTCATTTCCATCCGAAACAGGGACTGGCACAGCAACAGGGCCAATTCCTTTAATTTCGCTCTCGACGTCAGGCTGACTCTGTTTCTTTCTTCGAACATTGCGAGGCAAGTAGACTGCTTTCCTCTGCCTAAGAAGAACACCATCGTTCTAAAATCAGAGAAATTTTTTGTATGAGAAGGAAAATTAGATACGATAATTATAGAACCGGTTTTTCATATACAGGTACAACATACTTCTCTTTCTTCTTTTGTTCTGGTGTTTGCCTCTGTATTATTGGTTTCTTCAGAATTAGAGAAACGCCTCTCCCTTTCAGTAAAGTTTGGCCACTTGGGCGTTGGTTCCGTTTGCTGTTCTTGCTCCTCTGATTCAGTGTCAAGCAATTCAATAGTGACTTTGCAGTCTCGTTTATACTGTAACAGAAAAGTGCACATGAGAAAAAAACAATGCTACTAACTTTCAAAAGCAAAATAAGTGCAACTTACAAGTAGAACTTTGAAGCAGTTTTCTTCAGCCAGAGTCTGCTCAGCTCTACGTTGATAAGCAACTTCAGCTGCTGTCCTTTGATGAGCTGTGCTGCAAGGGCCACCAACAGCTAAACCTCTCTTTTGTTCTGATACGAAAATTTCTTGACACTCTGTGCAGGGATCATCAGACACTAGATGCTGCAACTATAAATAAAAGAAAAAAGCGTTTATAAGAAGATACATTTGAAACCCTAGAATACAACACCAATGCAAGTGATTAAAAAGAGCCTACAAACCTGTCTCACAGCATAAGTCACCACTTTATCAAGAGTGAAGGCGATGTAGGCATGAATGCCAAACATTTCTCGAAGGGTGTCCTCATAAGCATTGCTATCCATGTTGCCATCCAAAACATTTCGCACCATATCAAGGAATGCAGGATAGTAGTCTTCAACATCAATCTCATCTGAAAGAAAGACAGTATATTTAAAAAAGATCCACAGAAGAAAATAAACACAATGCAGCTCAACGCAAAAATACTAACTTTTGGGTTTTAAACGTAGAGCTATGGCAGTTGATTCTTTCCTGTCAACCCTATACTGAGCCTCTTCATTGGCTAGAGCAACAGCACGGTCGTACATGCGTGTAAGTCGCTTGCAGAGAATATGATGTAACCGGAAAAACAGATACCAATTGTTGTTCCCAAAGAAGAGGGAATAGCATTCATCTGGATGTTGGGAGACTGCATGTGGTGGAGGCTTCACATCTGTTTCCATCTCTTCCTCCTTTTTAGGTGTGGTAGCACCAGGGGTGTCTCTGCGGTCATTGAAAGGAGCAGCCTTGGATGCATTTGCATCACTATCATCGTCATTATCAGCATCTTCCCTTTCATCGTCACTTAATTCTTGCCTAGGATGGAAGAACAAATCTGGAAGGAAGTGTCGCAACAGCTGCTTGATGCGTTGCTTATCATCTTTGTGGATACTTGTTTGTCGCTTAACATGATGAATAAGGAGCTCTGCGGCATCATTCAAGACAGTTTTATCCTTATAGGGAAGCACCAGGTGAGGGCCTGTTGAGGTTTCACTGCTGCCCTCTTCTGCTTGCTCATGCCGCTCATCAAATAATGTTTCTATTTCATTGAACAAACTCTTTGAACGCAGTTGTTTGACATCATTCTGCTTGAAATTAATACCCTGGTGGTCTAATGACTTCAGATAGTATTTCTCATTTTGTTCCCTCCAGATCTTGTTGAAGCCCTTTTGAGCCTCTCGCCACTCCTCTTCCTTAGCTTTTAACCTTCTTAACACGACTGGTACTGCTACAGAGGGATTTTTCTTCAAACCATCAATGATATCTGCTGCTTTATCGCCATATATTCTCTTCAATGCTCTCTGATGTATGGTAGGTGAGGCTCCTCCTAGACAGTCATCCAATCTGAATTTTGCTACCTCCTCAGCAGAAAGCCTTTGTAATTTCTTGTGCACACCCTCCAAAACCCTGATAGTGGCAGCATTTGTTTCAATTACCACATCCAATTCAAACCTCTCATCTTCACACCGGTATATATATTCTTCATATTGTGTTTTACGAGAAGTAACAAAAGTAGAATCTTCAGACCATGTAGGGAAGGACACCCAGGTATCATTCAAAACTTCTTTGCACAGAGGAGTACGGCCTGTGCATTTGGGTTGAATATAATTCTTCGGTAGGGCACAATAACTGGCGCCTAGCCGTTTACAGGTAGAGTAATCTGAAATTATAGAAGTCATAATGTCAATAACTTTGGGAAATCAAAACTTAAGCTTTTAAAGGAGAAGTTACGGGCAACTTACCTATTTCTAATGCATGGTCACCAGTAGGTCTATCTTGACGAGCCACATTGTTGGAAATGCTCTCCAAACCACCTAGTGAATTGCCTAGCCCACTAGAGCCTAGCCCGCCAACCAGGCCATGGACACCTGGTGCGCTAACATTTCCTTCACAGGCACCAATGAAGTCCTTGAACCTACGAAACAGCTCTGGGTATTTTCCAAGGAAGGGTGTAACCAGCTGCACCAATTCAGACTTTGAAACAACTTCCTCATTAAACAGCTGCAGACAACGCAAGAAGTTTGTGTACACTTCTTGGCTTCGCAGCGCTTTACGCACATTGTCAAAGAATGCATAGTCATTTAGTGTGCCAAATTTGCCCGCATCAGCAAGAGTGACATCTCGAATGCATGCTTTGTGCTTTTTAGCTGGTGGAGGGCCATGAGACTGGCCTCCGTGGGGTGTGGCATGACTGCCATGACTACCATGGCTGCCACTGTGGGGATGGTGCTGATGGCCGTGATGGGATGAATTTGGAGTAGCTGAAGAGAAGGATGGAGACCTTTTCACACTACTGTTGTTTCCAAACTTGGACGTTGAGCTTAGGTTACCGTGGGACCTTTCAGCATGGGTCCCCATCATAACAAGGCCAGATGCTGGAGTTGTGCTATCTCGATCCCGGCCAGGAGGACAAGAATTACTATTGTAACCAAGCTTCAAGTTGGTAGGCTTCTTTGCAGCATGATGGTCATTGGGAAGAACTTTGGCTCCAATAGCAGTTTGATGACTTGTGGCATCAGGCAAGAACTGGCCAAATTCAGCCAACAAGTCTTCCTGGTTTTCAAATAGTTTGGCAACTTGAGAATAAACCTCTGCTTCTGTCAGATGTTTACCACCAATGGTGTTGGCACTCAGAGTAGAGCCTTCTTTCAGATTTCTTTGTTCCTTCTGGTAGGTGTGAAGAATCTCAAGGAAGCGTTTATACTTATCAGGTTGACCTTGGAAGCGATTCTGTAAACCAATGAATTATAAGGATGCATGTTTTAGAAAAACTACTGGCCTGAACACTTGAGCATGTATTCGATCAACACTAACCTTGATTTTATTGACATAGTTTATGGCATGGTTGAACTCCACTGGCTGACTTTGAGTTGAATGAGGAATAGTCTCACCATGAGGCAATCCTTGAGAAACTGCCTGATGGGCTTGGGAAACAGCTTGGGCCATCCCAGCATGGTGCAAGTTGGTCCCCGTTGATGGAATTTGGTGAGAGGTATGTACAGGATGGGCATTGTGGTGAGTTTGGACATTTGTCTAAATTTTTTACAACAATAAGAAGAATATTAAGTGAGGCAAACTTACTTCCAAAGTAAACAAACCTTTACCATAGTCAGCAACAAAGTGCTTACCTGAGCTCCACTTGTTGATGAAACACTGTTGACACCATGTGGTACTGTGCTTCCTGGAGGGGGAGCTGCAGGGGTAACGGTGGCCTGTGGGTAAGAGTGGTGTACTGGTGCTGCAGCGTGGTGCGGCACTGCACCTGTTGACACTGACAGAGTATTTCCACTCGAAGAGTTAGTCAACAAAACTGGAACTGATGAAGGTCCAGATGAGAGGCCAGGTGTGTTGTGATTGCTTGTAGCAACCATGGGAGTGGGATGGTGAGTCACCATGGGCCCACTTGAACTAGAATCAAAAAAGGGCATTTTGTTACAACACCACTGAAACAATAATTCACCATAACACCAACAAGGAGGTTGGAACATACCTGATAATGGTGACAGGCTTGCCCATGGAAACAGGCTGCCCAGGCTGAAGAGGCGGAGTACTTGTAGGTACTCCAACAGGAGCTCCGCCCTGAGGGACAGCAGAACTTGACTGTGGCATTAGCGGAGCAATAATAATATTATTGCCACCTGAGCCTGACCCCAAGGGCCCAATAGGGGTAATGTGGGTTGTGGTGCCTCCAATTGTGGTTGTGATGGGACCGCCAGGTGTGTGCACCACAGTTGTGGTTGAAGCTGTAGGGCTGGGTATGCTGACAGAAACTTGAAAGGCAAAGCCCTGAGAAGGCAAGAAAAAAAAAGAGAAAATAAGATTTAATTGCAAATTACTCGAACACAACAATGGAAGAGGAAGAGAGAAAACAAATTTCTAATAAAACTAATGCCCTACCTGATCATTCTGCTGAACTTCAATTTTGTAGCCAGGGGGCAAAAATGTGTTGAAGCCAACAATAAGTTCAGGGTGACCCTTAAAAAGGTCTGATACTCTAGCAATAACACCAGGTGTGTCGATACTTTGAGATTTGAACTCCTTCATTATGTCCAGAAAGTCATTATAGACCTGAGGTTGGTTGCCAAATTTGTATTTGACTTGGTCTAAGTACGATAGAGCATCTTCCACTTTGAGTTTCTGGAACTGTTGCTGGGATTGTTGGGACTGCTGTGGTTGAACAGTAACTGTGGGGGGAGTTGTTGAACCCGTGTGAACCTAAAAAAAAACACAGAAAGGATAATAACAATAAAAGGTAACACTCCCTTTTAGTACCATTTGAGTATTGTAGAGAAGGGCAAACTCCTCTTTACCTTGTGCCTGATAGGCTGATGAGTTTGGGTTGGCAAGATGACATGTTGCTGTTGGGTTATGACCTGTGGAGGCGTTTGCATGGTGTGGATAGTTGTCTGCAATCCAGGACCAGAAGGGGCACCTCCCTGCAATCCGCCACCTGCCGTCTAAAGCAGAGAGTCATGTTAGTTTCAGGAATGAAGGCACAAGTATAACACCTTATGGTAATTGGCATTTATTACCTTAATTGCTGTAGCCCCTGGCATGGTTGATGAGTAGTTTGAGGCAATAGAGAAAGCTGGCATAGCCACTTCTGAAGAACCTGAAGAGCCAACACGTTCTGATGGCAAGGTTTTCGCAACAGTTGACGTCAGGAAACTAGGTGACGAAACAGCGTTGCCCCCTAGAGTATTGAAAATAGAGAAGAACTTGTAGAACATAGGATGAAAACGAAAATAGCACTGTTTGTCTGAGAACAAGCCAACACACCTGGTGGTGTTATGCCACGGTTATGATGTTGGCGAACCGGACCACTGTAAACAATGGCCGGCCCGCCAGGTGGACCTCCTGGTCTCCCGCTCAGCCCACTAGTAACACTACTACTGCTTCCCTCTTGCTTCGCAGCCTCCTCCACTCGACGTTTCATCTCAACTCACATTGGCGTGGCTGCAAAGAGAGAGATTTGTGAATGAGTGGCCAAAGTGACACATCAGGACAGAGAAGACAAAACCTAAACTGGAGAATGGCAGAATCCATCCTCAATAAAACTAACCAATACTAATAAAAAGAACTAAAAAAATCTTGGTTGACAAATGATGGGTTTAGTTCAACGTAACCAAATATTCGAGACAAGACTAAAAGACGGCCTTCATGGCAGCACAGCAGACCAAAACAGATGGGTTACTAGGACACTTTCCAGCAACGAGTTAAGGTCAGACCAGGTCCAAGCCCCCCCTGGGGTGCTCGGCAAGAGCGCGGGGAGGGCCCCACACAAAATGCGAGCCAAATGACATTGCTGGTAGGGGTCCGCGATGCCACCCCAATGCCTTGGGCGGCCACGTCAAGTCGCGCCCTGGCCGCCTCCATGGACATCGGGACCAGCATCAGGGCCCCGGCCGCCCCTGGCGTGGGGATAACAGGGGCTCCCGCTCGCGGCAGGCCGGAGCAGCTGAGTCAGAGCGGCCGAGAAACGGACCAGCGGCCGCCAGGGGCCTGCAGGGGCCCTGGCTAGCCCTGGCTGTGGGGCCGCGCCAGCCGCCAGCACAGTAAGGTTAGACAGAGGTCCGCTCGCCCCGGCCAGCCTAGACGAGCTGCGGATACGCCCTACGGGCACTACACCGCGCCACCAACGAGCCCTGCGCGCCCTACGCCCAATTTACCTTCTGGACGTCCCCGCCGCGCCAGCGACGCCAAAGAATCCAGGGTGCAGGATCACGTCCATAAGAGCAGCTAACCAAACGCAACTTTCACTTCACTCCGCGCGACAAACGGGCTTCTCTGCGATCACCCGCGGCGCAGCCCTCGCATCTGCGTGCTTAGAAGTCCACAAAACGGCACAGTGCAGTCACCATAGCACGCAATTGATGAGTTTGCACACTAAAACAACAGGCCAACAGGCACCAAGCAGAAGGGGCGAAAGATTGAGAGCTCGACTGGGAGGCATTTATGCTCGTTCCGGGGCCACAACCGTCGTGCCGCCCGAGCCGAGCCGAGTCGAGCCGAGCACAGCCGAGCCGAGCGTCAGCGGTTGCGCGAAGCGGGGGTCTGTCGGTCTGTCGCGAGCAGAGCCGGACAACGCAACCGCGGCAGTGTACTACGTACATCGAAGAAAACTTGAGGAACGGAGGCCTCCCTTCCGTGGCACCAGGACGATGCTCAAAGTGCTTTTCAGTGACAACGGTGTGTTTGTGTATTCACGCCCTGGACCCTTTCAAACTCACTCGAGCGCTCGGGAGCGGGAAGCATATTCCGACATTCTTCTGCATACATGGAGCCAAGTCCGAAATCAGCCGCCAGCAACACGCGCAAAATCCATACTCAGGTGTGCCTGTCGCGAGCCGCGCCGACCAGCACATCACCAGCCGGTCAGCCAGTGCGCTGTCTGTGCGCTGCGCCTGACCGGGGCCTCAGTCAGTGCCGAGTCGAGTCGTGCCGAGCGAAACCTCTTTGGGCGAGCGGCGAGCTGGCTGGGCCCCGAATCCGAGTGGCGACGGCAGTGGCCCCGCACGAGCACAGCGAAACGCTTGGCTGGGCTAGACAAAAGTTTGCCCGGGCGCAAGCATCGTGGGGTGCGAGAGAGACGGCGCGACGTGCCGCTGCTGGCCAGGGCGCGGGCAGGCGCGGGTCGCGCGGGTGGGGGAGGAGGACGCAGCGACAACGCCAGAGAGGTGAAAGAGGCACGGCAGGGTGGGGGGTGAATCGAAGCGGTAGGAGTAGGAGTGTAGAGGTGGGAAAGGGGAGGGGCGGCCGCGGCGGTTAGGCGGCGGGCCGTGGAAAGGAGAGAAAGAGAGAGAGGGCAAGGGGGGAAGGGAAGGGATCAGGCAGTAGTAGGCAGTCGAAGAGAGACGAGACAGAGAGCGCACGACTGCCGCTTGCTGCCGCTGCCGTGCCGAGTTTGTTTAGAAACGGAATCATCCCACACAGCTGCTGCTGCCGCCGCTGCAACTCCCGCTGCAGTGGCGGTGCGACTCCCATAATGCATCTCCAGCTCTCTGGCCTGTTGCCAGCTGGCGGGAAGGAGGATAAGGAAACGGAGGAGGCGAAGAGGCGAAGCAAGCAGAAGACGGGTAAAGCGACGAGGTAAAGCAGGACAAGGAGCGGGCGAGAGGCATGGAGGTCGGGTGGGGGAGGCGCGATGCTTAGAGTGAATCCGGTACATAGCAAGGGGCCCCGCGCCCGCCGACTGTTGCAGTCAGTGCAGTGCGAGTGAGGCAGTGAGGGTGCCGGGGAGGGCCCAACCGGGCCGAACGGGCCGAACATGGAACGGCATAGAACAGTGGCTTCCCCGGGGTCCGCGGACGCCAGGGGCGGCACGGCCCCGCCAGCCCCGCCCCACCCACTCCGGGCTACTCGGTGGCCGCCAGGACTCTAGCCAGTACCAGCCAGCAGGCTGCGAGCGTGGGCGGCCGAGGATCGTGACGTCCTCGGTCCGGGGGAGGCAGTGGAACGGACCCCGCCGGGGATGGCGGCCTCAACGCCACGGTGCTGGTGTCGCGACCCACCACCGCTCCGCTCTGGCCGGCCAGCCAGCGCCAGCCCCACCTTATCGATCCACCGCGGCGAACGCGGCGAACGCGGAGAGAAGGCAGCCGGGCTGTCAAGTCGCATCGCGGCGTGGCGGGGAGTGGCGTCGCGCAGCCGATGTCTCGGCGCGGCCAGTCCGCGGCCGCGGCGCCCCTCCGCCGACGCCAGAGGCTCCGCGCTGCTGCGCGTTGCTCCGCGTCGCAAAGTAGGGCAGAAGGCGGGAGGCGGGCGCTGACGCGGTGCCGTAATCACGCCGGCAGGCCCAGCGGTGCCCAGCGGCCACGACACTTGCAAAGTGTCTGGCCATTATCGGAGAGCCAAAGCTCTCGAGCCTCGGCCCCCGCGGCACACCGCTGGCTGCCGTCACACGTGCACAAGGCAAAACGCAGCCCTGGCAAATTTGGCTACGCAGCACGCGCAGCCGCAGCGCGCAGCTCGCAGCGCCACAACCAACGTACGATGTACGTTCTGGCGTCCCGCCTCCCGGCCCCCCACCACCACTTCACCCCCACCATGACCACACACTCAGCGCGCGGTGCGGCTCGGCTCGGCACGGCGCAGTTGGGGCCTCCGCGACGAGCACGGGACTTGGGAGCCGACCGACCGAGCCGAGCCGCGCTCAGTCACAACACAGGTTGAATCAATAATCCTGCAAGGCTTGCAAGCAGACGAAAGTGTCCCTGCCATTCCATTCATCGCGCACGCAGTACGCAGTGCCGCAGTCACGCACCCAGGTCAGGTGCACGGCTGCAGGGCCATGCTGCGCGGTGCTGCGCGACGCGACCGGGTTCACCGTTCAACCTGGGGAAGCACCTCTCTGGCTGGGCCATCGAGGCAGCGGCACCTGTGAGCACCTGCCCGCCGGCAAGCTGCCCTGGCACAGCCCTGGCACAGCATCGGACCACGGATAAGGGAAGCCTGTCGGCCAGTGCGTACTCCGTGCACGGCGTGCACTCCCACAGCCAGGCCGCCAGGTCAGGCAGAACCAGGGGCCTCGGGTGGGGCTACGGGGCTGCGGGGGCTCGGCTGGACAGGAGGGGCTGGCGGTGCTGCGGGGCAACAAGGGCTGCGCGCTGCGACGCGCTGCGCACGCTCGTGCTGGTGGCCCCACTGGCCCCCGTGGTCCCGGGGGTGGGGTGGGGGCTTGCCCTGGCCAGCCCTGGCTCGGCAGCTCGGCGGGGCCCGGGCCAGGCGCGGCAGAAAGCTGAGTTACCGGTTCCAGCTCGCTGACCGAGACGGGGACGGGTTGGGTCGGGGGCGCTCGGCGCGGCTCTGCGCTCGCGGATGGTCCCGGACTCCGGCTGGGCTGGGCCTGGACAAGTCCAAGCTCGTCACCGCCGGCTGGGGCAGTGCCGGGGCAGTGCCGGGGCGCGGGCCGAACCCTCCAGGCACAGGTACCGTAGAGTACGCTCCCTCCCGCCATTCCTGTTGCCGACCACCTCGCTGGCGCCGCGAGGCTACACGAATCGAGCTTCCCTTGGAGGACGCCGTCGAGAACAGAAAAATCCCACGCCTTTCCTTCGTCTGCCGCGAGCAGCCGCGAGAAGCCCACCACTCTGGGAGGGCGCCGCCGTCGTTGAGGGGGGCCGGCCGGGCGCAGCCGGGCGCCTAGCCTCGCACTTGACTCGCTCACCTCGCAGAAAACGGCAGCAAAGAGTATTGTGAGGGTTGGCATGGCTTCAAAGGTGCGCCCCTGGCGGCCTCCTCCCGGATGGTCCACCGCCTTCCACCGTCCTGCGGATGCAGAATGCCGGCGTCGCTGCTGCGCCGGGCTCCCTGTACGGGCCGAGGTACGTCGATTTTGAACTTGGCGCAGCTTCTATCCCGGTCTGGGCGTACGAAGGCGACGTCCACGACGACTGCCTGCTGGGGGGCGACTTCATCGCGGCGCACGTGTCCTCCCTGGACATCGACGACGACTCCATGGTCCTGCGCTCCAGCGGCCAGCGGGTCCCCTTGCGCCGTGTCACCATCTCCCCGTCCCCGCTCGAGGTGTCCATGCGGGTGGAGGCGATTGCTGCCGTCTCCGTCCCGCCTGGGACCTGCGTACGCGTGCCCGTCCGGGTGCGCGGCTGCGGTGTGGTTGAGCCGCTCGCTCCCACGGGTTCGTCTGGTATGGCGGAAAGTCGCGTGGAGCGCCCAGGGGTTGAGCCGTTCGTTCCCTCTGGCCTCGGTACGAATGGACTGGCCCCCCATTCGTACCGGGAGGGGCCTGAGCGACGCGTCATTCCGCTCGAGCCCTCTGCTGCACCCGCTCCAGACGTCGTCCACATCGCGCGCATGGCCGCCGTGGAGATGCACGCCCCGCTCTGGCGCCCAGGTATGGTGGTCGTCCCCAAGCTGTTCGCAGATGCCACAGAGGCCGATTCCCACGACATCTGCGTCCTCGTCCAGAACTTCTCGAATCGCCCCATCACCGTGCGGAAGTCTTCGTGCCTGGCGCGTTTCACCGCTCTCCAACAAGCTCCAGTCGCCACGGTCCAGCCACAGTCTTCTCCACCCGACGGTGTCCTCCCCCCACCCCTGGCGTCTCTCGCTGACCGCTGCACGGCGCATTTGCCCCCGCTTCAACAAGAGCAGGTGCGCGCCCTCCTGTCTGATTTCAGAGACATCTTCTCCTGCAATGGCGAGATCGGCCACTGTCGGTTGGTGGAGCATGACATTGACACCGGCTCCAGCGCCCCCATCAAGCAGGCACCGCGGCGGCTGGACTTCCACAAGCAGGAGATCGCCGACAAGTGCGTCAAGGAGATGCTCGACCAGGGCGTCATTCGTCTCTCTCAGTCTCCCTGGGCGTCCCCTGTCGTGTTGGTCGGCAAGAAGGACGGCTCAACTCGCTTCGCCATCGACTTCCGGAAGCTGAACAGCATCACTCGGAAAGACGCTTACCCTCTCCCCCGCATTGATGACATTCTGGACTCTTTGCGCGGCGCGTCGTGGTTTTCTTCTCTGGACCTTAAGTGTGGGTATTGGAACATTCCCCTTTCCGCGGCCGCCATGGCTAAGACCGCCTTCTGTGTGCCGGGGCACGGGTTGTACGAGTTCTTGCGTATGCCCTTTGGTTTGTGTAATGCGCCCGCCACTTTCCAGCGCTTAATGGACCGTTTAGTTCCCAGTGACATTGCCCGAGTGTACCTTGATGACATTGTAGTTCCCGGCAAGACCTTTGATGAGGCTTTACGCAATTTGACCAGGGTGTTCGGTGAAATTCGTAAGGCAAAGTTCCTTCTCAATCCCAAGAAATGTGCTCTCTTTTCCACGCAGCTGGGCTACTTGGGTCATGTCATTTCTGCCGAGGGCGTTGGGACAGACCCGGCAAAGGCGGAGAAGGTTCGCTCCTGGCCCGTCCCGCAGACCAAGGATGAACTGCACAGCTTCTTGTGTCTGGCGCAGTACTATTCTCGGTTCATCCGGGACTTCTCCAAGCTGGCCGCCCCTCTCAACGCCATGATGCGCAAGGCTTCTGTTTTCGAGTGGACGCCGTCCGCCCAGCAAGCCTTTGACGCCCTGAAGTCGGCGCTGTGCACCCCGCCCGTTCTTTGCTACCCTGACCCCAAGGGCGGCCAATTTATACTGGACTGTGACGCCTCGAACTTTGCCCTTGGTGCTGTCCTCTCTCAGGTGCAGAACGGTGAGGAGCGTGTCATCGCTTACTTCAGCAAGACGCTCAGCAAGGAGGAGCGGAACTACTGTGTGACGAGGAAGGAGCTTCTCGCCATAGTCGTCGCCTTCGCCCATTTCCACCATTACTTGGCCGGGGCCCACTTCTTGGTCCGGACGGATCACGCGGCTCTGCAGTGGCTGCGCACTATCCGGGACTCCGTGGAGGGCCAGTTGGCGCGTTGGCTGGAGCGCCTGGAAGCTTATGACTTCACCATTGTCCACAGGCCAGGCAAAGAACACTGCAACGCCGATGCACTTTCCCGCCGCCCATGTGACACTGACTGCCGCCACTGCGTGCGCACGGAGCAGCGTAACCTCCAGCAGGCCGTTCCCGTCGGCGCCGTGCATGCCGAGGACGCCATGCTGCCCTCACAGACCGAACTGCGCGCCGCGCAGAGCACGGACCTGGACATCGCACCCATCTTGGCGGCGATGCGGCGTGGGGAGCGCCCGGCTGCCTCCACCCTTTCTGCTTCCAGTTCCAAGACTAAGGCCCTGTGGCTGCAGTGGGCTTCTCTTGAGTTGGTGGATGAAGTCCTGTGCCGGCGGTTCGAGGACGCCGCCAGCCAGCGCATCTCCCGGCAGGCTGTGCTGCCCCGCTCCCTGGTAGGACGCGTCCTGACCTACTTCCACGACCAACCCGGTTCCGGTGGACACCTCGGCCGAAACAAGACCGTGGGCAAGGTTCGCCTGCACTACTACTGGCCTGGAATGTGCACCGAGGTCAAGCTGTGGGTGCTGTCCTGCTCCGCGTGCCGCCGGAGGAAGGGTCCGAACGTGCGCCCTCGAGCGCCTCTGCGGCCTTACAACGTGGGAGTGCCGTTTGAGCGGGTGGCCGTCGACCTAGTGTCAGGGTTTCCGGTCACTAGCCGCGGCAACAGGTACATCGTGGTAGTGGTGGATTATTTTACAAAGTGGTCAGAAGCCATTCCAGTCCCCGACATGCACTCTGAGACCGTGGCCCGAGCACTGGTTGACCACGTGTTCACTCGCTTCGGCGCGCCTACAGAGCTTCATTCTGACCAGGGGCGCACCTTTGAAGGAAAGGTGTTCAAGGCGGTGCTGGACATCATGGGTGTGCGCAAGACTCGCACCACTCCCGGCCGCCCCCAGTCCGACGGCGCGGTGGAACGACTAATCAAATCTCTAGTCCAGCAGCTAGCCGTTCTTTGCCAGCGTGACCAACACTCTTGGGACTTGCAGGTGCCTTTGGTCATGCTGAGCTTCCGGGTTGCGCCGCACGCCACTACGGGAGTGTCGCCCTCGATGATGATGTTCGGGCGGGACGTCAACCTTCCCCCGTCCCTGGCCCGCGGTCACCACCCACACCAGCCGGTGCCCCGCGTGCCCAAGTGCGACTACCCTGCGTGGCTGCACGGCCGCCTCCAGGACCTGCACCATGCAGTTCGCGAGCGGGCCGACCTGGCCTCGCTCAGGATGAAGGAGCGCTACGACCTGCGGGCCAAACGGCCTTCCTACGCCGTTGGCAGCCGGGTGTGGCTGTATGACCCGCGCCGTCGCGTCGGTCATCCTCCGAAGCTCTCATCCTGGTGGGCCGGCCCCTACAAAGTGGAACGCGTCATCAACGACGTAGTGCTCAAAATTAGACTGGACGGCGAGCCTGATACGCGTGCTCGCATTGTGCATGTTGACAGACTGTCCCCGGTAGTGCCCCGACCCTCTTTCTAATTTAGGCCATTAACTTTTGCTGTGTCCGAAACTTAAAGTGTACGCGTGTAAAAAGGCATCGAGCCCCATTGTGTTTCGCGGTCTGGCCCTTTTCCTGGTGACTTTCCCTTTCGTCAAGAGGAGGGATAATGTGAGGGTTGGCACCACTCCGCGCATGCGCGCTAGAACTCTCCCCGTTACTAAGGACTCTGCTGCTGTTATTCTTGCCATTCTTGTTGCCCTGTCCTTCGGAATAGACGTGCTTCTCTGACTCCCGCCTCTTATTCGGTGCCCTTAACAGTATCACGTCAGCTGAAGGACACGGACACGCTTGGGCACTAGTTTCACCTCACACGCGAACCACAACAAGCGCACAGGGCCACAGGTGACGAGACGCATCTTCCACGGCGAGCAACTCAGGTGACCGACTGCGGATCACTCCGGCCCCGGCCACACATACACAAACACACGCACAACAAAACAAGGCCACGGGCAGCCCAGCCTGGCCAGCCAGCCGCGCGCCAAGCAGAAGCGAATCGATGCGGGCGATGCAGGCTCGCTAGAGAACGAGAGAGTGGCGCGGATCGAGTTGGGCCTCGGACGGCCAGAGTTAGGGAAGGACCAGGCAGGCGGAGTTCACCGCGGTACCGGGCCGGCAAGCCACGGGGCACCAAGACGAAGACATTCATCCCTAGTTAGGGGCAAAGCAGGGGTCAGTTTCAAACAACATCGGTTGAACTTCCCTCTCGCGTACTCGCTCGTGGCGCCATCGAGACCATCGCACCGCCGCTGATTCGAGGAATCGACCGCGCAGCAGACGCCACGCGAGGTGTGGGCGAGCGGGGGGGCCGCGGGGAGGCGCGGCGGCGGCACGGCCGCGACCGCGACGCGATGCGGCTTGGCTCGCCACGGCGCGGCGGAAAGGGCAAGGCGGCAAGGGGAGGCCGGGCGGCAAGGCGGCCCAGAAGGGAAGGGAAAGGGAAGGGGGGTGGCACTGCCAATGCCACACGGCAAGCAAGCTCAGCATCAGCACCGCCTGGCTACGCGCTACGCCTGGCTATCCACCATACACCGCGGAAGGCCTTGTCCGCGAAGGAGAGCAGACCATCGCACCGCGGGAGGGAAGGGCTGGCTTCGGCCCGTTGGCTGTTGGCGCTCAAGAGACGGGGGGAGGGCGAGGCCGCGGGGCCTCTGGCTGCCTCTGGCCGGCCTGCAGCCTGTCCCACTCAACGAGTAACTATTCGCGGTACTTCCGGGGACACAGACACGGCGCCGCACCGCGCCTCGACGGGACTCCGTCGTAGGCTTGACTCGGTCTGGCAGTCCTGTGTAAGTCTTGAGCCCCTGCTGGCAACTGGACCAGTAAGCAGTTGCTCTGATATCATAGAAATTCGCCTTTGGTCCCACTTTGCTCTCTGGTGCACAGCCCAAATAGTTGAACATGACTTCATTCACCCACAACACATGTTCAATGTAGTCACTACATACAAACTTCACCGCAGTAAGACTGACGGACACCCTAGGCCACACACTTTTAGTAACGGAAGAATTTCCCTTCTACATTTTGAGCGTGCTGACATTTGAAACGGTGAACTCATCACAGGGTTTCTTTAAGTTTCTAGTTATGAAAGTACACCAGTCCATGTTTTAAAAAAACAGTATGGAAATTTTTTTGAGGAGTCAAAGGGAACTAGAAGCGCAAAATAAAGAGCTGCGAAACACATTGATCTTCACTCTAGAAAATGTGGACCCAGGCACCAACAAACCCTTCCTGAATAAGAGTGGTTCCAAACAGGTTGACAAAGCACAAGATTGCGGAATTTTTGATTATAAACTGCAAAAGCATTATCCCAAACTGTATTTATTGATTTGCACAAGCTAAGAGAGCATCATGCATCAGGAGACACATTTTTCAAACAAAGGAGGAGGGTCCTTTTAGCAAATCCTGGGTATGAAAAGTAGTACAAGCTTACTTCAATTAAAATGATGAGAGGTGTAGAGGTTATTCACCACACTAATACTTTGAATAATAAAACGTTAATGTAACTGTTGACTAACCGGGAGGGTTAGGTTAGGAAGTCGCATCACTGACAATCTCTCAGGTTTCACAGCGAGAGGTCCTCGAATCTAATAGACGTGCATGTGAAAGAAACTGTTTGTGAACCAAAGGCGATAAAACAACCCCAAAAAGATTCTTAAAAACTCACCAACGGACAATTTGCTGGTGAGAGTTTCAAAGTAACGCGAACGACTGCTTGCTGGTGCTGTGCTGCTATAAACATTGCAGCGCTCCCACTCACCGCGGAGCGCCTTCGAACTACAAGCGGTTGTGCTGCCCCCTGGCGACGGAACAGAAATCTGTGTTGTGTTTTTGAATGGGATATTAAGGTTTTGCTTTGATTGATTCAAAATTTCTATGCAACACTGGAACCATTGGTATGGACACGAAGACTTGGGAATTCACATGTAGGTCTTAGATATGTAGCAATACTAAACCAAACGCACTTAATATAGGTTAGGATTCATTCTTCCCGGTTCATTCACTACATCTGTCCACTCAGCTTTCATCATCAACCTGTTGGAACTTTTTGAATGAATGGTATCACTTTTCTATGTATAGAACAAAGGGCTTGTTGTTTCAGCTTTGACTTCTTGTCGGTGGCTTAATTATCTGTAGGTAAAGAAATCAAAAGTTTTTTTATCCAAGAAGTATTTTTTATTCGATCATGGGCCTTCGTTTAATAATTAGTTGTTTGTTATTCAAAACAGATATTTTGGGTTGCTCTTGCATCATGCAGCTATGATGAGAGAGATGAATTTAAAAATTGTACAAACAATGAAGCTACTCTAGAAGTGTCAGATGAAGGATGCATTTTGGAGTAGGTCAGGAATTGTCTTCTATGTCGGCCCAATTGGGCTGCTGTCAATTTGTTTCCATTTAACTTAACATTCAAGTTGTTCTGTCCAGGAATTTTTATATCTCCTTCTATGCCCATATTCTGAGCAGACATAATTGCCTGAAAAATGAAACGAAGTTTAGCTTCAGCAAGTAAACATAACCAGGGTTCATTCATTATTTATTACATGAGGGTCTGACATCACGAAAACCCTGCTATGTGTCAAGAAGCAGGCATGCATGCGCTAAGGTTTGCCCCATAGCAGGATTTCTGTGCCGTCAGACCCTTCTGTGAATAATGAACAGTCCTTAAGGACCTAAGTTTAAAAAGGACAAATAAATATACCGTGACAATGTCTTGAGTTATTCTATCTAGCTCATGAAGATAATTAGTTGCTGAAAGAGGAGCCTGCAAATGAGAAAAAGAATAGATTTACAATTTATAAAAACAGATGATTTGTATAGTAACCATTAACTAAGCCATTGAAGTTTTCAGCATTCACTTACATTTTGTGTAGACTGATTTGGTGGGGGCGGTTTGCGATCAAATAGAGCACATGCAATTTTTTCTTTCGGCAAATTGTCTTCTGCTTGTACAAGAATGAGAGGGCTATCCCACCGATTCCTACTGTCAGGAGCTTCATATCTCATTACTAAGGCGTCAAATATGTCCTGTGAATAGACTTCATCTCCAGAATCTGAATCATGCAAGAAAAATTTAATCTTTTCAGTTTTCATAGCTTAATTGGACTGAATTGAATAGTGCAGGTTCAGAGATGATCTTACTGTTAGTTGAGGACCTTTTTACATTAAAGTCCCATGCTGCTGTTGTTGAAGTTTCACAATGTACTGTGCATTGGGTTGTTTTACAGCTCTTTGACATGCAGTATATTTCATATCTGTACCCTACATAAACCAAAAAAATTACAATTTGTTTTTAAAAAAGAAGAAAACGAAACTCAACTTATTGAAATTGTTTGATGACAATTTTACCTTTTATATAGTTTGCTGCATCAATAATAACAACTGCATCTTGACTGACCAACCTGTTTTGATTGATTTTATTGTTTAAAAGAAATCGATGAGTTGCCTTTGATTTTTTAATCTAAATTAAAATTAATTGAAAGTATGCTTTTTTTTACCTTTGAACCTCTGATTTAATTATGCTTCGTATTTCTTTCTCCTTCGACGAATCTGCATGGAAATTTAATCTGTCCATTAGATTTGCGGTATGCCTCAAAAGTTTTCTCTCAATCTTGTATCAGTAGTAATGTGGTAGAAATTTGGGACACTTTACCTAAATAAAGGGCATTTTTTTTCAAGTTTGAGGAAGTTATAACCTCGTTTTCGCTCACTATATGAACTGTTTTGTTATGCTCTTTCTCTAAATACTCCTTGATTTGGGCTGCGCGTGTAGACTTTCCGGAAGATGGTATGCCCGTTATCAGCACCAGTGGCATTTTGAGTCCAGACAAGTAGCACCTGAATGTGAGGCAAGAAAATACTGCGATTTAACTCGTGCAGTCTGCTTGTAGTTCACGGTGGTGGGGCAATGCTGCCTGGTTGGGTTAGGTTGTGCTCCGTGCTGTCACCCGGAGCCAGCTCCTATTGGACACGGTGTCTGCCCCCACTCTTGAATCGGGCTCTCTGATTGGCTGAAGCTGTGTGACGTTTCCACCCTATTCAACCCTTCGCCCTCGCCCCCTTCTCGCTCCCTTCCCCCTCACCACGCCTTTCTTTCCCCACCCTCTCCTGCTCCGCCCCTGGGTTGCCCTACCCCAGGCCTAGGTTCCCGGGCACAAATCAATATCCGAGATACGAGTTCGTCGTTTGCTCGTCGGCTTCCGTACCACTGCCGGGGCTTTGCACTCATTCCTTCCCTGACCTATTTATTGTGCGTTTTTGTTGTTGTTTTCTTGAAATGGTAAACCCTCTGGGGTTATATAGTGATATGTTGGACGGCTTGTGATACTTCTGGCTCTTTTGGTTACAGGGAAGTCTTCCTCTGAGCATAACACATCAGAGATTTCAGAGTCAGGATGAAGAGGACATACATCTGTCACATCACCCAATTAAAACAAGCATTTCTTGTATTAGACAATTTTAAGAAGGTATATTTATTAATTTACATAAGCATTAAAATTTTGTTTCATACCCTTTTTCTGATTTTTTTTATTTTCTTTTTTTTGTTTGCAGCAACGAATGATGTTGCCTCACAGAGAGGGCGAGGAGACTGCTGCTTCGAATTCTACCTCAACACCTATTTTAAGTATTTTGGATCTTCCTCCAGAAGTTATGTACATGATCTTTTCCTATTGTGATGCACCGCATCTTGTAACATCAGTCCAGTATGTGTGTAATTCTTGGCATGAGTTGCTTCAGGCTGTGCATGTGTGGAAAGGACGAAGACTTATTTTCGGCAGAGATATGCCATGCCATGAATTGATGAGCTATATTCGTTGTGCCCCAAGTATTGATGCCATCTCATATACATACACCTCATGCCACAGATTTGTTCCCTGTTTAATAACAAATTGTTATAATCTATCTTGGCTAAAGTTACATGGGGATTTTTTTGTACCCTATAGTTTACTCAAAAATCTTATTAACTTGCAGCATCTTGATCTTGATCTTAGATGGAAATTTGAACGAAAACAAGACCATGACCCTGATTTGACAGGAATCTCATCTGTTTCATCACTTCAAACATTAATAGTAAGAAACTTCAATTACCATGAAAAATTTGTAATTGAATGTATAAAAAATTGCCCTAATTTAAGACATATTTTCATGTCAAAGGTAGAAGCTATTGAATATTATGTAGACCCAGAAAAGGTTGAGGAGGGAATCAATTCATCATCAAATCAACTTGAAACAGTATATGTTTTTGGTGCACAAAGTGTGGGGAGGGAACTACTAGAGTTAGTGGCAAAACCTGATTACCGAGGATTACGAAGTCTTGTTTTAAAACCCAATGACTATACAGATTATGATTTTACAAACATTCTGTTTCGTGACAAATTTCCTGAAATGGTGACTTTGGATATTGGATATTCCAATTTGGTGACTGACAGTTCAATGCCATTATTAGTTAATTGTTGTCCCAAGCTTAAAAATTTGTGTTTATGTCGTTGCAATATAGGAGATGCTGCCCTGAAACTGTTTCTTAAGAAGCTGCCTAGCTTAGAACGGCTGAACCTTCATGGGACTCTTGTGTCCTCAGAATTGCTCCACTTTTTCCCGTCAAGTTTTCCGAACTTGAAAGCGCTCAATTTGTGTGCTTGCCGACTTGTTCATCAAATCAATCTCCTGCCTCTGTTGGATGCATTACCTAGTATAATGATTCTTGACCGTCGAGGTGACTTTCTTGGAGGAAATAGAGACCGTAAAATGAATTGGCCTTTTCTTCCAGTGAGAAATGCTCTTGCTTAAGTTACATATTTTCATTTTTTTTGGACGTCTTAAGTAAATTTATGTTTATGTTAAATTGCTGTTATTTATTGAGTACTGTGATTTATACTGTGTTATTGTTTGTAGTGATAATACAGAAAAGTTCAGAAAAGGTGTAATTCTCTTTAGAATTTAAGCAACCTGAGTTACATTAACTATTTTTATTTTCCTTCAGGTAAAAAGCCCAGATAACATTTTATACATTCATCACGTACATCTATTGCATTTAATATTTCAACCCCCCCAGGAACACATATCAGTTTTAAATTTCTTGTGATAAATGTCAGAGCTGATTAAAACAATTTAAATCCCAATTAAAAGTATTTTATTGCAGGTTTTAAACTGTACAAAGCTGTTGGCAATGACCAGTTAGACATTGCTAATTCACTAATGGTGGTTGCTCAAATAATATTTGAACTACACACGTCAGAAAATGTGGTATTATACATCATACTTTAATGATCCTCAACCTTCTGGAGCTTAAACCAGTAACCACAAGCACATCGCTTGGGTTCACTCTGTCTGAGCCACATCCAGACAACATTCTCAGAGTCTTCTTCACATATGCAACCAACTAGGCGTTCGTGGAAGGAGGAATATACAACATGAGGTTTTTCCTTGGTGCAAACACCCCGTTTCTGGATATTCATATCAAAAGGATCCTGAAACATAGAAAATATAGGTATAGGAATGCACAACATATGAACTACTAAAACACCAATCAATAGCAAAAATTACCTCATTTCCTTGCAGCTCTGCCAGCAATTGTTTCCTTTCCAGACCGCTAGCATGCTCAAGAGGATTGGGAAGATCTACAAACACAACAATGAAATTAAAATGTTAATGTAACAAGGCAGCAATAAAGACACAATTCAGTCAAGATTGACACGACTCTCAAGAAAATAGAAATAAATAATAAATGAATACAACAAAAAAACTTATTTCTGATCTGTCTCAAATGTCTAAAGAAGTGTCCAGAAGATGTATCAAATGGCACGGTGAGGTTGTGGTATAAATTAAATCCGCAATGAAATATAGAGGAATCACAGGGTTTGCAAAGGAGTTGATGATTTGCAAACTAAGCTAGTCAAATTTTGAAAAGTCCAAAAAGGGAAGTATAATAGGGGTGAATTTTTCATATTGCATAGAAAGGCAAGTGATACGTGCCCATTTACTGATAAACTGAGGCATTCAAGGGTGGCTCATGCACAAATTGGTGAAAAAGCATGCTCCTTGAGCAGCTACGTGAACTGTAACTTACAGACACTTGCGAAAGTAAGAGCCAAATGTTCGACAGTGTACACGGGTCTAAGAGATTTTGGTGTAAAGTGCCAGTGCCTTGGGTCAAACAGGACAACTTGGCAAAAAGATGAGACAGCATTCCGTATATTAATCTTAAAGAAAGCAGGGTTTGCCTCTGCAACTAGGCTATGTAACAAGTGTGTCAGATAAAAATTTGATCGATCTAAAGTAAAAGAAAATGGGGATCACGGGATGGAAGGTTATGGCCGAGCACCGTCACCATTGGGACCTTCAGCCATCAACGTTACGATACGATACTTACTGTCCGATGCTTTAAAGAGACCACCAAGTCGGGCCGTCGAAAAAGATCGACGGGAAACACTGCACAAGACCCTTTGCAAAGCCATTATTACTTGCTGTTCAATTCACCTGCAATCCACTGGGAAGAGCCTTCATCCACAGTAATTGCACCAGAGGGCAGCACAGAGCAGAGTAGCAGAAGAGTCTTTGAGCAGACACGATGTAGATACCTGACGGCAGGATGCGGAAAAATGATGATTAATGGGAGCAATAAAAAAATAGTATCAAACTCATTAAAAAGTGCTAAAATATTTTTCCCTGCGTATTGTAAAGAAGTTTGTCTGTTTGGGTATTGTTTCGGAAATTATTTTGTAAATTCACAGCCCTTGTCTAATCTACCGACGGCGATCGAAGCTCTTTTTTCTTCAAAGGCAGTGCCCGTCAAACTGACTGGTTCTTCCGGGTCCACATTCAACGGTCCTTTCACGCACTCGCATGGCAAGGTAAACTTTGTCGAAATTGGCTTGGCATCATCTACTCTTTCAAGTTGTATTTATGCTAATTCTGTGAAATAATTGACGCTCACTGGTGGAACAAATTTATTGACCCCTATTTAACGTATATTTGAGCTTACCGTAAGTGTCGTATCCGTATGAAGTGCGATGTTTATGGATGATAGTGGCGGTCTGTGCTGTGCCGACACACCAGTGACACGTTTTAACCCTATGTTTCGTTTTTGTATGTCCTAAAGTTCGCGCACTCGTTGAATTTGGCCTTTTTGAGTAGGCTATTAACGACCTACCGTCTCTGTTACTGTGTGGTTTGGTCCTTGAGTTTCTGTTATTGGAACCCATGTCGCTGAGGTTATGTTTCCTTGAGCCAATGCATCGACATTCTCGTCGTTTTGACAAACTACCTGTCGAGTTTCCCCCTGGCCTACGGAGAGGCTGCCTGACGTCTTTTTTACGTGGGTCCGTGCTGAACCGCCAATGTTACCTTGTTTCAGATGATCGCGGCAGGAGCTAAAATTTTGAAGCCGGGTGGCGCTGAGCCCGATGCCTTCGAGGTGTCCATCTCCCAGGCTCTCATGGAGCTGGAGATGAACAGCGACCTGAAGGCACAGCTGCGTGAGCTGCATATTACTAAGGCCAAGGAAATTGAGCTGAATGGCAAGAAGGTTAGTAGTCTCTGAAGAGCTTGTTTATTTTGACACTGTTTCTCTCTTGGCTAATCCTTTTAGTGGTTGCTTGCTTTCATTACCCAACGAATTTTGCTTTTACAGTCCATCATCATCTATGTGCCAATTCCTCAGCTGAAGCTCTTCCAGAAAATCCAAACTAGGTTGGTCCGTGAGCTTGAAAAGAAATTCAGCGGCAAGCACGTTGTCTTTGTTGGTGAGAGGAAAATTTTGCCCAAGCCCACCCGTAAGACTCGTACTCAAAACAAGCAGAAGCGGCCCAGGAGGTAATGTGTACATTAGGTACTTGTTTTAGCGTATTTTTTGTTATCTTGCCAACTCTAATGGATTTTCTTTTTTACTCCCTTGTAGCCGGACCCTCACTGCTGTGTATGATTCCATCCTTGAGGACCTGGTTTTCCCTGCTGAAATCGTCGGAAAGCGCATCAGGGTCAAGCTTGACGGATCACAGCTCATTAAGGTTCATCTGGACAAGAATCAGCAGACAAATATTGAACACAAGGTAACTATCATCTTTCACTACTCTTGTTTCTTGGGTATTTTGAGAAGACTCTTAAGATGTGAGAGTTGTCATCTTTTGCAACAATCTACAAAAAGGCTCTTTTGGTATTGCTTTTATTTTTGGGTGAAAATTGTTTACACTCCTTGTCTGTGATGTATTCAAGTGGACTGATTTATTTGATGTATATTTTTGTTTCGTCACTACCACTGAGGCAAACTGGAGTTCTTGTGTTTCTTGCACTTTTCTAATGATGCTATATGTGGTCTGAACACCTGAATCTCTTTTGATGTCACTTATCATCATAACCTGAAGAAAAGTTATTTATATTTCCTCCTTTTCCTGTCAGAAATGTTTACGCTCTGTGTCAGTGATGTATTCATGTGGACTGATTTTGATGATGTATATATTTGTTTCGTCACTACCACTGAGGCAAACTGGAGTTTTGTTGCACTTTTCTTGTGATGCTGTATGAGGTCTGAACACCTGAATGTCTCTTGATGTCATTTTTTAAAAAAAGCTCTTTATTTTATTTTTTTATCTTGTCTGAAATGTTCTTTCTTTGTCTGTGATGTATTCAAGTGGACTGATTTATTTGATGTTATAAAATTAATTTCGTCACTACCACTGAGGCAGAGTTAAATTTGTTTCTAATGTGTTGGGTAGTTTGAACTCATAAATTTTTCTTGTTGGTTTTTGTGACCTAAAAAACAGAATCTTTTTTCTTGTTTTTTCAAAAATTGTCTTCAATAATGCCAGTACTGAACCATGACTTCCCTTGGGGACATTGTAGGCTAGTGCTGATCAAAATTTCATCAGTGATTCATTGATGTGGGCTCCATATCTCATTGTATCATGCTTATACATATCTGTTTTTTTTTTTGTTTCAGGTTGACACCTTTGCCTCAGTTTACAAGAAACTGACTGGAAGGGAAGTGTCATTCGAGTTCCCAGAACCCTACTTGTAAATGTTTCCAACCTATTAAATTGATACAAAAAAATAAAAACAATCTTATTTCTGTCTTCCTGATACTTAATTTCTCCCTGAATTGAAAGATTTATGTGGATTAGTTTGCTCATAAACATTGTTGTTCCAATAGCTTCATTACACATTTGATTTCTGTTAGGGTACACTATTTGACTAAAATTGACTAGGTGTCTTATTTCCTGGGACTAAGCACCTCCCTCCACCGTTCGTGACGTGGGACACCCTCGAGACAACCTCTTGGGACTGGTACATTGTACACCGCACATGCAAGATGTAAATTTATAGCTGAAGTACTGCCGTCATTTGGTCGATGATTTTCAGTTTCTTCAGGGGAAACCCCTCAACAATTTCTCTCATGGATTGGGAGGGGGGAGAGAGCGGCACTATGGCTCAGCTGACCGGTCTTGGCGGGGGCGGTGCGATGCGGCTACTCCAGCCCCAGCCAACCAACATGACATCGCTTTGCCGTTCGCCGGGCCGCCTCGTTTCGAGTCTGGCTCAGTGGCGTCTACCGCCTCACCGCAGCACGACGCCGCCGCCTCGCTGGCGCTGGCACCATCACAGCGCCGCGGTCGGGCGAGCTAGCCCAGCTCCCAGCCCGAGTCGAGACGCTTTGGCGGATTTTGACTTGGCGTTTTCGCTGGGACAGCGTCGCCGCGCTGGGCCGGGCTTGGACGTCGGGCCGGCCGGTCAGTGTCAACGCCGGCGCGCCGCGCCAGTGCCACGCGACGCGGCAGCGACTGTCGTGCCGCTAGTCGGCAGTTCGACCCCCGGAACGGAGCGGAGCGGCGCAGCGGCGCACAGTGCGGTGTGCTCCTCGGGCCCTCCAAGACGTCGACGTCAACGACGGAGTGCGGAGTGCCCCATGGCTGGCGGTGGTGTCGGTGTCCGCGAAGCCGTCCCAGGCCCATGAACTCGCCGCGGCCCGGCGACACCGCGCAGCACGCCAAGCACGTGGCTGGTCGTGTGTTTGGGCGGCCGACCTGGCCAACCTGGCCGACCTGGCCGACCTGGCCGACCTGGCCGACGCGAGACACGCCGAGCAGGCGGTGCAGTGCAGTGAGTCAGTGCAGTGTTGTGCCAGGCTCGGGGCGACGGCGCGCCGGGGGTGATCGGGTCTCGAACCCGGACCCAGCTGGTTGTCCTGCAGTGTCGACGCCAAATAAGAACCTGTCGACGGCAAGACACGGCACGGCCCGCCTCGTCGCGACGCGTCGCGGAAGAGAAGCGACGGACTAGAAAGTTGTGACGGTTGTGTGGCGGCAGGCGGCAGCGCCTCCGGGACTCCAGGCGCCGTCATGAGCGCCTTCCCGTCGGCCGAGGGCGGCCCCCTGGCGCACAAGTACAGCCTCAGCAAGCCCGACAAGACCAAGACCCAGGCCGACAAGGAGACCGACGCGGCCGTGACGCTCACGGCCTTCGTGCCCTCGGCGCAGGCCGCCGCGGAGGCCGCCGGCGTCGTGAACCAGGGCTTCACGGGCTCCGTCGAGTCGCTGACGCCGCCCGCAGCGGCAGAGCACGCCCCAGTCCCGCCGTCGCCACCATTGGCCGCCAACGGCGCCAGCGGCAAGGGAGGTGAGTCGAGTCGGTCATTGACGTTGCAGCCGCCGGGTCCGCCGGGCAGGGTGTAGGCCGCGTAGGCTCATGGTGTAGGGTGCGCCAGGGCGCGGGGCGTGGCGCACCGCGCGCACCGCGTCGTTGGCAAGGCTTTTCCCCGCGGTTCGCGCTTTGCGTTTTGCCGTCCGTGGTCGTTGCCGCGCTGCCGAGTGCGGAGTGCCGCGCTGCCGATGGTCTTCCCTGACGCGGAGGGGCTGGTCGCCGCTTGTCTATGGCCGCGAGCGAAACCGCGAAACGCCGGCATACCTCGTTGGGTAATGAGCTTATCGATTTATCTGCGTAAGTGCGTTTAGTTTTTGGAAGAGTGGGTCGTTGAATCTGCAATTACTACGTAGCTGGGGGGAGGGCCGTGGCTCTGGAGGCCGGAGGGGAGGGCGCCGCGGAACCAATTTGGAGTCACCTTTCTGCAGGCCGCTCTGCCGTCTCTCTCGCACCCCTACGGAGTGCCCCATGAGTGCGAGAGAGACGGAGGACACGGCTCCGCGGCCAAATGGCGTTAAAATCCCAAGTAGGTGGGAACGACTCTCGCCCGGCGGGTGGACCTCTTCGCACGCGCACGGGTTGTTGGCGTCCCTGGGCGTGGCGAATCGGCGACCACCGCCTACACTGCAGAAGCGCGCCAAATGCGCGCCAAAGTGGCGTGGATCCGCCTGCGGATTCGATGCACACCGCGCGACGCGGCGCTTCGATTCGGCCATTCGGTCCCATTGAACATTGAACCCGTCCTCGTCCTAATGGCTGGCCGCTCTGTCTCTCTCGCACCCTTCCAGGACGCTCCATGAGTGCGAGAGAGACAGTCTGCTGGCCGATGACGTCACTCGGTCTGTCCTGGTCCACGCCGTCCTGTGTGCGCCCCCTCCCCCGGCGGTGATTTGGGCGATTTGGCCTCTGGGGCCACTTTCCTGCGTTTGTCTTTGGACCCATTTCGGACATGCGAGATCGTTTCGAGAAGCCCATTGGTGTCGCATCGCGTTCGCCGGGATGTTGTTTGTGTAGGAGCCCCTTACGGCGGCCGGGTAGGCAATCCGCACGCACCCCTGCACCCGGGTTGCCTATGGAGGTTGTACCATTGCCATTACGGGCTAGACCTCAACTGATCGTATGCCGTCCCTTGCGCACGGAGGACACGCACCTGCAGTGGCTGGGGCTGGTGTTGGCAGGGTCAGTTCCTCCACTGCTGTGTGAAGGTTACGTACAGTGCAGGAGGTCGCCTGGTCGTTTGCGCTGATGCGACTCAAAAAATTGCCAAATTGAACTATACGCTGGACTGCAAGATGACTTCGTGCGCGCCGGCCGCTGTGTTCGTGTCTCGTCCGATCCATTCCATTCTATGCCCTGCCATGCCGTGACGCTCAGGTAGCATGGCGCTGTGCGCGCGGTGCTGAGCACTGTTAAAATACTCTGTTGGCGACGAGTGCGATGCACGTCGTTGTTATGAACGGGATTGGTGTCCCTGCGGGGAGAATGGGCAGCAGGGAAGCGGAGGGATGGCCGCGGCGGTTCGGTTCGCCATGTCCGGGAACGTGCATGCTTTTCACCCCCACCTCCGCCTTGGTGCACGCTAGTGCAACCTGGTGCAGCCCCAACGCGTTCCTTCCCGTGTCGCACGCCGCGTGAAAGCGGTCCGCCTCCCCATGAGAAATCTCGTGGCCTCCCCCTCCCCCTGCCGCCCCTGCCGGGACTGGCCTGACTGGCCGTTCGGGGTGAAGGGTGCGAACGCTCTCTTCTGCCACGACGCGTGACGCACCACACGCCCGGCCGGCCCTCGGCCTGTCTCTCTCGCACCCACGCGGCGCGGCGCCCTCCGCGAGTGCGAGGGAGAGAGACTGCTGGCGGCCGCACGCGTTGGGTGCGGTCCGGTGCGGTCACCGAGACAGTGTGGGGCGGCGCGTGCGGCGCGGTCCATTGTGGGCGAAAGTTGAGTGTGGCGCCTCTTCCTGGGCGTACAGTGTCGCAACGAGTCTCTCTCGCGCTGCTACGGGACACCCCCACGAGAGCGCGACGGACAGAGCGACGGAGGCACTGTTCGGAATCCGTTCGGAATCAGCCTACCGCGGGCCGCCCCGCCGAAAGGCCGAAACCGGGGAACTTTCCCTGCGGAGGCAAACACGTCGAACACTCCGCAAGTACACCGTAAGTGACACTGGGCAAGTACACTGCCCGCGTCTCGTCCAGCCCGTCGGCCTGTCCGGGGCGTGACGGAATGACCGTCCCGTCGCGTCACGTGGTTCGAGGGACAACTTAATTTCTGGTGGCGACGCTTGGCGCTTGGCGTTGCCACGGGTCGCCACGCGCACCCAGCCTCCATGGAGGGACTTCCCCCGCGCCACGCCGCCGACGCCGCGCCGCGTGGGCCCAGCGGCTCGCTGGCTCGGCCGGGCTCGGCGCTCGGCAACGGCGAGTACGCCGGCGAACCGGCGGGTGGCGGTGCTCGGTGCTCCACGGTTTCTGCCGGCAGGCCGGGCAGGCCGGGCAGGCTGCTGGCGCCCATGACGCGCTTGGGCTCCACTTCGCGAGCTGCCGCTGGACATTAAGATCGCCGTCGCGATAGACCGGCGACGCTAAACGTGTCGGCCCGGCGGCCTACAGAGTAAACGGAGTCCGCGGGCGGCGCGCCACTAAATCAAAGTCAGGCCGCCCTGCCGGCCCTGCCTGCCATTTGGTCGCCCTGTCTCTCTCGCACCTCTTGGGCACGCCCCATGAGTGCGACGGAGACGGAGCGATTTGGAAATGATGGCGGCTGACTGGCAGCCGCCGAACTGTCTTCGCTGGTTCTCGTTTTGCTTCGGAGCTCGCCGAGCCCGACGGCCCGAAGCGGAGAGCACGCGTGGGGCGCGAGGCGGGGCCGCGGGCATGGCCGGGCAGCGCCTTGGGAAGCGAAACCTGATCGGCATGTGTTGCTTTATGTTTTTCCCCAAAGCAATTACACTCACTTTAGCGAAAAGAAAGAAGCTAAGCACGCGTGCGCGGCGCGGTGCGGAATTTAGCGGCCGAGGTTTGGAGCGTGGCCGGGCGGGCCGGACGGGACGGGCCGGGCCACGTGGTCTTGGCGTCGTCGTGCTGGAGCAGGATGGTGTGCTGGATGGTGCTGGAGCGACGCGGTCAGGCGGCCAGACGGCCCGACACCGGCCGGCGGCGAATCCCGACACTGGACTCTGCCTCATTCTGACAATGGAAGTGACGAGCACGACGAGGAAACGACCTGTAATCTTTCGTTGTTTTTTTACGTCAGTGCTTTAGAGCTCTTGCAGAGTTTCATTATTACTACAATTTTTTCATTCTTTTTTTTGTTTGTTGGTGTGTTGGTGGTGGTTGAGTTCTCAGGGCGCGACTCGTGTCGTCTTGGCTTGACGTCGCTCGGTCCCGCGCCTGTGCGGGGAAGGGGTGGCGGGCAAGATCGGCGGCCGCGCCGCGCAACGCACCGGAATTCTCCGGTTGAAACCGGAACGCCGGAACCGGACCGGTTCTGCGCGACGCGGCGCCACAGCCGGGAAGCCCGGGAAGGGAGGCGAAATCCGGGCGCCCGGTTCTGGTTTTCCGGACGGCGGGGCTCGGGCTGCGGGTTCGGTTCAGTTCGGCACCCTTCGGCCACCCCGTCGAACACAGTCTCGGCGTTTCAGCAGTCGCCGCGACGTTGCGTTCGCGTGGTGCCTGCCTCTTCAGGGAGCACATTTCATTCAAGAGCCCCCCCCCCTCCCCCTCCCCCTCTCTTCCCCGGGCTGCCTCGCAGAACGACATGCAAAATTCCTCCGTGGCGCCGACGCCGACGCTGCTAGTGACAATGGTAGACACGAGTTGTCGACATGCCCCCCCCCCCCCCCCCCCCAACCACCTAACCTCACCCCGCCACCCGCGGTCCGCCGAGTACTAGCTCTGTTCGAAGCGGCGCCGTATGGAAAGTGGAACATGCCAGCGCCGGATTGGGTATGCCCGCGCCGAACACTCCGACGCCGACCCTGAGCAGCATGATGCGGCTGCTTGCTTCCCTCAGCCGGCGTCGCCAAGTTTCGGGCCTCCTCCGTTGTTGAGCAGGCTCGTGAGGCTCGTGAGGCTCGTGAGGCTCGTGAGGTTGGAAAGGAGGGGGCGGCGCTCTAGTGCCGCAGGTGTGTGTTCGTTCTGCACTCGATGTGTTCAATGTGTTCCAGGTGTCCCGGGAGCGTGCCGGCGCGAGGAGACTAGTACTTGCAATTACGGGAGGGGGGGGGAGGGGAAATCCGCGGGGATGAGAAGGCGACACTGCGTCATCATCGGACCGGCATGCCATCAAATGTGGGACGGACAAAGACAAACCGGTCGCGGGGCGGCGCGGGGCGGGGCGACTCGTAAGTCTGAGTTTATTCACCGTCAAGTCGAAGCCCGGCCGGCGGGTCGGGTCGAGTCGGGTCGCGTGTAGTGGGCCGTGTGGGTTGTTGGTCCGCGCGGCCAGGGAGTCGCCGTCGTGTACCCTCGTAACTGCGTCGCAGCGTCGCGGCGCGGTGCTGGCCGAGGCGCAGGTACGGCGTTCTCCGCGGCCCGCTCGCCCCGCTCGTCCGCCGGCTTGGTTAATAATCGTGATGCGCGCGAGTGGTTCTGTTTGGCCCGGCAGTTCGATTCCAGTTATCGCTGGGCCGGCCCGCCTTGCCCCGCCGCGCAGTGTGCGCTGACCTTCGCCGATTTCTTTTATTGGCGCGAATAAAGTGAGGCGGCCTGGAGAAAGGCCGCCACGCCGGCGGCAACGCGGCAACTGGACCGCGGCGCGTCCACCGTAGTCCACCGTGGCGTGTGGCTCCTCAGTTTTGCTTGTATTTATTTGGGCGATGGCGTCCGGCAGTGGCGTGTCGCGTGGAGCCGCGCGGACGCCCGGCCGCCGAATGGTCCGGTTGTTTGGGGTTCGTGGACGATCGACACCGACGCCGCCACCGGGCAGCCGCTGGAGCCTGGAGCCCTGCCTGAAGAGCTCCAACTCACCCCCTCTTCGAGCCCCGCCGGCCGTGGCGCTACACTCCAAATCCAGGGTGTCTAGAAACTATACGCCTTAGGCGTATGCCACAGAAATGGAACTGCCTTAAGGCGCCTTGATTCTACACGCCAAAGGCGTATACCCCATTGAGCACCTTTTGCAGATAGAAGTTAGCATGTGAACACCATTGGTCGAAGGAAAGGTGCGTGCATTGTACACACCCTGGATCATAGGCACTGAGCTCAACAGGACTCTAGGTGCGTTGAATGCAAACACCGCCCTTGGCCGAGGCCATGCCTACCGAGGCCTTAAAGGGTGTTTACATTCAACGCACCTTGAGTCCTGTTGAGCTCAGTGCCTATGATCCAGGGTGTGTACAATGCACGCACCTTTCCTTCGACCAATGGTGCTCACATGCTAACGTCTATCTGCAAAAGGTGCTCAATGGGGTATACGCCTTTGGCGTGTAGAATCAAGGCGCCTTAAGGCAGTTCCATTTCTGTGGCATACGCCTAAGGCGCATAGTTTCTAGACACCCTGGATTTGGAGTGTAGAGACTGCCCAGCGTCCAGGCGTTGGGGTGCACACGGCGGCGGCACGCGGCGGCACACGGCGGCACGCCAGTGGTTCCCACACCTGTGCACTTGCACGTGGCACGCCATGGTGCGGCCCGCGGGCTGTGGGCTGCGGCCCCGCGGCGGTGGGAGCCGCACGCGACGCTGCGCGACGCGCCGTGGCCGCGATCGCCGCGCCGCGCCTCGCCTCGTGGTGGCGATCGTCCGACCGCCCGCTAGGCCGCTAGCGGAGCTCGCATTGTGTACCGAGAACATGAAACGTCGAAAGGATTTCCAGTTCTGCCTTTCAGGTTTTCCTGTTTTCTCCGAAAGCGATTTGCATGACACGCGCTATGGCTCTGTTAAGTGGCGCGCCGGATGGATGTCAGCTGGACGAAGGTGATGCGGCGTGGGAGGCTTGCTTGCTCGCTGGGCCCGCCTGGCGACCCGCCCCGTGGTCCGAGAGGTCCGAGGTTCGCGCCGCGGTGTCGCCGGCCGTTTTGCCGGCAGTGCGAAGGACGCTCGGACACTGTCGGACACGGTCTGCTCTGTTCCACTCGATTGGTAATGAGTGCGTGGCGGCACGGCGGCGCGGTTTGCGCGGATGGCGCGGCTGGGAAGCAGGATATCGGTAAATGCCGAAGCGTCGCGAAGCGTGCGCACGACAAGCGCTTCGCCTGCCTGCCTGCCTGCCTTGTACCTTGTCGGTGCCTCGCTGGACAGGAAGCGCGAGCGACTTGGGATTGCTTCGGCTTTTCATGAGCCGTCGTCGCCGCCGCCTTGCGTCCCGAACGTTCAAACGTTGCGTCACTCGGCCAGAGGCAGCCAGGGCAGCCAGAGGCCCCGGCCCAGGTCCCTGCCTTCCTCGCCCCGCCGTGGGGCGGCTGGCTGGGCTGGCGGGGCTGGCGGGGCTGGCGGGTCGCTTTGTCCTTCCAGGGATCAGCGACATCCTGGATGGCGGCGGGGTCGAGTCGGAATGGCGGTGCCGCGGCACCGGCGGGTTTCGGTTCACTGGAGACCGCGTCTGCAGGCTGATTTCGAACTGGGCTTGGTGGCTCCGTGTCTCTCTCTCTCGCACTCGCGCGGCCTGTCGTGGGAGTGCGAGAGAGACGGGGCGACTGTCCGGAGTGAGCCTGCCGCGCGCTGCGCTCGTCTTGACCTTCCTTGCATTTAGCCGCGGCAGCGCTTTGGGCTTTAGGCAGTGTAGTGGGTGGCCGGCCAGACTGGGCCCGGCTGGGCCTCGCCGACTCGGTTCGAAGGTCTTCCAACTTGACCATTTTCTGAACCGCACTGGAGCACAATCTCTCGTGCTGAAGACCCGTGCGTCCAAAGTTAGGAACTCCCCACCCGGGGCAGTCCGGAATTCCCAACTGCCGGCGACTGAAACGAACCAGAAATCGTTGGGAGTTTATCCGGTGTCCTTTGACAGTGTAGTTTATCGGGTGGTTTCTCCGGGTGGATTTGGGGAGGGCCTCTCCCTGGGCCACCGTGACCATCATGACCATGTCGCTAACGAGTTGTTCCCGTCGATGGTTGCCAGTAGCGCTGGTGCTCGTTGTCTGGAGCGCGGCTGCTCGTCGGTAGTAACGACGTCTTCAATTCGACGCGGCGCGGCGGGGCTCGGCGGGGCTCGGCCCGACTCTGTAGTTTACGAGACGGGTTAACGAGACCGCCAATTCGCCTCAAATGCAAGAATAATCGTAACTCGGAAGGGCCGTCCCGTCAGGGTACTCGCGTTTCTAGGGTCACTCCATCACGCGGCGCGTAGGCCGCCGTTTCGGGGTTTTGGCGCCCAAATTGGGTCTGCCTCCACCACTGCTTTCGCGCGCCACTGGAAAGACATTACTTCTGTGTGTGTGTCGAGGGGGGGGGGGGCTGAATTAGCCAGTGCCTCTTGTGCATGTCCGGGGCGTCGCGCGTCGCGCGGACGGCCACGCGGTCGCACAACCGGGCGCTTGAAAGGGGAGGAGGGGACTGGACCGGCCGCAGTACAGCCAATTTCTCTCTTGTGCATGTCCGGGGCGTCGCGCGTCGCGCGGACGGCCACGCGGTCGCACAACCGGGCGCTTGAAAGGGGAGAAGGGGACTGGACCGGCCGCAGTACAGCCAATTTCTCTCTTGTGCATGTCCGGGGCGTCGCGCGTCGCGCGGACGGCCACGCGGTCGCACAACCGGGCGCTTGAAAGGGGAGGGGGGCGAAAGCATTTCTCTTGTGCATGTCCGGGCGTCGCGCGGACGGGCCCCGGGTCGCACAACCGGGCGCTTGAAAGGAGGGTGGGCCAGTGCTTCTCTTGTGCATGTCCGGGGCGTCGCGCGTCGCGCGGACGGCCACGCGGTCGCACAACCGGGCGCTTGAAAGGGGAGAAGGGGACTGGACCGGCCGCAGTACAGCCAATTTCTCTCTTGTGCATGTCCGGGGCGTCGCGCGTCGCGCGGACGGCCACGCGGTCGCACAACCGGGCGCTTGAAAGGGGAGAAGGGGACTGGACCGGCCGCAGTACAGCCAATTTCTCTCTTGTGCATGTCCGGGGCGTCGCGCGTCGCGCGGACGGCCACGCGGTCGCACAACCGGGCGCTTGAAAGGGGAGGAAGGGGACTGGACCGGCCGCAGTACAGCCAATTTCTCTCTTGTGCATGTCCGGGGCGTCGCGCGTCGCGCGGACGGCCACGCGGTCGCACAACCGGGCGCTTGAAAGGGGAGAGGGGACTGGACCGGCCGCAGTACAGCCAATTTCTCTCTTGTGCATGTCCGGGGCGTCGCGCGTCGCGCGGACGGCCACGCGGTCGCACAACCGGGCGCTTGAAAGGGAGGAGGGGACTGGACCGGCCGCAGTACAGCCAATTTCTCTCTTGTGCATGTCCGGGGCGTCGCGCGTCGCGCGGACGGCCACGCGGTCGCACAACCGCTAGCAGCCCTTGTAGCGGGCGTGGTGCGCGGACTGGCACCGGTCGCCAGCTAAGCCCTCTCCATCTCTCCTTGTGCATGTCCGGGGCGTCGCGCGTCGCGCGGACGGCCACGCGGTCGCACAACCGGGCGCTTGAAAGGGGAGAAGGGGACTGGACCGGCCGCAGTACAGCCAATTTCTCTCTTGTGCATGTCCGGGGCGTCGCGCGTCGCGCGGACGGCCACGCGGTCGCACAACCGGGCGCTTGAAAGGGGAGGGGGGGACTGGACCGGCCGCAGTACAGCCAATTTCTCTTTTGGGCTGGTCTTCTCTTTTGTCTCTGATTTTACAAGGCGATAACGGACTCTCTTAAAATTCCCGAAAGCAAAAACAAAACAATTGGTTCTCAAAAACTTTTTGAGACACAGCATGTGACCGCTAGACAGTCCAAGCTGTGAGCGGCCGTTGGTGCGCCAAAGGAAATTGCAGTAGTGTGCTAGCTAGCTCCTCCTCATGACGCGGGTGCCCCTTGTCTGGTTCCAGGTCCTCCGGGTCCTCCGGGCCTTCCAGGTTCGCCGTCCAAGCTCCCCGCTGGCTGGGCCGTCCCCGCGGCCTCGCCCGGCCAGCCCGGCCCGTCCGGCCCCGGCAGGTCGTACTACAGCAGTGGCGACGACGACGACGACGATGACGACGGCAAGGAGCGGCCGTGGTGGGGCTTGTGCGTGGGGCGCGTGCGCCGGGCATGCACGCGCAAGGTGCTCGTCAAGAGGGTGCCCATCCTGGGCTGGATGCCCCGCTACACTGGCGGGGCCGCCGCGGCCGACCTGGTGGCCGGCGTCACCGTGGGGCTCACCGTCATCCCGCAGGCCATCGCCTACGCCAACGTGGCGGGGCTGCCCCCACAGGTAAGGCGTGCCTCTGTCTCTGTCGCACTCGTGCAGCGTCCCGTGCGACCGTAGGGGTGCGAGAGAGACAGAGCGCTGATGTCTTGTTGTGGCGTCGCAGTACGGCCTGTACTCGTCCTTCATGGCGTGCTTCGTGTACGCCGTGTTCGGCTCGTGCAAGGACTCCCCCGTCGGCCCCACCGCCATCGCCGCCATCCTGACGCGCGAGAACCTCCACGACCTGCCGCCCGAGCTGGCCGTCGTGCTGTGCTTCCTGTCCGGCTGCGTGGAGCTGCTCATGGGCGTGCTGCAGCTGGGTGAGTCGACTTATCCCGGATGGGACTCCCCTTGGACCTGAACACGAGTGTCAACCCAGCTTCGCTGTCGTCAGGCTTCCTCATCGACTTCATCTCGGGCCCCGTGTCCGTGGGCTTCACGTCGGCGGCCGCCATCATCATCGCCACCACGCAGATCAAGGACATCCTGGGCCTCACCTTCCCCGGCTCCAAGTTCCTCCAGGTGTGGGAGAACCTCTTCGCGCACATCCACGAGACCAGGCTGTGGGACGCCGTGCTGGGCTTCGTGTGCATGGCGGTGCTGCTCATCTTGAGGGTAAGGAACCTCGGGCTTCGCTGCAGCCTGCTCAAACCGATCCGCATTCCGAAGCGACCGACCTGAGCGTGCGCGTTGTGGCGTTGTGCCCGCAGAAGGTGAAGGACATCCCGGTGGGCCCCACGGACTCCAAGGACCAGTCGGGCCTGCAGAAGGCGGCGGCGCGCTTCCTGTGGCTCGTGTCCACGGCGCGCAACATCCTGGTGGTGGTGGTGTGCGGGGTGGCGGCCGCGCTGCTGGACGGCCACGGCCTGCACCCCTTCAACCTGACCGGCGACGTGAAGCCCGGCCTGCCCGAGCTGCGCCCGCCGCCCTTCTCGCTCACCGTGGGCAACGAGACGCTCAGCTTCCTGGACATGGCGTCGGGCCTGGGCTCGGCCGTGCTGGTCGTGCCGCTGCTGTCCATCCTGGAGAACATCTCGCTGGCCAAAGTGTTCTGTGAGTTCCCGGCCCAACGCTGTGCTCCGCAGCGCCGCGCCTTGGGAGTGGGCAACCCATCCGGCGCAGCGGAGCGGCACGACAGCCCCTCCACGGCCATGGCCCCGGCGTGGTGCAGACGCCTGCGAAGACGGGGGTAGGCAATCCCGCCGAACGCAGCAGCCTGCGGAGCTGCCTACCCTCCCTTCCGCAGGCGCTCCCGCTGCCATGTCGTGGTTGACGTAGTTGAGGTTGACGCCCGGGTTTTTGTTGCAGCGGACGGCACTCCGATCGACGCGACGCAGGAGATGCTCGCGCTGGGGCTGTGCAACATCGCGTCCTCCTTCGTGAGCTCCATGCCCGTGTCCGGAGCGCTGTCGAGGGGCGCCGTCAACAACGCCAGCGGGGTGGCGACCACCTTCGGTGGCGTCTACACCGGTAAGGCCCAGGCCGTGCCCAGGCCGCCCTAGCTCATGTCACGTTTGTTTACCTCCTAATAACAAACACGTAGTTTGATCACCGGTTTCAATACTCACGTACTTTGAGCATCGAGGTCAACAAACACGTAGTTTCGCTAGAAGACGCAACAAGCACGTAGTTTTCTGCTGCGGGCTAACAAACACGTAGTTTGTTCGAGTGTTTTATTTTAGACTGAAAATAGACATTGGGCATCCATTGAGGGTGTACAAACTAAATTATTTGTGCTTTGAGTCACTTTCAACCTAAAAGTGGAGAGTATTGTCGGTAGGGGCACTCTGAAAGTACTTTGAGAAGCTGTTCGCCACATTGTATTTTGACTGTATTTTTACCGAAAACTGCCTCAGAACACGTTTCCAAGCTTAAATTCGGTCACAATGACTGTTTTTTACCACCTAATAGTGATCAAACGACTTACACAGCAATAATACTGTAGAAAATGGAACTGCGTGATTGTTGAACCGAACTACGTGAGTGTTTACTCGCGACTCCCGAACGGCCGCGAAACTACGTGTTTGTTGGTCTCGGTGCACAAACTATGTGAGTGTTGAAAACGGGAATCAAACTACGTGCTTGTTATTAGGAGGGGTAGGGTATCGTACGTCGCGTTGAACACGTGGTTCCCGCTGTGCAGGCGTGCTGGTGATCCTGTCCCTGCACCTCTTCACGCCCTACTTCTACTACATCCCCAAGGCCTCGCTGGCGGCGGTCATCATCGCGGCCGTCGTATTCATGGTGGAGTTCCACGTCGTCAAGCCCATCTGGAGGACCAAGAGTGAGTGCCTCAGTCCGCGCACGAGGCTGAGTGGACACTGTGCGACGTACGAGTGATGTGTGTTACGTGATTGTTGCACGACAGAGGCGGACCTGATCCCCGCGGGCGCCACCTTCCTGTGCAGCCTGTTCCTGCGCCTGGAGCTGGGCATCGTGATCGGCATCGGCATCAACGTGCTCTTCCTGCTGTACGCCTCGGCCAGGCCCTCCATGACCGTGCAGAGGGTCATGGTGGGTACACTCTGCGATGGCTGCGTGCGGATGCTTGTCTCTCGAGCCGCCGGATGGCGATTCCGTCGTGCCGTCGCAGTGCCGGGGCCTGCCCTTGGCCGGGCCGAGACGACACTGCGGAATCGGAACGTCTCGGCTGCTTCTTGTTCTCCGGCACTGACCCGCGTGCCGTTTGGCTTTACAGAGCAGTGTCGGCATCGAGTACCTCCTGGTGACGCCGGACCGCAGCCTCGTGTTCCCCTCGGTGGAGTACGTCCGCAACATGGTGTCCAAGGTGGGCATGAAGCAGGGCTCCAGCTCGGTGCCCGTCGTCCTGGACGCGCGCCACGTGTACGGCGCCGACTTCACGGCCGCCAAGGTAGGTGTCGAGTGGACCCGCCTTCTTGGGCTTCCCTGGCAGGTTCGCCCCGCACAGTGGGCCAGAAGGCCGGTGGAGGCGGCCAAAACTCTAAACGCGTTTTGAGCTCCAGAGTCGCTAAATGGGACTCGATCCGAGCGTGTGACCCCACCAATGGATTCCTCGTTCGGAGAGCAATCCATTGATGGGGTCACACGTTTGGTTCGAGCCCTGTTCAGCGACTCAGGAGCTCAAAACGCGTCTAGAGTTTTGACCGCCTCCACCGGTCTTCTGGCCCACTGTGCCCCGCCCCCACCCCGGGCGAGCGTTGATGACCAATGCAGCGGGCTGCTCCGTGTTCCAGGGCGTCAAGTCGCTGACGGAGGACTTCGTGAAGCGGAAGCAGCCGCTCCTGTTCTACAACCTGCGGCCCAGCGTGGTGGCGGTGTTCCAGGGCGTGCGCCCGGGCGACCTGCGCTACTGCCGCTCCGAGAGCGAGCTCGACGAGCTGCTGCGCGCCACGTGCTCGGTGCGGGCGCGCGAGCAAGTGTGATCCAGGTGCGATCCGACCCTGCGACTGGCTCGCGCCTCGCCGCGTGGTGACCAGCATGGCCAGCGAGCAGTCAGGACTCGCCAGAGTTGTCGAAGGACAACGTTTTTAGAGAACCAGTGTGACGTTCTCCTTTCTCATTGTTGTTTGTTTTTAAGTATTACGTTTTTTTCTGATTTTGACTGCTTCGAGTGGTTGCTTGAAGTGAAAAGTGCAGGTGAAAGGCAGATAAATTGAGTGTTGCATATGTTAAGTTATGGAACTCTGCTGGCTCATTGTGTAAAGCACTAGATTGTCTGTTATGTAGATACATTTTAAGGATGTTATTTTTGAAATTAGTATTTTATTGTGTAAGGATTGTATGAGTAATGTGATTTTCTGTTATCTTAAATTTGTTATCTTATATAATTTTACTAAGACACTTGTGATATTAATGTGTAAATAATTTTTCAGTTTTGTAAAGAAAATTGCTGAAAATAGGGAAGGAAAAGGATAAAGTGCGATGAGTGTTTTATATTAAATCACTTATGCTGATAGGCATGATATACCTAGTCTTGAATTCAAGTAGGTGTTGTCACATATCTTCTTAACTTGAATATCTTAATCATTCTAAACAGTGTCACTCAGAAGAAATAAAATTTATTTCGGACACAAGAATTGGTATAAACTACTTAAAAAAAAAAACAAAAAAAAAACTCCTTCTTAGAACATTGTTTCAAAACCAGGATCAAAAGCAGAAACTATTCAGTACATTAAATTTTGTTACCCACGTTACCTTTGGTGTTGAGATTTGACTAGGTTCAAATAAACTATACTTTAACTGATTGGAAAGTTAGCAAGAAACTTAAAACCTGAACTACCAGTATCTTGGTTTGTTATCACAGAATTAGTTTCTCAGACTAAGGCCACCCAAAATTAACACCAGTGACTTGATAAAACCTGGCATTAAATGGCCGATAAAACTCGCGAAGTCTCTCTATAACTTCATTGTCAATAAGTGGATGGCTCCTCCCTTTGGTCTTTCCAAGGCAATGATGACTAGACTGCCCTTCAGACTTCTTCAAGCAAGGAAATCCTTTGGTAGTATTAAAGTAAAAATGCTTTTCAGAAATAATAACTTTTAGACCCAAAAATTCCTGAAAGAAACCAAAAGTTTGAACCTTGTTTCTGTAAATTATATGTTAGCAAACTAGCTCTGGACCATACCTGAACATTACTGATTTCTGCTGCAGGATCAACAATGAGTCTTTCACCACTTACAAAATGAATTTGCTTCAGAGGGAAGTACTTCAGCCAACGTTCCAAGTGCCTTATATAGACTCCAATTTTAATAGGTATCCAAGTTGTATCAACTAATCCAAACTGAGACCCATTCCGAAATGCAAGGTCTTCAAATTTCGGAAGTGACACATTTTTGCTACCAAAAATTTAATACTGTGAGAATTGATCAATATATCTCAAAACAGCTTAGATAGAGCAATAACATCAGAATCTTACCTCACAACTTGTGTGTAGTCTGAAATGGCTCTAGTCACAGGATCTCTAACAACAACTAGCAGCTTCATTGCAGGGTTCATTTGGTATACTCTTTGAGGAACTTCCCTCATCACAAAGTAACTTGGTGTTTTTTCCATAGTTATTTGACCTTCTAGAGTTGGAGGCATGTTTTGTCTGTAGCAATGAGAGAGAATTCATTAGACACTGATTTGACAATAAAAAAATGTGTTTTGAGGCCAAGAAAATTTTGATTACCTGTACCAATCATAGCCCTTGGCATAGTGACGATCAAAAAAATGTACTTCAGATCCAGCTGCCCGTACATCTGGATGCAGTCTTATGAACTCGAGAAGAGCTCTAGTACCTCCTTTTTTCACTCCAATCAAAAGAGCATTTGGTAATTTTCTTGCAGGCAGCAGTCCTTGCTGGCGTAGAAATGGATACTTGGGAGATTGGTCAAGAAAGCTTCTCCCACTCTGAAACAGAATTATTTTTTGTTGAAAAAGCAAGAAAAGACAATCATGTTCGATAAACCAACGCAATTTTGAATGAACATGATCCATTTCTATTTTATCTCACCTCCACAACTTTATTGCCCGGACCTCCTCTCCATCTAATTAAAGGAAGCGAGTAGGATTCTTTTAGGTCATGGTGTTTGTATATCTGTTCCAAATGTTGGCGAATCCCATTTTTCTAAAACAAGAAATATAACAAAAGGACAAAAATTAAAATAGGAGGAGGCACGGTAATTTTTATTAATGCTATAGAGCTGCAACGACAAATTAGAATTTACTTGTGTTGTAAATGGTTTGTAAAATTTCAAACGATTTGTCCGTTTACTCAAACTTACCACGAAAAATGCATCACTATTACTGAGGAAAATGACAGATAAACACACAATAAATGCACAGAATGCAACACAAAGAACAAACAGCTTCAACTGATGAAACATAATTCCTATCCATTCTAAAAATGAAGTAGAACGAACATTAACACGAAATGTAGATGTCCATTAATCAAAATGAAATGCGGACGATGCGGACAGCCTACATGATGATAACTTTACTTATAAAATGATACAGGCACAGCAGCCGCAAGAACTTTCTGCTTGTGAAGAGGTAAACAAACACTTTTCACAACGCTGTTCCTGTGCGTGAGGCTACTTTTCGTTCTAGAAATTTTTCATTCTAGTGACGGGTTGCCGAGAGGTGGCGCTGCCAGTCGGAGCGCGGAAAAACTAAACCAGCGTAGGCGCGCAACGGCGAACGGCTTGAGCCGAAAGAATGTAAAAACTATTCAAATTTTAATAAAATTTCGGAAAATTAAGACAAATTTGTTCACAGAAGCTTTCTAGCATTTTAGCATCGCCACAAACAGGGATATCTGTTTGATTTCTGTGTAACGGGACTGCGTCTTGTGCTGTCCTTCGCGCCTGAGAGGTAGACATCGCCCAGTCTGCAACACACCGGAGCGCAGACGCTGGCCTACCTTGCCTCTGTGAATACTAGAGCCCTACATTACTCCCTTCGGGATAGTGAATACGACAGGGGTATCCCGGGGATGTATACCTCATCCCTGACTGGTCATACTGCGAGTAGCCAATTGAGGTTCTTCTCCGCCGGCATAACGTGTCACCCTAGTAAGGACGGCCATGTCTCGTTTCGCAGTGCAGGCGAGCATGTGTCGGGCCCGAAATGGCAAACGATCATGTGTGGTCTAGCCTTTAATGGTAATGGGAAGGTAGGCCCCCGTCTGCGCACCGGTGTGTTGCAGACGAGCCTATGGCCTACCTCACAGGCGGGAAGGGGCCCAAGCTACACAGCAGGTGCGAAGCGGAGTGGTTTCACCTATTCGTGCTGCGCGGCGTCTCTCTCTCTCTCTCTCTGTGTGTTCTGGATTCGGTGTGAAGGCCTGTGAACCTGGCGGCCCCTCTACTTGGTGGTGTTGGATTGTGACATACTGCTCAGGGTGCAAGACTAAATTGATGCCAAATGGTACATTTGTGTCGAGATGAGAATGTGGTTAATAAAGTGTCCCTTCAGGGGATGAACTTAAACACACCAAAAGTAGTTTAAAAATATTTAATTACTTCACTTTAAAATTATCTTACAAAATTTACCATATATATAACATTTAAACAGACAGTCTGAGATAACAAAATTTCCCACTTAGTTTCAATTCATCATATAAAAACACATTTTGAGTACTTTTGTTAAGCTTCAGGCTTATCAGAAGTCCACGTATATTTTACACACCCACACATTTTCTCACACTCACACTAATACATACACACATACAAATAGGCACAATCACACTCAAATAACAATCATTCAAATTGATTTATCTCATTCACAAAACTAAAACAGATACACTCGGTCTTGGCACTTACAGAATGATTGATGCAATCAAGGCCCAAAACATATCCTACCAGTAATACTGCACAATTGATTTAACCAATGTCATGAGAGCTAGATGATTTGTCAAAGTTCATCTGTAATGCTATCATGGCAATGCCAGCACACTTGGTATTTATTTTCAAATTTCCTCTAGTCATCAACACTAGTTACTTTGTGTAGGAGCATCAGAAGCTACAATTTTTGAGTCAAAAAATATAATTTTAAGAAAAGACAGAATTGTGGTTAACCCAATATTCCATAACATAGCACTTTAAACTAGATAAAATAAATTAAAGACAACAGAAAATTGATTGGTCTAATTGCGACTTACAAAAAAATTAAATAGTTGCAGTTGCATTCTGATGGATACAACTTTATAACAGTTGCTCAAATGTTGGTATAGAAAATAATTAAGATTGTATATGATTTCTGATTATAATCATGCTTTACAGCAGAAGTGGACTAGCACATAGCATAATAATGCAAATATTTTAGCTGACCTACGGTAACTCACAGTGAGGAAGAACATTTCAGAGAAAACAAGATAGTCTATGCATCTACACGCAGCCAAAAGATGTTTTACTTTGAGGATGGTACAAAATGTAAGCTCTTACAAATACAACTTCTCAAATGTGACAATTCTTGTACAAAAAAAACAAAAAAAAACTGTTTGAGCCTCACAGAGTAACACAGACCTACTCCCTGAATTTGAAATCATATGAAGCCTATTTCATGGTAGCTCATAAGAAGAAATAGAACAAAATGGCAACTTACTACATAATTGTTCGTGACAACCAAATTAATAATAACTGTTGAATCTTAATTTCTACCCAAAAAGTATTTACAGATTATGCATTTGTTATCGTTGAGCAGATTATTTTCCCTTTGCATGTCCTAGAGAGCTTCCAACTAAATATATTTCTATTTGCACATAGATGGATTGCTTTTTCATGCATTCACATGGGAAAAGAACACACTTTACAAACACAACTGAGAAAATAGCAGGGCCAAAGGTATAAGAAATGAAAAAGAATCATTATTTGTCAAAGATAAAAAGGAAACAATTGAACAATCATAAATGCACTGAAGACATGTCACATCACAGACAGTACATTCACTTTGACTTCGGTCAAGTTGAGATTTCTACACAGGAGCGATGCTATGAAACTTGGCCAATAGCACCACCTCCACACAAGTTTGGCAGTCAGCAGCTTAGCTGCAGTTTTTTCTTCATGTCAATTCTAGTAGTTGTAGGGGCCGTACTGGGAACCATGGTAATAGGGACCAGGGTAAGCAGCAGGAGGAGCGGGATAGCCAGGGTAGGCAGCGTACTGTTGCTTCTGGGGGTACACTGTAAATGAGCAAAGTACAGTTTAAAACAAGGAAAACACGAACTCTTCAAACAATCAGATTCCCCCCACTCTCCAGTATTAAAAATTTATGTTAATAGTATCTATTAACATGCACATCCATCAGATCAATTAAGTTAAGATAGAAGTATCAAGGAAAACGTATGTTTTAATCTGAATAACAACTTTGGTAGATTATGAACATAACCCAGAATGAAGCAGTTACTGATGTTAAAAGGATCATTATTTGATATAATTTAAGCTTGAAAACAGAGAACAAAGAAGGAAGTTCCCAATAAAAACCAATGCTTACCAGGCATGAGATACTGCATGTTCATAGCTTCCTCCTTTTCCCTTTCTCCTCGCAAGCAGATCGCTGCTGCGGAGAACAGGATGGCTGATACGAGAGAGGAGCCAACACCAACCCACGCAAGAATGTATGACCAATCGTAAGAAAAGTATGTGTTTTCCTTTAGCACCTGTTGGACAAGTATGAAAAAGCCAAAACCGTGTTAGGCAGTTACAAATGTTTCTTTTTTTCACTTGGAGCCTGGGCAAGCCAAGATCAAGTCGAGGTCATTTTTCCACAGAACCAGAGGATGATGAAATGATGACTCCTCAGCGTTATCGATAAGAAAGAAAAGATATGAAGAAAGATTAGCTGCAATTGAATAAAATACTCAAATGGAACACCACAAGACCCTGCAGGAAAGTAACACACTGGGTGCATAAAGAAAATTTCCAAATCTCTTAATGATAAATTCTTCTTCAGAAGATAAACATGCAATGGTAATCCAGCATCTATAAATCAATGAAGTTGCCAGTCCAGTCCACAAGCTGAAAATGCATCGCTCCTGCGTGTTTTGTACCTGGCATAATATACTGCACATTGTTGGCTTTCTCAGAGTCTTTCTCTGATCGGAGGCAGGTAGCGGCAGAGAAGAAGAGTGTGGATGACACTAGTGAAAAACCCACACCGATCCATGCCAGCATGTAGGACCAGTCATACCACATATGAGTCTCATCGCGCAGAACCTAACAGTGGAGACCAATTAAAAATCTTGAATGAATACAATTAGAATGACACACGACACTGAAAACTGCACTGCTTCCTGGTCCTGGATTTAATGAACTTCAATGAGATGAGAAGATTTTGGAGGCAAGATAAAAAACAAAACATATTAGAAATTCCTGTAATAAAATAGAATGAAAACCAACAATGTTAAAACTTAGCATTGACCGGCACCAATCAGCCAGTCAAATGCATACTTACATTGTTCCACTGCTGGTAGAAATCCTCTCCGACAACCTTCTCCTTCTCGTAATATTCAACCCCGTGCCAAAGACCCATTGCACCAGCACTCAGGAGGCCTGAAACACAATCAATTTGAGAATCATACTTGCGCGCTGCGCTACATTTGTAGAAGGGAAAACAACGCCACTTACAAGCGAGGAGAATGAGAATCGCCGTGGACGTGATGTTGCCCGGGGAACGGCGCCAGCACCCGGCCACGCCCGTCCAGAAGGCCACGAACACCATGAGGAAGGCCACGATGAAGAGGGCGATCATGGAGCGGCCCATGTCTGCAAACAATGTTCATGTCAATGCCACTCTCACAGCGCGAGCGAGGGCCGCAGTAGATCAGTTTGGCGTCGTGGACATACGGAGACGAGTCATAGCGTCCTCGGACAGCAGCTTGGTCTGGTTGTCCACGTCTGGGATGAAGTAGTCGATGTTGTGGCAGTGGGTCTCCACGGGGCTCAGGTACGTTTCCACTGCAACAGAAATGCAAAGCAAAATCAAAAGGGCGTCTTTTAGTTCCAACGAAGATGCGACAGGCGAAGGGGAGGGGAGGGGAGGGGAGGGGAGGGAAGGCGCTCCCGTTAGAGCGCGGCAACGCGGCAAAGCCCCGGGACGGGACGACGGGACGGGACGGGACCCCAGGCCGTCTAGTCAGGCCGAGTGCTTGGCTGGAGGCTCCAGCAGGCGAAGGCACACTTGTGCAGGTTGGTGTGCAGCCAGAAGGGCCCGGCCTGCCCGGCCCCCGGCGCCGCGCCTGCCAACTCGCAGGCCATCATCTTCTCCATCTGCGCGATGCTCCGCGATGCTCCGCGATCTCCGGGGCGCCAAGCCGCCAAGCGCGGAACGCCGAGCGCGAGGCCTCGAGGCTCGAGGCGGTGGAGCGGCGGAGCCGAGCGGCCTGGCATGGCGTAGCAGGCGTAGCCAGGGCGGAGCATGGCGCGGTACCGTTGCCGACGGCCTGGCCCCCCTTCTCCATGCCCGCGGCGGCAGAGGCCCAGCCCCACGCGAGTCAACTACAGAAACACCTCCTGAGACGCCACGCAGCGGCGCAGCACAGCCAGCCGGAGGGAGACCGCGAGAACAAGGACCTCGACGAAGGGGACAGGAGCGAGCACACCAAAACCAAACCAGCCTTCAGCCAAGCCAAGTAACAGTAACAAGTAACAGCCAAGTAACTTTCGCCTTCGCCCCGGGAGCGAACAACCCTTTAGCTCTGTGCGTGACCACATCCGCCCTTCGCCGCGGCTGGCCGCGGGGATGCCGTCACCGGCTTGTCAACCAGTGTCGCGCCGCGTCGCGCCGCGTCCCACACGCGCCACCAAAACAAAAGGCAGAGGCACGCGACGCGGCAGCGCGCCAGCGCGGCAGCCGGCACTGCAGTCACAGGCCGCGTGCGCGTCACGGCGGCGCGGCGCGGCGTCGCGGTGCCGCACATTGGGCCACGCCGGCCACGCGGCCACGCCACGCCCCCGGACCCCCGCTGCCGCTGGAGCCGTGCTGGAGCGGTGCTGGAGCCCCTCCGGGGGCGTCTGGAGTGCAGCCCTGTCTGTCGCAAGCGTCGCAAGGCACATGCCGCGACCTTGGCACTGCGGCGCGGCGCGGCGGCATGCATGTGCACAGGACCCAGCGCGAACACGCGGCACGGTGGGCGTAGCAAACCACCGACTGGAGGAGGGGACGTCGAAGACCACCTGGCGACATGGCGTGTCAGGGCGCCCCTCTCCCATCAAGCCTCGGGAGGTGGGCACCACATACTCACCAGTAGGCGGCCTCTCCTTGGGGTAGCAGATGCGGAAGAGCCCCTTGGTCCTCGTGTAGTAGTAGTACTTGTTGTTCATGTTCTCCAGGAGGCTCTCCTGCCCTCCCCGCTTGGCGGCATATTGCTGCAACAAAGGAGACACAACACGGCGGTCAGTCAAGCAGGACAGACAAGACAGGCTTTCCGTTCAGTTCGGCTAGGGCTTTGGCTGCTATCGGCCATCACTTTTCAGCGGCAGCCGAGTAAAACCGAAAGGCTGGGCGGGGAACGGGAACGCCCTGTCGAGCGAGCCCTCGCCGAGAGCGCTACGGCGCGGCCTAGGGCCAGCCTGCGCAGCCTGCACCAGCCTGGCAGCGAAATGCAGCGAAAAGCCAGCCGAGCGAGACGAGACTTCGACCAATCGGTTGCAGAGCAGGGAATGCCCAACGCCCTGCCGTTCCCCGTGTGAGCCTCCGAAACAGTGTGCCACGCCACGCCCCGTCTCTCTCGCCCTCACGAGGCCTCGCGCAGGGGTGCGAGCGAGAGAGACAGCACACTGTCGGGAATCGAGGTGCAGCAGTTAGGGCCCCTTTCAAGGGTGCGCACTCCCCCCCCCCCTTGCTTTGACTACCAGATGGGCTCCTAATAGAGACCTCCCTCTGCCTCTCTCACTCACTCTCCCCCCGCAGCGCCGCAAGCAGCAGCGGCTGCAGCAGCATCGCGCCGAAGTAAGCCAGCGCTGGCGATAAGCAGACCGCCGAGTTGCGCAAGCCGAGGCGAAGGCTGGGCGGGGTGAAGGCGGGGCGGGGGCGGCGCAGGGCGGAGTGCCCCCAGCTCGCCAGGCCCCATTGGCCGGGCTGGCCCGCCCCCCGCGGTGGCGAATCGCGGAGTGACAGTCCGACAGGCAGGCAGGCAGGCGAAGGCAGAGGATTATGAAGGCGCTTTGCTTCGCTTCGAACCAGTTCCGGAGTGGAGTGAGCAGAATCACGCTGGCCCCTCGATTCCCTTCCCGCTGCTCTGCGCGCAGCACGCCGCGCGCCCTTCCGGGGGCACCCACTGCGCTGGCCAAGCACTCAAATGTCACGGGACATTTTTGTGCCATTCCCACTCCGGTGTCGTAAGGCCGTGGACTCGGCGGGGACAGGGCGATGGCGCTCCCCCGCAGACAGGCAAAGAGCCACAGCCGAACGCTACCGCCGGGAAGTCCAACTCGACGGGTTTGGTGGGCTCGTCGTCCCGGAAGGACATCCAGGCCAGCTATGCGGCCGCAGGCTGAGTCGAAACAGTGCAGTGTCTCTGTCGCACTCACACGGCGTCGCGTGCAGGTGCGAGGGAGAAAGACGCTGTTCGGGCCGCCTGGCTCCGCACAGTGGGCCAGAAGACCGGTGGAGGCGGCCAAAACTCTAGACGCGTTTTGAGCTCCGGAGTCGCGAAATGGGGCTCGAACCGAACGTGTGACCCCACCAATGGATTGCTCTCCGAACGAGGAGTCCAGGTGGGGTCCACTTGATCGAGTCCCATTTAGCGACTCTGGAGCTCCGTCTCTCTCCCGCACGGGGCGCGCCGCGAGTGCGAGGGAGACGGAGGGCTGGACGGCCTTGTCACGCTCGCGGCGACACGGCGACGACGTGGCGCCCCCCGCGGCACGCCCGAGTGCGAGGGAGACGGAGGGCTGGACGGCCTTGTCACGCTCGCGGCGACACGGCGACGACGTGGCGCCCCCGCGGCACGCCCGAGTGCGAGGGAGACGGAGGGCTGGACGGCCTTGTCACGCTCGCGGCGACACGGCGACGACGTGGCGCCCCCCGCGGCACGCCCGAGTGCGAGGGAGACGGAGGGCTGGACGGCCTTGTCACGCTCGCGGCGACACGGCGACGACGTGGCGCCCCCCGCGGCACGCCGAGTGCGAGGGAGACGGAGGGCTGGACGGCCTTGTCACGCTCGCGGCGACACGGCGACGACGTGGCGCCCCCCGCGGCACGCCCGAGTGCGAGGGAGACGGAGGGCTGGACGGCCTTGTCACGCTCGCGGCGACACGGCGACGACGTGGCGCCCCCCGCGGCACGCCCGAGTGCGAGGGAGACGGAGGGCTGGACGGCCTTGTCACGCTCGCGGCGACACGGCGACGACGTGGCGCCCCCCGCGGCACGCCCGAGTGCGAGGGAGACGGAGGGCTGGACGGCCTTGTCACGCTCGCGGCGACACGGCGACGACGTGGCGCCCCCCGCGGCACGCCCGAGTGCGAGGGAGACGGAGGGCTGGACGGCCTTGTCACGCTCGCGGCGACACGGCGACGACGTGGCGCCCCCCGCGGCACGCCCGAGTGCGAGGGAGACGGAGGGCTGGACGGCCTTGTCACGCTCGCGGCGACACGGCGACGACGTGGCGCCCCCCGCGGCACGCCCGAGTGCGAGGGAGACGGAGGGCTGGACGGCCTTGTCACGCTCGCGGCGACACGGCGACGACGTGGCGCCCCCGCGGCACGCCCGAGTGCGAGGGAGACGGAGGGCTGGACGGCCTTGTCACGCTCGCGGCGACACGGCGACGACGTGGCGCCCCCCGCGGCACGCCCGAGTGCGAGGGAGACGGAGGGCTGGACGGCCTTGTCACGCTCGCGGCGACACGGCGACGACGTGGCGCCCCCCGCGGCACGCCCGAGTGCGAGGGAGACGGAGGGCTGGACGGCCTTGTCACGCTCGCGGCGACACGGCGACGACGTGGCGCCCCCCGCGGCACGCCCGAGTGCGAGGGAGACGGAGGGCTGGACGGCCTTGTCACGCTCGCGGCGACACGGCGACGACGTGGCGCCCCCCGCGGCACGCCCGAGTGCGAGGGAGACGGAGGGCTGGACGGCCTTGTCACGCTCGCGGCGACACGGCGACGACGTGGCGCCCCCCGCGGCACGCCCGAGTGCGAGGGAGACGGAGGGCTGGACGGCCTTGTCACGCTCGCGGCGACACGGCGACGACGTGGCGCCCCCCGCGGCGAACGTCATTATGCTGAGGGCGACCCGGAAGCGAGCGGGGCCGCAGGGGCCGCGGGCAAACGCGGTCACTCTCAGGGCCTCGCCGTCGCAGTGGCGTTGCCGAGCCCCGCCGCCCTGCGCTGCCCGCAGTAAACCACACAACCCACAGTGGGCCAGAAGACCGGTGGAGGCGGCCAAAACTCTAGACGCGTTTTGAGCTCCAGAGTCACAAAACAGGCCTCGAACCGAACGTGTGACCCCACCGATGGATTCCTCGTTCGTAGAGCAATCCATTGGTGGGGTCACACGTTCGGTTCTAGTCCCATTTAGCGACTCTGGTCTTCTGGCCCACTGTGCAACCGCCGCCGTGCTCCGCTCCAAGGACGCCCCCTCGGCCCCTCGGGGGGCGCCGCGACGACGACGGCGATGGACCGGCGAAAGCAGACGCGACTCGCGCGGCCCGGTATTTAACACGGTGGTGGCTGGGCTGCGCGATGAGGACTCCAAAGTAGCTTTCATCAGCCCTAAACGACACCAAGCTGCAGCCATTGTGCAACGGCCGCGGCGTCGCGGCGTCGCCAACCACACCAAGCAGTGCCTGCTGCAGCTATGCTGCTCGCGGCGCACCCGCCTTGGCCGAGCGACAAATTCATTTCCAGCAACAAGGACGCGACGATGCGGCGCTGCGGCGCGCGCCAAAGTGTGTAATCGGCGTGGCGCAAGCGGAACGCTGCGGAACGCGCCGCGCCGCCGCCCTCCTGACCCGCAGTGTGCCAGCGCCAGCGCGCCGCCGCGGCACTGCACTGTGCTCGCGAGGCCCGTGCCAATTGACACCGTGAGCGCGATCCGCTGACCTACCCAACCCGACCTACCCACACCAGGTAGGCGCGGCGGCGCGTGCACGGGCTGGCCCTCTCCGTCGCACTCGTGGCGGGGCCCCGACAGGGTGCGAGAGAGAGCACTCGGCAGTCCAGACAGAGCAGTCCACGCCGCGCCACGCGGCGAGGCGCCGCGCGTACTCCGCGCCGCTACTGTCGGGTAAGGCAAGGGAAAGCCATCACATACCTCTGGAGGAAAGGTCAACCTGCCCAGCCGGCCCGACACGGCCCGGCCCAGGCCAGCCGGCACGCCAGGCAGGCCTGCCACGACACGCATTCTCGGCAAAACGAAAAGCCATCGCACAAATTTCCCTATTGAAAGGTGGGGTGAGGAAGCGAGGCACGCGACAGGGCGGAGGGCGGGGCGGGGCGGGGCGGGGCGGGGCCACTCCGGAAGCGGCGGCGCGCGCCAACGGAACGCCTCGCGGCCCCGCCCCGCCCCGCCCCGCCCCGCCGCCTGCAACGTACCGTTGCCCGGGCAACCACACACGCCTGACGCCACAGGCGGATCACTCTAGCGTGAGGCGGGGGCCGGGCCTTCACACCGGCAGGAAGGGCTGGGCGGACGCTGAGCAGCCACCGTTCGAATCCATACCTACGGTGGCGTCGCCGCCGGCACGCCCCGCCCCGCGAGAGCGAGAGAGACAGCGAGACTGACGCGGTGTTTGCACAGCGCTGGCCGCTCGGCTCGCTGACGAGGCACGCGGCGCGCGACCGAGAATCGGTAAGAAACGACGCGTCGCGACGCGCTGCGTTTGGCGCAATTTGGCAACCGATCGCCTCACCGCTCTTTCCGCGCCGCGTCGGGCCGCGTCGGGGCCAAAGCCTCGGCAAAAGCAGCGCGTAGCGCCCAGAGTGGCGGTCCTCGTCCTCGTCGCCCCGCCTTTGTTTAAGTAGTGCTTTCGTTAAGTCGCTGCACTTTCCCTCCAGGGGCAGGGCGGGGCGTCGAGGCACGCCGCGGCCCCGCCGAGGCCTCAGGCCGCGACACGACGGCCTGGCCAGGGCGGCCAGGGCGGCCGGCCCGGGCGGGGCAGCGCGACCCCGAATCGGAACCTGGTTCACTTCGTCACCGTCATGCCGTCCCGTCCCGTCCCCGTTGTCAAGACGAGATTAAGAGGGGCGAGAGGAGCAGCGGCCCCTAAGCCCGCGGGAGAGCAGAGGCATTCCGTCCAAGTCGTGCGAGAGAGACAAAGCGACAACGCTGCGCCGAATCAAACAGTCTGCCAACCGTCAAACTGAGCACGGGGCGGGGCGGCCAACGCACAGTGGGCCAGAGGACCGGTGGAGGCGGCCAAAACTCCA